GCGTAGGAGGCGTTAAAAGGGGAAGAGAAATGAGGAAATCGGACGTGCGAGGAGAGGGGAAAAGAAATGCCTGAAACGACGCTATTGTTTTCACCAAACTACTTCCTTAAATTGATATGTAAAGATGAGACGACTGCGAATTGTTTGGCTGTCAGAAATGACATTTCAATCAAAAACTATTGCAGGACACTCACTCAACGTCGTCTGTTGTGTTTATCAAACGGTTTTGAATACAACAACACGATTTGTTCAAACCATCGCTGAGGAGCTGTAATCCAGTATAATTCGTTTTAAAAGAGTCGTCCGGGTTTAAAAATTCCTCATGATCAATTATTGATCCTACTACCCACTGCAAGTCTCGGATTATGTAATGATTCGCAGGCAACTAATGGTGATGATCAGTTTCATCACCAATGCACCAAATAGAAGCGAAGTTTGACTAAAACTAACGATAAATCATCCCAAGTGTAGATAATTTGTTCGACTCTTATCATGGAAATTCGGACACCTTTTCCCAGAATTTTCTGTTTTCGCTTGTAATTTTTTTTTTGTTTGCTAATTGCAAGTATATTTGTTCTGATAAATCTACAGTTGCTGCCTCAATCACACAAAAACCCTCATCCATTGTCGCTGAAGTAGGGGGAAACGTAATCTTACCGTGCCATACTGGTCTGCCACTACCAACGATCACGTGGCGAAGAGCGTTTGGTTCCCTACCAAAAGGAAAGACTGTTGTAGTCGATGGAAGCTTGACAATTCGCAACATAGCTAAAACTGACAAGGGTGATTACGTGTGTTCAGCAAAGAGTTTTCTTGGACTGGACTCCGTTGTTGCTCAGTTGATAGTGATTGACAGGATCACATTTACCCTTACTCCTTCCCGGAGAGTTACTGTATCACAGTCACGCAACTTGTTGCTAAACTGTGCAGCTCAAGGTAACACTGAGATTACCTGGAAGAGAACTGGAAAAGGCTTACCTCACAGCCACGTGGTTTATTCAAATGGAACTCTGCTCCTCAGGAGCGTGGTTACAAACGATGCCGGAACATATTCTTGCGTGGCTAAGAACGCACTTCGTTCTGTTGAGGCAACTTCTGTTGTTGAAGTGATGAAAACAATGAAGTCCTGTAGCAGTATTAAGTCAGGCTACAGTGGAAGCTCTTCAGGTAATTATATTATTGACCCTGATGGCAAAGGAGGCGTGGCCTCGTTCAGTGTGTATTGTAACATGAGTGACAAGGGAGGAGTTGGCGTGACAGCCATCAGCCACAACAGTGAGAGTAGAACCCATGTTGCCAATATTCCTGGATGTGGTAGTCCAGGTTGTTACAAGAAAGATGTGACTTACACTGGAGTTGGCACCGCTCAGTTGGCAGCACTTACTCGAGTCTCGCAGAACTGTGAACAGTTTATCAAGTTTGAATGCAATAATGACATAGCTTTTATTGAGGATTCATATGCCTGGTGGGTGTCACGTGACGGAAGACGCATGTATTACTGGGGTGGAGCTACAGGATATAACAACACGTGCGCATGCGGAGTAACAAACTCCTGCTCAAATAGTGGTCGAAAGTGTAATTGTTACAACAGTGGCAGCGGCTGGAGAGAGGACGACGGTCTACTGACAGAGAAGTCTGCTCTTCCTGTGACTCAGATCAGACTGGGAGACTTGGATCAATCACATGAGGAAGGTTATCACACATTAGGCAAACTCAAATGTTATGGACAGGCTTGATGAACTTATTTTGCTACAAACAGTGCCCGTTGTCAGTCGGACCAGCACAAATTATTTCTCTAAAGAAAAGACATGCACGCTACATGAGAAGGCTAGTCTAACGATCATTCGTTTAACACACCTAAAAACCTTAAACGTATTTCAATTGAAATTTTATCGACTTTTCGTTCTTAAACAGACGAGTTTTTTAAAAATTTAAGATTTAAAGGAGAACTTAGAGTCTAGCGCGTAGAGACCCCATTACTTAGATATTTACGTTTTGTTCCTAAAATCTTTGGACCTTGCACTGTAGTGGTCGTGGTCGTGATTAAGAACCTATCAATATAGCATTGATCTCAGTCACTTCTTGTTTAATTAGTTTCATTTGATTTTAACTTCGAATTCGTATTTGTATTGTTCAATCTTTAGAATGTGGTATATAAGCCAACAATTACCTCACATGCAGTCCCTTCCATCTTACTCAAACGATGGACTTCCATTTATAACTTAATTTCCAAGTTCCGCTTCAGTTCACGCTCACAGTATCGATGAGGAGGGGTAAGTGAGTTTTTTTATTAAAAATTTTAGGTTTTTGTTTGTTTTTGTCGTGATTAAAAGAACCTTTAATTATAGCATCGATCTCAATCACTTCTTGTTTAATTAGTTTTGGTTTAAACTTTCCCTTGGTAATTAGTTTTGTTATTTCAGAGCCTCAAATAGTCCAGAAAGCGTTTCCTCCGCGGTTTTGAACGCGCTGTCTTTGTCATGTAATACACTCCGCTGTCATATGAATCATAGCTGCTAAGAGTACAATTGGGAAGAATTTCCGAAGCGCTAAGTGGATAAACATAAATACATAAACAGCTCAAAACTTGCTCTACGAATGGCCCAAGCTGCATACTCATTGTACAGCTGCACTCGCTGGAAAAGCAAAGCAATTAAAATTGTTAACCGAGAAGGATTCAATGCTTGTGATTACTTTACTTGACATTACTTTGAAGTACAGTATTTTATGTACATTTAGTTGGTTCCTTGTAAAGCTATTATTGTTAATAAAAACAGCGCAGTTGACTGTGGGAGGTTCGTTGAATCTACCTCCATCGCGATTCAGCCTTCAAGAGCCGCCACGTGCACGATTCATTCTGGAATCACACGATGTCCCCGTTGATGAGGGCTTCCCTGGTCTATTACCTTACCTTTATCTATTAGAATTTGACCAGGCATTAACAGTTGCTGCGCTCCTTTCATGCCAAGCAACCACTTCTAACCTGCGCGACAGGCTTTGAAAGCGGAGGGGAAGGAAGGAAAAGGTAGAGGGGATTAGGGAGAGAGGGAAAGGGACTTCCTCTCCCTTTCCCTTTCGCGCTTTTCTCCCCCTCCCCTCCCCTCCCCTCCCCTCGCCTGTTTTGCGCCTGCCACGCAATTTAACCTCTTCTAAAAAACAGAAATGCCTGGAACCTTACCGAAAAAAAAAACAATAAGTTATGAGAAATTTTTCAATTCCACCGTGAATATCTGTGAGACAAATTATCAGACGGCGCAAACACCTCGAGGTCTTCCCCTGAAGGATCTTGTTTACTGTGGGTAATGTCGACTGAGATATCGGTCGACATAGCGGTCGATATAGCGGTCGACAGTCGGTCGATATAGCGGTCGAAGTCGGTCGATAGTCGGTCGACAGTCGGTCGATAGTCGGTCGATAGTCGGTCGATGGTCGGTCGATAGTCGGTCGATAGTCGGTCGATAGTGAGATAGACTATCGGCCGAGTATCGGTCGATATTTCGTCGACGCACCTCGAGTTACTATCGGTCATATGTCGGTGATATATCGGTCAACTGTCGGTGATATATCGGTCAACTGTCGGTGGTATATCAGTCAACTGTCGGTGGTATATCGGTGAACTGTCGGTGGTATATCGGTCAGCTGTCGGTGGTATATCGGTCAACTGTCGTTCGAATATTAGTCGTGTGTTAATTTATCAGGTGAGTCCAATGGCTTTTTTTTTTTAAAGCAAAGACGTCATTAATTACTGTTATCATGCGATGGGGAAAATGTGGCAGTGCAAGGCGCGATTACGCTATGAAGAGAACCGAAGAGCACTGGGAACTGAGGACATGATAAGCTTTTTTTTTCCAGTTTGTATCATCACCGATCGTCTGAGTTTTAGCTGTTAAACAGAACCTGTCTCAGCCTAAGTTGAATCTGCTGCTCCTGTGGTCCCGCAAAAATGTAGGAAAATGTAGGAAATGCTACGTGTCGACCGACCATCGACCGAGTGTCGACCAATTACTGACCGACACATCGGTCAAGTATCGACCAACTATCGACCAAGTATCGGCGAAGTGTCGGCGAAATGTCGGCGAAATGTCGGCAAAAAGTAGGTTAAGTGTCGGTGAACGAAAAGCTATATCGGCCGAGACACATCTGGAACGACTATCGGCCGTGTCTCGACCGAGTGTCGACCCACTATCGAGCGACTATCGACCGACTATCGACCGCTATATCGACCGACTGTCGACCGACTATCGACCGAGTGTCGACCGAGTATCGACCGACTGTCGACCGAGTGTCGACCGACTATCGACTATTGATTCCGTATCTTTAATAGAGGCGAGAAGGGGGTCTGATAAATATCATCATCATCACCATCGGTCCAACCTTTAATATCTTTCCAGTGAATGTAATTACAAATACGACATGAGGTCTTGAATGAAATAAAAGCCATTAATAATAAAGAGACACCTTTTCACTATAAATGAAAACCATCATCAAAATTTTGCGATGTGGTGAATGGCTTTGGACAAACAACCCTGAAACTGATCAAGTTTACGTCCGTGACTGTTTAAATTGATCCTAGACTTCTGAAATTGAGGTTAAGATTACCTGAAAATAGTTAAGCTCACAGATAAGTGAATTTTTAGTTGTTTGGAAAATAGCCAATATTGTTAGTGGAGACCAGGTCAAATAGAAGAAATTAAATCCGACACCCATAAAACATTTCCGCTGTCGTAGCCACTGAGTGCGACAATAACCCCAGCTGCAAATGAACTAAAAGTCATTGACATTTAAGCACTGGTTTCCTTAATGTTCTTCTGTTCATGGAGAAATCAAAGACACCAAGTCTTTCACCCCTCGCAATTTTCATCCGCGATATTTTCAGTCACTCTCGCAATTTGTTTCGTGGCGTTGATTCACGTCGAGATCGAACTTCATGTTCATCGTCAAATGCTTCAAGTTTTAAATCAACAGAGAGAAGACAACATCGAGCTGCGAAAAGTAGTCGATAGTCATGAAAAAACCATCGATTCTATGTTGAAGATGTTGCAGAGTGGATCACCTACAGGTAATTGCATACTTATTAAACTATCCCTCGTCTTCAATTTTTGTCAATTTTAAACATCCATATGCAGTTCAAAACAGAATCAAAAGCCTGATTAATTTAAGATAACTTTTAATATTGAATCATTTAAGCTCAGGGAAAAAAACAAACCTTTTAAAAGAAAAAGGTGATCGCAATGTTTGGCGCCTTTTACGAGAGGTCAACTCTCACTCAGTTCATACGTGCCGTGATCAAAGCCAGTGATCCTAAAGAATTTTTTTGCTCGCTTTGCCTCTTTTGAAAGAAACTGGTTCCCTTTCCGCCGCTCTCTCGGGGAACTAATTTTTTTTCCACAGCGAAAGTTTGGCTTCTTGCTGGGGATTAATATTTGCGATTTTCAGGAGGTCGTGCCTTCGAAACACTAATGAAACAACACGCAGAGATGTCACTGTTTGTAAAACACATTGCCGATAAACAACATTTCCCTGTTTTTCTCTGACGCTACGGTAGACATTGCCATCCCTAGTCCCTGTACGGCGTCTTCCCACGCAATCTCGGTCAAGGCATTTCGGTGGCGAACTCGCTCGGACCACGTGACCCGAAACGCATTAGCCGCGCGAAATAATGAGGCCTACGGACAAGGCAACGGCTGACAGTGATTCCGTACAGTCCTTCGCTATCATTAAAAACACTGGACACGGGAATTTTGTTGTTGGCTGTTTTCACACTAGAGCTAGAAACGGATTATCCGTCTCAGACTAGCCTGTGTACAGTCGCCCCCTTCCCGACAGACACCCCTTCTCCGATTTTTTTCTGAGGGGAGGGGGTGGCTGTACACAGGCTATCTTGAACGGATAATCCCGTCTTCAAACTGTCCGTCGAAATTGAAGGATAAAGTCAGGCGGATTGTTCATTCAAACTTAAAACGATTCCATTTTCAAATTAAGACGTATTAACTATCTGACGCGAATCATCAAACGGATAACCCGTCTCACACGAATAATCCGTCTCTAGTGTGAAAACAGCCATTTCTGTTGTAATGAATGTCGCGTCCCGACCTTGAGTTGGGCGTTCACGTGTGTGCTTTGCTTTTTCACAAAGATTATTTTTAAACTGACAATTGACATTTCTATGTGTAAAATAACATCAAAAGTGGAATACTTTATAAAAAGTATGATCTATCAAATGTTAAAATTTTTCAAAAGAATAGCTTATTTCACATCCCGAGATGATCTTAAGACCTTTATTTTGCTTTAAAGGTACAAAAAATAGAGGTTAATTAATATTTAACTTTTTGAAACAAAGGAAGTTAATTTTTAACTTTTTTGTTAACCGTAACTGAAAAAAATTAGCCGATAGCCGTAAAAGAGCCAAAATTTTAGCTAATAACCGTAAATGCCACCACCCCATTGAGACCCTCACATGGGTACCGGAGAGGTAGTTGCCCGGGGGATTACTCCCTATAATGGCCTGCACGGGGAGGCTCCGACCGAAAGGAGTACCTTTTTCAGGCCTTAGGTATATGAAAGGGTAGGGACTCTACTCGTTGAAGTATACAAAAGGGTCTGTGAAAGGGCCTAAAAAGGCTAACAGATGAATTTTATAGCTTTATTAAGTCGAGAAAACGTTCTACTTTTGTGATTGATTCTCATTTAAAAGACAGTGCATTTCTTGACAGCAGTTAAAAGGTTTGCAAAGTGCTAGACAAGGTATGTGAAAGGGGTACCACTTTGTTAACAGAAGGTATACAAAAGGGGTACCTTTTTCGTAAAAAAATGATATATAAAAGGGTAAGGGGTTGAACCTCGGGGCGGAGCCTCCCCAAATGAAAATTTGTTGAGTACCCCCCCCCCCCTGCGAAGTTGTTCGTTTCGTAAACGGTCGCTGCCATTTTTAAAACTCTTAGGGTTGATTTCCAGTGTCGCGTAATTTTAACGTGCGTACGTGAGTAAAAATTACGTTCGCAAATAAAATAGTGGCAATGCATGAAAGGTCGCTCGTAAGCGTAAGAGTTGAACCTCGCTCAACTTTTCGTTTAATCTCAGCACTTTTATCTTTTCTCTATTTTATTTACGTGATTAAAATTTACTTGCGTTAACGTGCCTAGCCAAAAACGGGGCAGTGGAAAGCAACCTTTAGAAACTTTTTGAAGTCTATTAATAAAAACGAAAATCGCAACCCAGGGTTGAACCTGGACCTCGAACCCGGACCTTGCGTATCCTAATCTCTCTGCCTTATCACTACACTTCCAAACTGACCCGCCAAAATTCCGAAAAAATTAAGTACATAAACTAGCAAAGTGTCTTTCTCACCAGATACATCAATAACAGGTGACTCTATCCCTTTCCATAATTTTAACGTAAATTCAACTTGGACTTCAACTTCGTTCTTTTTAAGACTATTCAAAAACGTATTATTTGCCTTATTGTAAATTAATCCAGGGAATCAAGAGAGGATCTTGAGGGAATATATTACATCCATCATGAGTAAAGGCTTGGTTACCAATGGTGGCAACGACCGTTTACGAAAGGGAACTAAGCACCGGCGACATGCATGGTGCTTACATGGGGGTAACCCTGCTATGGATTAGCAATACTCCTAGGCATGCTTCATGCTAAAAAAAACCGGGATAAACTCCGGTCGTTTGGGACTTTGGCTCGTGTGCGCCTTTACTGTTACGTTTTTTGGAGATTAAGGCCCTTGCTCTCAAATTAAAGAACTAATTTGATGATTACATTACATTTCAGATGCACACATCCGTCTAAAACGCCATCTGCAAAACAGGGATTCCAACGCCAGTGAATCCTTCGCCAGAAAAGAAATTCAAATGGCCTGTACAATTCATTGTGCGAAAGGAATCAGGGGACGCCGAGGCAGGCCTGGTACTCCAGGCAAGCATGGTCCGCCTGGGCCCCAGGGACCACAGGGGCCTAAAGGTTCTCAGGGAGATCAGGGGCCTCCTGGACCTAGGGGCAATCAGGGCCCTCAAGGACCCAGGGGTGATCCTGGTGACTCCATCTCAGCTCCTTCTATTGTGACATACCCAGTTTCCACTGTGGTAAACGAAACTGATGTAGCTTCACTGCAGTGTAAGGTTAAAGGAAATCCTGTTCCTCAAATTACATGGCTTAAAGAGAATACCAGTCTTCCAGCCGACAAACGAATCGTACAGTCTCGTGGAGGTTTAATGATTAAGGATGTGACGTCACAAGATGGTGGAGTGTACACGTGCGTAGCAAGCAACATTCTTGGATTAATAAAAAAATCGGCCACCTTAACTGTCCAAGGTAACATGCTCCTCCTTTGTTATTAATTGGAAAGTCATGGATTAAAAGCTATTAATAAGAAATCAAACTCTATTAAATGATATACTTTCAACTTGAAATTAGGCGTATTAATAGTCAACGATGTCTGTTAAATTCCCCATGAACAATTATTAATATCCCACTGTCCATATAGCCTACTAATGATGATGAGTCTTGTCAAAACTGCCTGTTTTTAGTGAATAGAGCGGTAATTGGGCTATAAATACAACTTCGACGACTATAGTGTCCTATATACCTAATTATATACGGGGGATTCTATGCAAGACGATTTGCAACGATGATTTTTAAGGCAACATTGTTGGAACAATTCGAAGAAATTTCCCCGCAATGTTGCAATTGCCTAATTTCATACTGCGCGGGGGACTATCACTACCGGATGTTCCCGGAGATTTTAAAAAGTCCAGTTTCAAAATGGCGGATAGTCGGAGTAAAAACTCGAACGAAAGCATTCTTTTTCGAAGAAATATTGATCAATATTCCCTCGGAGAATCTGTCTACACTTAGTAAGGAAAGGATGCAGTATTTCTGCCATGCCCTGAAGCTAAACTTAAGAAGCAGACACTCAGCAAGTGCAAGCAATTGTTCGATGAACAGGTCGCTCGAACCAAACATGATTATAAATTTTCTACAGCAAAGGATCCTCTGTTTAATTCTACCCGCATATGAAAAGTAGAGGATCATTGCAGGAAAGAACACAGATGTGATTGTGCACGTACCGATCGTATCCTAAGTATGCTGGAGCAAAACTTAAAAGAGCAGTACAGAAGGGGTTACCTGGATTATTCCCGTCGCGGAAAAGAGCAATGTCCGTGAAAGGTAATGAGTGTAGTGAACTTTGTGGCCTTATGTATGTTAAACCTAGTATTGTTCACATGAAGGGAGATAAGGGACTAGTCTATACTCAGTGCATGCTAGCCAAAAGGTAGATTCTTGATTGTGATTACAGGCTGATTGCCCAAATTACAGGAACTGCAGTGTTACCGGACGAGAAATGCCTCTCAAGTAAGACTGAAGTATACTTGCTTTTATCCATGTTCAGTGAGAATTGTTTCCGGTCTGATCTTTAGGATTTCCACTGAGACCGTACGCAGCGACGGGGAGAAAATCTGACGTAAGTCTTGCCGACCTAATTTACACTGTTGCCGTTTCACTCAGGGTCACTCTGGCGTGTTTCGCTTTTTGGTAGTTTTTATTTTACGGTTTGGAAAAAACAGGTACACCCACTCCCTTATCATTCCCTAATATTCCGTCGGATCCAGCGCCGTGAAGAGAGCTAAACTCGACGGTTCTTTGTTCAAATTTTTTGTCGAACAATCCGGGAATCCTTCCAATACTTCCAAGCAGCGAAAGTGTCCGATTCAGGAGCCTATCAAATGGAGCCTCCATCTCCCATACAAGCCCTTGGAGTCAACCCTTTCCCGAGTAGATTTATAATTAGAACGGTTCCCAGGGGAGACTTCGCGCGCCGACGGTGGGAAGAGCCAATCACAACGACTAAATGACACTGCTATTGTACTTCATGAAACAGCAGGAAATCCGGTGCTGACAGGCCAAACAAAATCATAAGCTAGTGAAACGTGACTTTAGCGTTTTCATCCCTCAGAGATTTTCTTTCCTTTCTTTCTAGCGGGTAGATTATACTGTGGAGAGTTTTAAACTCTGACTATGTTAATCTTAATTTTGGTTGCTTGTCTCACATTAAGCTGGTCTGTTACATGCGTAAGGATTAACTACTACCTGCAGTCTGTAGTTCTGACAGGATTAGTTTTCTTTAGCCAATTTTTTTGAGCGTTAAGGTTCTTATTAACCAAATTTCTAGTTTTTCAAGTTTTTATCCGAAATGCGTTTGTCTGAATAAATACTGTGGTTGTTTTGTCCGTCAGTTAGTGTGATGATTCCCTGCTATGTTTTGTAACGCCGAGCCCAGCCATTGTTTTCTCGCAAAAAAAGTGATCTACAGATGCGAATTCAAAGGAAAGAATTGGCCTAAACTTCTACATTAATTGCTGAGAATTCTCCTGTTGGTCAGTCATAATTCTTTGGGCGCAGATACAATCCATTTTCTTTTTCTTGAGATAAGAGGGTCTTTGGACTGGAACGCGATGTCACAAATTCCACCGTTAGCAAATTACTTTTGAGTTAGCTTCATCACGGTCGAGCAACTGTTGTCTTCTGTTCAACTTTTCAAGTGCCAGTTTTATCAGGCAACCCTCATGGTGATACAAGTCAGTTGTAAAGGAAGACTGCAATTTTTCTGAAGCATTCCTCCTTAGTTGCTACTTAGGTCATCGCTTTTGCACACGGTGCTTAACTGGCGAAATCCACTACACGGCGATGACAAAAATAAATGATCCTGGCACTTTTTCGGCGCTGATCATCGAAAAGTTTCAAATCGTCCACAGAACGCTTAATCGTCGACTCTTTTCAAGGTGCATGCTTAAATGTGGGATGTATGAAGGCAAAAAAAAAAAAACAAAAACAAACACTCGCAAAGAACCTTTCCGTGATCCTCAGTTCGCTGCCTTTGTCCCATCGCTTCATGCTCAGTCTCAGTCGGGTAATTCATTAACTTTTATTTCATCCCAGATCCCAGCGGCTGTAAAACTGTAAAAATGGACGTATAGTAAAAAAGGAAAACGGTCGAAGGACGGGCTTCTGAGTTCGACTTCATCCAACTTCATTTTTTTCACGGTGACATACGAGACTCACGGAAATATGACACTCTTCGCGGGAAACAAGCCGTTCTATTTATAAATCTACTCGGGAAAGGGTTGACTCAAGAAATTAATGGAGATGGAGGCTCCATTTGATGGGCTCCTGTCCGATTAGATCTTTCTTTTCTCGAAATTTTTAATCGAGGTTCTTTATCGCAGTAAAACAACTGTTCGTAGCTTTAGAGTATTAACTTTCTGGAGTAATCTGGCCCTTAATATCGTTTCAACTATACGCAATGACCTTTGCTTTACCTTCTATTTTGAAAGCCATTTTCAATCCCGAATCTGAAAAGTCTGGGAAAATCCGGTAGTGCCAGGCTTCTGCGCGGTATGAAATTAGGCAATGCTGTATTGCACTGTAAACTGTCGTTGTGAATCGTCCCCTGTAACATTGCTCAGGAAAAAATAATGCGACAGAAACTGTTATCGGTAGATTCTAGGTTCGGCTCTAATCAAGGGAACTCGGAGACGTTTTCCCAGAACCCTCTGTTTTAATTTACTTGTAACTTGTTTTTATTAACTTGGCTTATTATATTTCTTCATTACTTTAAAGTTTCTGCCTTAATCAATCAAAAACCCTCGTCTGTTTTTGCTGAAGTAGGGGAAAACGTGAGGTTGCAGTGTAAAGCTACAGGTCTTCCAAAACCAACGATCACGTGGCGGAGAGCATTTGGTTCCTTGCCAAGAGGGAAGACTGAAGTGGATGATGGGAAATTGACAATTCGTAACATAGCTAAAGCTGATAGCGGGGATTACGCATGCTCGGCGAAGAATTTTCTTGGACAGGACTTTGTTGTTGCTCAGTTAATAGTGATTAACAGGCTCACATTTACCCTTACTCCTCCCCGGAAAGTTACTGTATCACAGTCACGCAACTTGTTGCTAAACTGTGCAGCTCAAGGTAACACTGAGATCACGTGGAAGAGAACTGGAAAAGGCTTACCTCACAGCCACGTGATTTATTCAAATGGAACTTTGCTCCTCAGAAGCGTGGTTACAAACGATGCCGGAACATATTCTTGCGTGGCTAAGAACGCACTTCGTTCTGTTGAAGCAACTTCTGTTGTTGAAGTGTACAACAAACCTTTGTCCTGTAGCAGTATAAAATCAGGCCGCAGTGGAAGCTCTTCAGGTAATTATATTATTGACCCTGATGGCAAAGGAGGCGTGGCCTCGTTCAGTGTGTATTGTAACATGAGTGACAAGGGAGGAGTTGGCGTGACAGTTATAAGTCACGACAGTGAGAGTAGAACCCATGTTGCTAATATTCCTGGATGTGGTAGTCCAGGTTGTTACAGGAAAGATGTGACCTACACTGGAGTCAGCACCGCTCAGTTGGCAGCACTCACGCGAGTCTCACAGAACTGTGAACAGTTTATCAAGTTTGAATGCAATAATCGCGTAGCTTTTATTTCAAGATCGCCAGGTGATAATTATGCATGGTGGGTTTCACGTGACGGAACACGTATGAACTACTGGGGTGGAGCGACAGGCCAAGATAACATGTGCGCATGCGGAGTAACAAACTCGTGCTCTAATGGTAAAAAGTGTAATTGTCACAACTATGCCAACGGTTGGAGAGAGGACAGTGGTTTACTGACAGACAAGTCTGCTCTTCCTGTGAAACAGATCAGACTGGGAGACTTGGATGGTTCAAGTGAGGAAGGTTATCACACATTAGGAAAACTCAAATGTTATGGACAGGCATGATGAACTTGTTTTAATTGCCACAAACACGGCCCGTTTTTCGGAAGGAATTTGGCTTCGGATCAAATTATTTCTTTAAAAGGAAGATATGCACGCTACATGAAAAACTTTTCTATTGAACAATCGTTTAAAACACACGGAAACCTTAACAGACTTATTAGCATTTCGAATGAAATTTTATCGACCTTTCTTAGCATTCTGAGTGGTAAAAAGTGCTTTAATTTTTTGGTACCTTTTTGTTATTTGTACTTAGTTTTGGTAAGATCCCAGTATTACAGTACTTTGTCACTTGGACAGATGATGTTTTGCAGAGCAAACCGCTACTAGATGTCTTCTATCTATCCAGCTGGTAGACAAAACCGGGAGGCATCCCACTACATCTTTTCCTCTTCATCTTCTAACAACTCGGAGTGTAGCTAAACGTCGTGGGTCGTGGTTAGTGGGTAGAGGTCGTGGATGTGGATAGGGTCGTGGGTCGTGGGTGTGGGTAAATGTCTTGGGTATAAAAAGCAATTTTTCCAAAAAAAAATGAAAATCAAAACATTAAATGAAAAAAAGTTGTAAAATTCATCAAACGAAAATCTCCGCGTACATACCGGGAGTCCTCAATACCCCTTCCCCGCGGTCAGCAAAGCAAATAAGCGAATCCTCTAGTATAAAAGGACACTGAAACGTCCTTTCAGTTTAAGGAATGATATTTCAGAATTGTTACAGCAAAGATTTAGTACACAAAACAAAACAAAAAAGAATCGAGAAAGTTACATTTCCGTACGGAAAAAAAATTTACAGACAGTCTAGCTCGTTGAGCATGAAGAAAGACTTCTATCTAAAAATATGAAATAACTCAAAATTGTACTTTTTCCCCTCACTTCCCCTCCCCTTTCCCACGGTGATCGCATTCCAACGTGTTAAAAAATCTGCGCTGATTATTAGAAAGGTAGATCGAATAAAAGTTAATTTTTGTAAGCAGCTATTTCCATTCAGCGAGTCAGAGCTGTCCTATACTTTCTGCAAAATGCACATTTCGACATATTTTACATGTACGTCTGTTTCGTTTATTTTCGCGACGATCGCTCAGGTATGGACAAATCTTCATCGGCAACATGTCTTTCATACAATGATGTTGCGAAAGGGGACCCAAGTCCCACGTGGCTAAGGAAATATCAGGAAGAGGATGAAGAAGAAGACGTGAAAAGGACAATCAAGGAGTCAGAGATTTTCGTTTCATAAACATTTTACAACTTTTTTCTATTTATTTTTTTTTTTCAATTACTTTACTTTATCATTTTTTTGTAAACTTTTTTTTACCCACGACCCACGACATTTACCCACACCCACGGCGCTCGACCCACGACACACAACCCACGACCTCTACCCACTATCCAAGACCCACGACCTTTAGCTACACTCGTGGAATGGGATAGAGATACATAATTTTTATAGTTTGCATTTTTAGAGTGTAGCTAAATGTCGTGGGTCGTGGGTAGAGGTCGTGGGTCGTGGGTGAGGGTCGTGGGTGTGGGTGTGGGTAAATGTCGTGGGTAAAAAAAGTATAGAAAAAAAGTGATAAAGTAAAGTAATTGAAAAAAAGAAATAAATAGAAAAAAGTTTTTAAAATATTTGTGAAACGAATATCTCCAACTTCTTGATTGCCTTTTTCGTCACGGCTTCTTCTTCCTCTTCCTGTGGGACTTGGCTCCCCTTTCACAACATCACTGTATAAAATTCATTTTGCCGATGAAGATTTATCCATACCTGAGCTATCGCCGCGAAATAAACGAAAGAGACGTAAATTATACCTGCAGTTTGTAGGACAGTATGGGACAGCTCTGACTCGCTGAATGGAAATAGCTGCTCACTATTTATCTTTATTCGATCTACAATTCCAATAATCAGTGGAGATTTTTTAACACGACGGAATGCGATCACCGTGAGAAAGGGAAGGGAAAAGGACAATTTTTAGGTATTTCACATTTTTGGTTAGAAGTTTTAGGTCTCTTACCTTACGAAGAAACCACCTTCATTGTCTTCATTCCCAACCTTTCAAATTAAGGCGAGACTGTATGTAAATTTTTTTGCCGTACGGAAATACAATTTTCTCGATTACTTTTTGTTTTGTTTTGTGTACAAACTCTTTGCTGTAACGATTCGAAATATCATTCCTTAAACTGAAAGGACGTTTCAGTCACGAATGTTGCCATCTTTGAGAAAAAGCAGTTCAGTCTCCAGTTTTTGTATAGCCTGCTTCAGGTTTACATAGTGCACAGAGTTTCTTTTATTTTTCACCTAAATGTCTTTTTAGTGTCCATTTTTACTAGAGGATTCGGTTATTTGCTCGATTTGCTGACCGCGGGGAAGGGGAATAGGACTGGTATGTACGCGGAGATTTTCGTTTCATGAATTTTACAACTTTTTGCTATTTAATTTTTTAATTTCTATTTCTTTTTGGAAGATTTTTTTTTTACCCACGACAATTACCTACACCCACACCCACGACCCACGACATTTAGCTACACTCGCATTTTTATTGAAACAAGAAACGATTGGCATTATCTTTAACCGGGACATTTCTTTAACGCAGCCCTCCCTTAATACCTTTGCCCGCCCAAAAGGATAGCACGACAGTCAGAACGTGACTAATTTGATCTAACCGAAATTGCTAATAATTATTGTCTTTCTACGCCAAAACTGGCAGGATCAACTTTGGCGTTTTAAATACTCTTAAATAACACGTACAGTTTCTTTCTGTTTCTTAAAAGACACAAAGCAAATTAAGTTTCAGTTTTATTTCTGTCGGATTTTGCCTTTGAGTCTTCTTGTGCCGAATCGAAGGAACTGCTGGTAACTGGGCAGACTAACTGGGGATTTCAGCTGTGACTGTTTGGCTAAAGCTAAGCCGTGCTCGAGGGGTGACCCTATTGGGCAGAATGCCGGACTGACGGAATGATGGAACGTAATGGCAGAATATTCTAAAATATGGAATATACTAAAAGACGGAAATTACAGAATATTGTAAAACAAAACATGGAATATACGGAATATTCTAATCGCAGAATAAGAGAAAAATCGTTTAAAAAGGATATATATACTTGTATACAGTCGACTCCCATAACTCGAACCTTCGCTACTGACTCGAACCTCATGCTAACTCGAAGTAATACCAATTTTTGTTTATCTTCAGGTCATCGTCTATATAATTTTACCCTCAATAACTCGAACCATGTTTTAAGCGCGTGACAAGTAAAAAAAAAAGACTTACCGTAATGATTCGATTTAGCGCCCAGGACGCTTATTTACTTTTAGTGCCTCAAGGGAGGGCGCTTATTCGGGACAGGATGCTTAATTCTTTTTTGAGAAACAAACGAATATTCAGTTAACGTGATGGACTTACCTTGCAAATTGCTGGGTGTGAGCCGTTGGAACTTTCCTCCCTTATATTCACCTTTCTTAAAAAAGCCTGCAGTGAGAACAAAGTCAAGTCAAGGTGAATGGATCAAGGAAACTGGAAAACGGACTTGTGGTCCCTGGATCCTTCCTCACGACCAACCGAGCGATCGCCACAAAATTTGAAGAAGAGATCATTCTTTTGAAGAATTTATGCACTCACATGGACATAAGACCATGGGCATTGACCACTATTTTTGTAATGTGGCATTACCGTTTGTTTGTGAGCTATTCAAGATGAACCTCGGTTGATACGTACCCGTACTCTTATATAATATTAGAATGGGGGCGCTTCTTAATTAAAAAAAAAACAAAACATTTTAAGGGTGGGCTTATTCGAAAGGGAAGGGGGGCGGTGATCGGAAGGAGGGCGCTAAATCGAATCATTACGGTAATTACGGTTTTGGAGGCCATCTTGACGAGTAAACAACCGCGTGAAAATATACAGTGTTGCATGTAAAATTTTTTTCCTTCTTGCCGACCAAAATTTCCCAGGACAAATTGCGGAAAATGTCTGGAAAATCTATACATTTACATACATACATTTTTTTTTATTGTGTTTTGGGGTAAAAGTACAATTATAACATGCCCGCGGGTAGCTAAGCTAATCTAGGCGGGTCATGTTTACAGGAAATAAATACTAAAAAGTTGCAAAGCTCCTTCTAGTCTCAGTCATTCTCTCGAAGGGGGTCTATGCACCTCTCAGTTATCTTGAAAGCCCGGCACTGAAGCAACTTGAAGCAACTTCTTCCCCGTATAAAAGCTGTAAATATGATGTTCAGATTCAGCATCAGTTTTGCTTTGATCGGCAAAGTTAACAACATCTTCGGTCATGACCTGTGCGAATAATTTCAAGATCATACAATTATTCCATGCAGTAACTCTACTCTTGGCAATCATGGCGTCATCTAAAGCATTTTGGATTCAATCGAGGTCGGCCTCTCTTAAGAAAAAAACGGAGAGAGAACTGAAAATACGATACGTACCGCAAATTTAAAAGTACCTTCAATGCAAATTGCCACACATTGCATGTTTCTCATAGTCAGCAATCAAAAAGTTTTTTTAAAAAAGTCATCACCATCATTGTCGTTCTCGTTTAACGACTTTTAATCATTCTCCTTCCAGGCTTTTCTGCTATACAGTAAAATGTGTATTAATAAAGCAAATATAGCACAAGTTTTCATATTCTCGCTCTTTTGCATTGTGAGAAATTTCCATCTATAAGCTCTTATTTCAATCACTAAAACCGTACTAGAAATTTAATTGCGTCATAGTAAAAAAATATCCAATGCTATCAGAAAAGACGAGGTCAGATCATGACAGATGGGGCCTGGGGATATAAGATAAAATCCGAGATCCAAACAACAAATCTAACCTTCACTGGTGATTGCGTATAACAACTTCAGTTGCAGTTCCCCTAAAGATCCCCCTAAAGTATTTCACCATTCAGTGAAAGTTTAATTCGCAATCTTCGATTCATGGAGAAATCAAAGACGGCGCATCTTGTCTCCAATAACGTAAAGTTTTTATCCGCATTTTTTTCAGCCTGTCTTGCTGTTTGTTTCGTGACGTTGATTCACGTCGAGGTCGAACTTCGTGCTCATCGTCAAATACTTGAAATCTTAAATCAAGAGAGAGAAGACAGTATCGAGCTACGAAACATAGTGGGTCGCCATGAAAAAACCATCGATTCTATGTTGAAGATGTTGCATGATGGATCACCTGACGGTAACTATTAAATTAAATATACCTTCGTCAACATATTCTTAATTTTTTATGGCATCCACACACAAATAAACTTTCGAAAAAAAAGGTTAGTTAAAGTAATTTTCACAATTCAATCACGTAAGCCCAGGATAAAAAAACAACACTAGTTTTCTTTTAAAAAAAAGGTTGGTTCGCACATGGAAATGATTTTTTTTGTAGTGACTTTTTGGAGTTATCCTAAAGAATTGTTGCTAAATTGGGTTCTTTTATAAGAGCAGAGGAAAAAATTACTATTTGAAGGTATTCAGCTGTTTTCCTGTAAAGCTGAAACGCCGTTGCGTGAGTATTTGATTAACACTTCCTGTTTATGTCAAATTCAGTCACCTCTGAGCCCATATAGCACGTAACGAGGAGCACTCTCGGTCGACCTTTGCACAAAACAGAATATTTAGTTACAGCTCAATGAACCATTCGTTAAGCCTACCCTGCGTTGGAGAACGAACGTGGGGTGAGGAGAGGGGGTTGGGGGTAGCTTAGAAGCAAACCTTTCCTGAAAACAACCACAGACCTTCGGCAAGCAGTAGACCGAGAAAGCAGAGTTATAAGTGAGGAAGGAGTTAAACTTGTGTTCGCTAATGAAGGTTAATTCTTGAAAATAAATGGATTGCCATTACATTATATTTCAGATACTCACATTCGTCAAAAACGTCGTGTGCAAAACAAGAATTCAAACGTCAGTGAAAGCTCTAACCGTGACATCATCAGGGAAGAAATTCAATCGGCCTTAGGGAGCATTGCTTGTAAAGTCTACTGCCCAAAAGGAATCAGGGGAAGACAAGGTAGGCCCGGTCCACCAGGGCTTCAGGGAAGACGAGGCAGGCCTGGTCCCACAGGCAAGTATGGTCCACGTGGGCCTCAGGGACCACAGGGACCTACAGGTTCTCAAGGAATTCAGGGACCACCTGGACCTAAAGGCGATCAGGGACCTCAAGGACCCAAGGGCGATCCTGGTGAGTCTATCTCAGCGCCTTCTATTGTGTCACCTCTGGTATCTATGGTGGTAAATGAAACTGGAATAGCCTCATTTCAGTGCGATGTTAAAGGCAATCCCGCACCTCAGGTCAAGTGGCTAAAGCAGAATTCCAGTCTTCCCAATGACAAACGAATTGTTCAATCAGGCAATGCATTCATGATAAAAGATGTTACGTCACAGGATGGTGGAATGTACACGTGTAAAGCAGAAAATATTCTTGGAGTGATGACATCATCGGCTACGTTAACTGTCCAAGGTGAGTTGAAAGACGCCTCCTCAGAGCACCTCTTGTGGAATAGACATTTATTCTGCATGGGGCCCTGGGAATGGGTTTTTTGGAAGAGAGTCTCATTCAGTTCGCCAAAATATCGGGGGACCTCTCATGTAAAAGAAGCGGGATACTCATCGCGAAAATTTGAAATTATACCTCTTAGGGACACCGACCTAGGCACGGATCCCTACTCAATTTCACGCTAAAAGATAACGCTTTTAAAAAAGTATTCGTTCACTCCATGCGAGTACAAAAAAAACTCATCCTCTTGCAAGTTTGCTCCTCAAAAGCGCAGAAAGAACTTAGGGCTTTTAAAATTTATATGTTTACGCAGGAGGTATTGACAAATGATTTAAGCCTAATAAGAGGATTATAACGGTTATTTTTAATTCCCGGCAAGTCTTTGAAAATCGCTAATATTTCATTGTTGTCAGTAAAATCTCATTTTGGAGCAGATTTTCAAGAAGATTTTTTCGTATGCGGTATAACTCAGAATGACTTGAAATTAATTTTCCCGATAAGTACAAATGGCCTTCTTTCCTATGATGTAAAAATTTATCTGGGGCCTTAATTCACCGCCAAGAAAAAGTCCGCTAAACTTCGATCGCGAGGAAATTACGCATTGACTTGTCAAGAAATTAACAAATTATGCCTGTCTACGTTATGACAAAGCCAAAATTTCACACAAATCTCAGCATTTAGCACTTTTTTCAGGGGCGTGGCTGTCTTTAAAGCCATTAAGCCCGGGCTTAACCCTAATTTGGGTCAAAATGGGCTCATGTCCTATCGTGAAAGGATGTCAGAATACAACTCATTGTAGTCGCGGTGATGGGCTTATAAAATTGGCACATAAACGGTCGACTTCCTGATAACTCGAACCCTCGCTTATTCGAACCTCCCAGTAACTCGAAGTAATTTTTGTTTCCCTTCAGATCATAACCTCTATACAATTTTACCTTCGATAACTCAAAGCATGTTTAAAGCGCGTGAAAAGTTAAAAAAAAAAAGGAGTGAACTGCAGGCATTGAATATAATTCAAAACAACTGTGCAACTGTGTAATACTCCAGGTGCGGATCTATAGGATAAATGCGGACCGATTTCCTTAACGAGTCCCGAGAGACGCACCCTTCTTGGGGGTCAATGGGCATACTTCCCCGGTAGATTTTTTAGATTCTAACTCCCTAAAGTCCCCTTTCCTGGATTTCCGAGTCATTCAGTTAGGATATTGGCACAGACAGCACGCGCACTACATAATGGAGGCTAGCGCGCACATTTGCATCTAACTAAAGAAAACATGACAGAAATAAAATAATAATAATGTTAATTATAATAATAATTAATAACATATTACAAAGGATACGACGGTGTTCTTTATTCTGTGACCGCTGTTTTCAACTCTCGCAGTGTAGTACCATACTTACCAATAATTGCACCATGACGGTTCAGGGGCACCCAAAGTCAATTTTTGGAAAATATCTGTTCGGAGGACGATTTGAGATCTAGAATTTTCGGAAAATATTTTTGAGACTTTATAGGATTTTCGAACATCTAAAAAATGGTATAATTGCCCATTTTTAAAGGATTTTACCCCCAAAAAGGTCAACTAGAATCTTCGGAAGCCTTTTTTCTGGCTGAAATTTTCGAAAAGGTAAGTTTTATAGTTCCCTGTAATTTTCGGATCATTAGACTTTCAGCTAGGAAATCCGAACAGATGAAAAATTTTTAGGGGATAAAAATATGCCTATATCTACGGTTTAAATACTAAAATACATTTAGCAATGCTATGTTTAGTGGTTTTGAACTATATTCTCGTTGGTTGTCCCTGACGGTTGAAGAATTTGGTAAGTGGTTTTAGTAGCAAGGTATATTTGAAGCCTTGTTGCCGGAGGCGTGACGAGCGCTGATGGAGCCTGTGTATGAAGTCCACCTTTGATGTAAAAATCCTGCAATACCTCACCAGCTGAGATGTGTATACTCTATGGGCCGGATTGCCTGGGAAGTTGCTGTCCATATGGGGAAAACGGACGATCTGGCAGTTGAAGTCATCCATCTTGTCGTAGATGCTGATATGATAATGTGTTTCGTCGTCTTCGTGTTTTATTCAAGTGTCGAGATAACATTTACCAAACCATTTTCTCTTTGCTTGTTTTTCTTCCCTTTTTTGTGGAATTGGCCCGACCACTTTGAAATAATACAATAGCCAAGTTGCTCCTACAAAAAAATTTAATTTCATGTCTTTAAATTCGTGCCCTAGTTAACTACGTTTATTTTTGCATTAATCGATGTAAAAATGCAGCCTCGAACAAGTCAATCCATCTGAATGATTCTTAACTTCATTTTACGTGAAGATCGGCGACTGATCTAAAACTTAGCCTCGCTCTGCAGTTCTATTTTGCCGACATCTTACTGAGTTTACACTGAGCAAAACAACTGTTTTAAGAAATTATGAAGACCTTACAACTGAGAAAGCCGCCACTTAGCTCATTTTCCTCCTCGCCAGGTCAGTGTCCACTGCGACTCCAAAGAGATATGATTTTGCACAACGAGAAGCGTGAAAACATGACATGTGCAATCTCTGATACTGACAAAACGTCTCAGTGTGAGCCCTTGCTACTAGCCCACACAAGCCAGAAATACATCTCTACAAACCTTAAGGGCTACATACATGTGTGTAGTAGAGATCTTTAAGTCAAAAAGGGTATTATTAGTATTATGGTCAAATATTCCTCTCTGATATTGACTATGACCCAGGTGATGGGCTAGTGCTATGACAGTATTTTCTTCATCTAAAACAACCGGTCCCAGGTCTTTTACAACTCGGGCTTAAAAGGAAAAAAATGGCTGACTACGCCCCTGGTGTTAGATCTAAAAAACAGTTCAGTAAGCTGACCTTGTAAAGCCGGCGGTGAAAAAACCTTTTTTTCTTGACAAATTGCCATCTCCACATGAACAAACGGCACACAACAACGCATTATATTACTCGATATTTTCAACCAATGTATTTGAGCTTTTACACGACAGTACCCCCGACACGTTGACTAGATTCTGCTAAAAAGTACAATAATGAAATCATAATTAGAGTTGGAGTAGAACGAATTTTGAACTCCAGAGTGACTGAATGTTCTTTCTGCGCTTTTGAGGAGCAAGCCTCTTGTATCCTTCCTTGTCGCTTTTATTTTGGTTATTTTATGGAAGTGGCGACCCGTTACAGTTTTTGGGAATTTTCTGGAAAAGAAAAAATATATAAACAAAAAAATTACACCACATTTATTGACACTAGCTTTGACTCACTATAAGTTTGCATGCCTGAGTTTTCCTTTGTCGATTATTTTGTTTTGGATTCCCCGTTTCTTTTACATGTCTGATGTACAACTATTTCTGTTTTAAAGTACGCGCTTTGATCACTCATACACCATCATCGATCACAGTGGAAGAAGGACAAAATGTGAGCCTGCAGTGTAAAGCTACTGGTTTGCCCGTACCGAGAGTGACGTGGCGGAAAGCGTTCAGCAAGTTACCGGTAAAGAGAAGCTCAATAGCCAATGGAAACCTGAGTATCCGCAGTATAACTAAAGCAGATAGTGGGACTTACGCATGCTCAGCAAAGAATCTCCTTGGAGATGACTCTGCTGTCGCCTTGGTGATGGTGATTAACAGGCTACAATTCATGATCATTCCTCCAAACAAAGTGAGCGCCTTACAATGTAGCAAAGTGATCTTGCATTGCACAGCTAAGGGTTCGACAGAGATCATTTGGAATCGAGTGGGTAAACAAATGCCTCAAAATCATGTTGTTTATTCAAACGGAACCTTGCTTCTGACAAACGTTTCTCCAAATGATGCTGGTTCGTATACATGCATAGCGAAAAACTCGCTGCGGTCTATTGAAGCATCATCTGTTGTCGAAGTGCCCAAACGTAAACCCACATCCTGTAGCGATTTAAAATCAAGATGCAGAGGAAAAACTTCAGGTAATTATATTATTGACCCTGATGGCAAAGGAGGCGTGGCTCCGTTCAGTGTGTATTGTGACATGAGTGACAAGGGAGGAGTTGGCGTGACAGTCATAAGTCACGACAGTGAGAGTAGAACTCATGTGAATAGCGTCAGTCCAGGATGTAGTAGTGAAGGTTGTTACAGGAAAGATGTGACTTACACTGGAGTTAGCACCGCTCAGCTGGCAGCACTCACTCGAGTCTCACAGAACTGTGAACAGTTTATCAAGTTCGAATGCAATAATGATGTTCAATTTGTACAGCAGAATGGTGCCTGGTGGGTGTCACGTGACGGAACACGCATGAACTACTGGGGTGGAGCTACGGGATATAACAACATGTGCGCATGCGGAGTAACAAACTCTTGCTCCAATGGTAAAAATTGTAATTGTTACAACGACAGATCTGATAGCGGTTGGAGAGCGGACAGCGGTCTACTAACTGACAAGTCTACTCTTCCTGTGACTCAGATCAGACTGGGAGACTTGGATCAATCACATGAGGAAGGTTATCACACATTAGGCAAACTCAAATGTTATGGACATGCTTGATGAACTTATTTTGCTACAAACAGTGCCCGTTGTCATTCGGACCAGCACAAATTATTTCTCTAAAGAAAAGACATGAACGCTACATGAGAAAGCTAGTCCAATGATCATTCGTTTAAAACACCTAGAAACCTTAAAGGCATTTCAATTGAAATTTTACCGACTATTCGTTCTTAAACCGATCAATTTTTTTTAAAAATTCAAGATTTAAAGAAGAACTAGCGCATAGAGACCCCATTACTTAGATATTTACGTTTTGTTCCAAAGTTCTTTGTACCTTGCACTGTAGTGGTCGTGGTCGTGATTAAGAACCTATCAATATAGCATTGATCTCAGTCACTTCTTGTTATATTGTTCAATCTTTAGAATGTGGTATATAAGCCTACAATTATCTCACATGCAGTCCCTTCCATCTTACTCAAACGATGGACTTCCATTTATAACTTAATTTCCAAGTTCCGCTTCAGTTCACGCTCAAAGAGGGTCCTCACGGTATCGATGAGGAGGGGTAATTGAGTTTTTTCTTAAAAATTTTAGGTTTTTGTTCCAAAGTTCTTTGCACCATGCACTGTGGTGGTCGTGGTCGTGATTTAAAGAACCTTTAATTATAGCATCTATCTCAGTCACTTCTTGTTTAATTACTTTTGGTTTAAACTTTCCCTTGGTAATTAGTTTTGTTATTTCAGAGCCTCAAATAGTCCAGGAAGCGTTTCCTCCGCGGTTTTGAACGCTCTATCTTTGTCATGTAATACACTCCGCTGTCATATGGATCATAGCTGTTGTGAGTACAATTCGGAAGAATTTCCGAAGCGCTAAGTGGATAAACATAAATACATAAACAGCTCAAAACTTGCTCTACGAATGGCCCAAGCTGCATACTCATTGTACAGCTGCACTCGCTGGAAAAGCAAAGGAATTAAAATTGTTAGATAGCGTTCAGTTTCCCCAGATTTAGAGTAATCATGTCCAAAATGTCCAAAAATGCACCCCCTAAGGAAACTGGAAATTAATTTGGCGATGATTACACAGTTTCCTGCATTTAAGTGTTTTTATTACTGAAATTCAAGCAATTTCTTTCGATATATCTCAGGATAAAATTTCTGAGTCCCCTGATGTTAGTAATTTTTCACTTGGTTTTTGTTATATCTGTACATTTTGACCTAGCACAAGTAGTTTTGGTTTTTTTTTTACCAAACCACCCCCATTCTCGCATAAACCAGTTGCAGAATCAAATCCCTTGATCACGTAAAGATGTATTAGTTAATAACCGAGAAGGATTCAATGCTTGTGATTATTTTACTTGGCATTACTTTGAAGTACAGTATTTTATGTACATTTAGTTGGTTCCTTGTAAAGCTATTATTGTTAATAAAAACAGCGCAGTTGACTGTGCGAGGTTCGTTGAATCGACCTCCATCGCGATTCAGCCTTCAAGAGCCGCCACGTGCACGATTCATTCTGGAATCACACGATGTCCGCGTTGACGAGGGCTTCCCTGGTCTATTACCTTACCTTTATCTATTAGAAATTGACCAGGCAGTAACATTTGCTGCGCTCCTTTCATGCCAAGCAACCACTTATAACCTGCGCGACAGGCTTTGAAAGGGGAGGGGAAGGAAGGAAAAGGTAGAGGGGATTAGGGAGAGAGGGAAAGGGACTTCCTCTCCCTTTCCCTTTCGCGCTTTTCTCCCCCTCCCCTCCCCTCCCCTCCCCTGTTTTGCGCCTGCCACGCAATTTAACCTCTTCTAAAAAACAGAAATGCCTGGAACCTTACCGGAACAAAAAAAAAACAATAAGTTATGAGAAATTTTTCAATCCCATCTTGAATATCTGTGAGACAAATTATCAGACGGCGCAAACACCTCGAGGTCTTCCCCTGAATAACAGCAGTTTTATAATAACCAGCAGTGTTCCACAGTGGCCTTGATTCCGTATTTTTAATAGAGGCGAGAAGGGGGGGTCTGATAAATATCATCATCATCACCATCGGTCCAACCTTTAATATCTTTCCAGTGAATGTAATTACAAATACGACCTGAGGTCTTGAATGAAATAATAGCCATTAATAATAAAGAGACACCTTTTCACTATAAATGAAAACCATCATCAAAATTTTGCGATGTGGTGAATGGCTTTGGACAAATAACCCTAAAACTGATTAAGTTTACGTCCGTGACTGTTTAAATTGACCCTAGACATCTGAAATTGAGGTTAAGATTACGTGAAAATAGTTAAGCTGGCAGATAAGTGAATTTTTAGTTGTTTGGAAAATAGCCAATATTGTCAGTGGAGACCAGGTCAAATAGAAGAAATTAAATTCGAGACCCATAAAACATTTCCGCTGTCGTAGCCACTCAGGGCGACAATAACCCCAGCTGCAAATGAACTAAAAATCATTGACATTTAAGCACTCGTTTCCTTAATGTTCTTCTGTTCATGGAGAAATCAAAGACACCTCAAGTCTTTCACCCCTCGCAATTTTCATCCGCGATATTTTCAGTCACTCTCGCAATTTGTTTCGTGGCGTTGATTCACGTCGAGATCGAACTTCATGTTCATCGTCAAATGCTTCAAGTTTTAAATCAACAGAGAGAAGACAACATCGAGCTGCGAAAAGTATAGTAGTCGATGGTCATAAAAAAACCATCGATTCTGTGTTGAAGATGTTGCAGAGTGGATCACCTACAGGTAATTGCATACTCATTAAACTATCCCTCGTCTTCAATTTTTCTCAATTTTAAATTCCATATGCAGTTCAAAACAGAATCAAAAGCCTGATTAATTTAAAATAACTTTTAAAATTGAATCATTTAAGCTTAGGGGAAAAAACAAACCTTTTAAAAGAAAAAGGTGATCGCAATGTTTGGCGCCTTTTACTAGAGGTCAACTCTCACTCAGTTCATACGTGCCGTGATCAAAGCCAGTGATCCTAAAGAATTTTTTTGCTCGCTTTGCCTCTTTTGAAAGAAACTGAAAGAGTAGGGAAAACGAGGAAGTTACTGCTATTCAGCACTATTCCTGTAAAGCTGAGGCGGTTGCATTTGGGAAGGATTTGATTTACACTTCCTGTTTATCTGAAACTGTCAGACTGATTACATTCTTCTAAGGCCCACATGGGACGAAGAAAACAAGGAACGCCAGCGGCTGAACTTTGCACAAAAATAGAATGTTACATCCTAAGGAACCATTGTTTAACACTACGTAACGTAGGAGAATGAAAGAGAGTTGAATGATGCGTGTGTGTGTGTGTGTGTGTGTGTGTGTCGGGGGTGGGGAAGGGTAATGTTTGCATGGCTTACCAGCAGAACTTGAGAGAATAATCATAAACCTTTATGTTAGCCGTGGCCCGAGTCACCTCAATTATAAGTGAAGAAAGAGTTGAATTTGTGTTTGCTATAATGAAGATTAAGGATCTGGAGGTCTGGGGTTCAAGTCGCGTTGTTTCCTTAGACAAGGCACTTTGTAGCCTGCGTAGCTGGCGGTATTGTGTGGGTGCGGGATTTAAGTTTTGGCGGCGGAGCCGTGTTCCAAAAAAAGGGCGTAGGGACGAGGCGGTTGAAATACCACCTGCCAGAAAACCCCGGTATTTTGAATAGTCCGCACACCAGTGTGCGGAGAAGCAAATTGGTCCAGGGCCATACATATGTAAATCATGTTAGATGATCGTTCGCATATATTTCCCAATTAAGGGAGCAGATGTCTGATGGCATACTGGAAAAGACGTAATTGATTGTGGTTTCCCCTTTAAAAAGAGCATAATTGATGACCAAATTGCAGAAATGGCGTCAAATCTCACTCGACTATATTACAACGGCTCCGCCGCCAAATCTCACTCGACTACTACACAATACCGCCAGCTACGCAGGCTGGGCACTTTGCTCCACTTTGTCTCTCTTCGCCCAGGTGTACATATGGGAGGGTCTCAATGAGGTTAACCGATAGGCGTAAAACGGCCAAAAATTTAGTCGATAGCCGTAAAAATTGAAAAATTTTAACCGATAGCCGTAAATAGGATATCGCGCGTTATCGATGGCTGCCCCCTTTTTATGGAACAGTCTTCCTCTGCCAATAAGATAGGAAACATCAATCGACTCTTTTAAACGCTCTGTTAAAACATATTTATTTAAGAAGGCTTTTATAGTTAGATTATTTACTTAATTATTTATTTATTTATTTATTTTTAAATATTGTAATTTTACCGGGTACTTTTACTGGTTTTTAATTTAGTTATTGATAATATTGTAATGCGCTTTTGAGTATTTTTATAGAAAAAGCGCAATATAAGTATTAAATATTATTAAAAGAGTTAACCGTAAAAGAAATTGTTCCCTAGATTTGCTACTTTTAAGCCGGTACTAAACTCACTTATGGTTGCGTTTTTTATTTCCCGGCTACTGCGGCTCCGTACGCACGTTAGGTAAAGCGTCTTTTAGGTGTTGACCAAGACCCTGGTTCCATTTCCGCCGCTCTCTCGGGGAACTAATTTTTTTTCCAAAGCGAAAGTGTGGCTTCTTGCTGGGGATTAATATTTGCGATTTTCTGGAGGTCGTGCCCTCGAAACACTAGTGAAACAACACGCAGAGATGTCACTGTTTGTAAAACACGTTGCCGATAAACAACATTTCCCCGTTTTTCTCTGATGCTACGATAGACATTGCCATGCCTACTCCCTGTACGGCGTCTTCCCACGCAATCTCGGTCAAGGCATTTCGGTGGCGAACTCGCTTGGACCATGTGACCCAAAACGCATTACGCGAAATAACGAGGCCTACGGACAAGGCAACGGCTGACAGTGGTTCCGTACAGTACTTCGCTATCATTAAAAACACTGGACACTGGAATTTTGTTATTGGCCGTTTTCACACTGGAGCTAGAAACGGCCGGATTACCCGTCTGAGACTAGCCTGTGTACAGCCGCCCCCTTCCCGACAGACATCCTTCTCCGATTTTTTTTCTGAGGGGAGGGGGCGGCTGTACACAGGCTATCTGGAACGGATAATCCCGTCTTGAAACTGTCCGTCGAAATTGAAGGATAAAGTCAGACGGATTGTTCACTCAAAATTAAAACGATTCCATTTTCAACTTAAGACGTATTACCTATCTGACGCGAATCATCAAACGGATAACCTGTCTCACACGAATAATCCGTCCCTAGTGTGAAAACGGCCATTTCTGTTGTAATGAATGTCGCGTCCCGACCTTGAGTTTGGCGTTCAAGTGTGTGGTTTGCTTTTTCACAAAGATTACTTTTAAATTGACAATTGACATTTCTATGTGTAAAATAATATTAAAAGTGGAATACTTTACAAAAAGCATGATCTATCAAATGTTAAAATTTTTCAAAAGAATAGCTTATTTCACATTCGGAGATGATCTTAAGACCTTTATTTTGCTTTAAAGGTACAAAAAATACAGGTTAATTAATATTTCACTTTTTGAAACAAAAGAAGTTAATTTTTAACTTTCTTGTTAACCGTAACTGAAAAAATGCCACCACCCCATTGAGACCCTCATATGGATACCGGGGGGGTACTCCCTATAATGGCCTATACGGGGAGGCTCCGACCAAAAGGGGTACCTTTTTCAGGCCTTAGGTATATGAAAGGGTAGGGATTTTACTCGTTGAAGTATACAAAAGGGTCTGTGAATGGGCCTAAAAGGGCTAACAGATGAATTTTATAGCTTTATTAAGACGAGAAAAAGTTCTACTTTTGTGAGTGATTCTCATTTAAAAGACAGTGCATTTCTTGACAGCAGTTAAAAGGGATGCAAAGTTCTGGACAAGGTACGTAAGAGGGGTACCACTTTGTTAACAGAAGGTATACGAAAGGGGTACCTTTTTCGTAAAAAAATGATATATAAAAGGGTAAGGGGTTGAACCTCGGGGCGGAGCCTCCCCAAATGAAAATTTGTTGAGTATCCCCCCTCGCTGCCATTTTTAAAACTCTTAGCGTTGATTTCCAGTGTCGTGTAATTTTTACGTGCGTACATGAGTAAAAATTACGTTCGCAAATAAAATAGAGGCAATGCATGAAAGGTCGCTCGTAAGCGTAAGAGTTGAACCTCGCTCAACTTTTCGTTTAATCTCAGCACTTTTATCTTTTCTCTATTTTATTTACGTGATTAAAATTTACTTGCGTTAACGTGCCTAGCCAAAAACGGGGCAGTGGAAAGCAACCTTTAGAAACTTTTTGAAGCGTTTCTATCAATAAAAACGCAAATCGCAACCCAGGGTCGAACCTGGACCTCGAACCCGGACCTTTCATACCCTAATCTATCTCTTACCACTACACTACCACACCGACCAGCTAAAATTCCGAAAAAATTAAGTACATACACTAGCAAACTGTTTTTCTCATGTTACATCAATAACAGGTGACCTATCCCTTTCCATAGTTTTTAACGTAAATTCAACTTGGGCTTCAACGTCGTTCTTTCTAAGGCTATTCAAAAACGTATTATTTGCCTTGTTATAACTTAATCCAGGGAATCAAGAGAGGATCTTGAGGGAATATATTACATCCATCATGAGTAAAGGCTTGGTTACCAATAGTAGTAACGACCGGTTACAAAAGGGAACTAAGCACCGGCGACATGCATGCTGCTCACATGGGGGTAACCCTGCGATGGATTAGCAATACTCCTAGGCATGCATGCTTCATGCTAAAAAAAAAACCGGGATAAGCTCCGGTCGTTTGGGGCTTTGGCTCGTGTGCGCCTTTACTTTTACCATTTTTGGAGATCAAGATCCTTGCTCTCAAAGAACATATTTGCTGATTACATTACATTTCAGATGCACACATCCGTCAAAAACGCCATGTGCAAAACAAGGATTCAAACGCCAGTGAAAACTTCACAAGGAAAGAAATTGAAATGGCCTGTACAATTCAATGTCCGAAAGGAATCAGGGGACGCCGGGGCAGGCCTGGTCCTCCAGGCAAGCTTGGTCAGCCAGGGCCTCAGGGAAATCGTGGCAGACCTGGTCCCTCAGGCAAGCATGGTCCACCTGGGCCCCAGGGACCACAGGGGCCTAAAGGTTCTCATGGAGATCAGGGGCCTCCTGGACCTAGGGGCGATCAGGGCCCTAAAGGACCCAAGGGTGATCCTGGTGAATCCATCTCAGCTCCTTCTATTGTGACATCCCTGGTTTCCACGGTAGTAAACGAAACTGATGTAGCTTCACTGCAGTGTGAGGTTAAAGGAAATCCTGTTCCTCAAATTACATGGCTTAAAGAAAATACCAGTCTTCCAGCCGACAAACGAATCGTACAGTCTCGTGGAGGATTAATGATTAAGGATGTGACGTCACAAGACGATGGCGTGTACACGTGCGTAGCAAGCAACATTCTTGGATTCATAAAAAAATCGGCCACGTTAACTGTCCAAGGTAACATGCTCCTCCTTTGTTACTTACTGGAAAATTCATGGATTAGAAGCTATTAATGAGAAATCAAATTCCATTACATGATATACTTTCACCTTAAAATTAAGCGTATTAATAGTCAACGATGCCTGTTAAATTCCCCATAAACAATTGTCAATATCCCCTGGCCACAGTCTACTAATGATAATGAGTCTTGTAAAAATGCCTGTTTTATGCGAATAGAGCGGTAATTGGGCTATAAACCTGAATGCAACTTCGACTATAGTGTCCTATATACCTAATTATACAGGAGGGATTCTACGCAAGACGATTTGGAACGATGATTTTTAAGGCAACAATGCTGGCACAATTCGTAGAAATTTCCCCGCAATGTTGCAACGCTGTATTGCACTGAAAATTAGCGTTGTGAATCGTCCCGTGTAACATCGCTCAGGAGAAAATAATGCGACCGAAACTGTTATCGGTAGATTTTAGGTTCGACTCTAATCAAGAGAACTGGAAAACGTTTTCCCAGAATACACTCTTTTTACTTGTAACTTGTTAATTTTTTTTTTTGGCTTGTTATATTTCTTCATTACTTTACACAGTTGCTGCCTTAATCAATCAAAAACCCTCGTCCATTGTTGCTGAAGTAGGCGAAAACGTGACGTTGCAGTGTAAAGCTACAGGTCTTCCAATACCAACGATTACGTGGCGGAGAGCGTTTGGTTCATTGCCTAAAGGGAAGACTTCAGCAACCGATGGAAACTTGACAATTCGTAACATAGCTAAAACTGACAAGGGTGATTACGTGTGTTCAGCAAAGAATTTTCTCGGACAGGACTCCGTTGTTGCTCAATTGATAGTGATTGACAGGCTCACATTTACCCTTACTCCTCCCCGGAAAGTTACTGTAACACAGTCACGCAACTTGTTGTTAAACTGTGCAGGTCAAGGTAACACTGAGATCACGTGGAAGAGAACTAGAAAAGGCTTACCTCACAGCCACTTGATTTATTCAAATGGAACTCTGCTCCTCAGGAGCGTGGTTACAAACGATGCCGGAACATATACTTGCGTGGCCAAGAACGCACTTCGTTCTGTCAAGACTACTTCTGTTGTTGAAGTGTACAACAAACCTTTGTCCTGTAGCAGTATAAAATCAGGCCACAGTGGAAGCTCTTCAGGTAATTATATTATTGACCCTGATGGCAAAGGAGGCGTGGCTCCGTTCAGTGTGTATTGTGATATGAGTGACAAGGGAGGAGTTGGCGTGACAATCATAAGTCACAACAGTGAGAGTAGAACTCATGTGAATAGCGTCAGTCCTGGATGTCGTAGTCCAGGATGTTACAGGAAAGCTGTGACTTACACTGGAGTCAGTACAGCTCAGTTGGCAGAACTCACTGGAGTCTCACAGAACTGTGAACAGTTTATCAAGTTCGAATGTAACAACGACGTAGCTTTTATTGAGAATAGCTATGCCTGGTGGGTGTCACGTGACGGAACACGTATGAACTACTGGGGTGGAGCTACAGGCCATACCAACATGTGCGCATGCGGAGTAGCAAACTCTTGCAGAGGAGGTAAGAAGTGTAACTGTGATTATCAAACCACAATAATTGGCTGGAGAGAGGACAGCGGTCTACTAACAGACAAGACTTCTCTACCTGTGACACAAATCAGACTGGGAGACTTGGATAATTCGCGTGAGGAAGGTTATCGCACAGCAAACTCAAATGTTATGGACAGGTTTGATGAACTTATTTTGCTACATACAAGGCCCGTTTGTCAGAAGGAATTTGGCTTTGGATCAGTACTTAGTCGGAAGTTATTTCTGTAAAAATACGACTTGAACGCTACATGAGAAGCTGGGCTAATGATTATTCGTTTAAAACACCTTGGAACTTTAAATTGAAATTTTATCGACCTTTCTTAACCTTTAAGTCCCAAGAATGACCAACAGCAATTTTCTTCCATAAACATAAATTTATCATCTAGGGAAAAAGTTATGAAACTTTATCAATTGATCAATAAAGAAAAAATGCTTCTATCTTTTATTAAATTCTCTCAACTAATCATTAGAAAAATGTTTGGAGACAAGTCAGGAAAATTTGCATGTGCATATTGGAGCTTCGGGGTTAAAGAGAGAAGAATTTTTTTAAAGGTCCAGATTTAAAAGAGAACAGTTTTAAACATCGATCACAGCGCATAGATTTTACAACAAATACAATACTTTTAATCATTTGCAGTTAATTATTACAAACCTAGCGCAAAGATTTTACAACAAATAAGAATACTGTCGATCATTTGCAGTTATTACAGAACTAGCGCATAGATTTTACAACAAAAAAGAATACTTTTGATCATTTGCAGTTACTACAGAACTAGCGCATAGATTTTACAACATGTAAGAATACTTTTGACCATTTGCAGTTATTACAGAACTAGCGCATAGATTTTACAACAAAAAAGAATACTTTTGATCATTTGCAGTTAATTATTACAGAACTAGCGCATAGATTTTACAACAAATAAGAATACTTTTAGTTATTTAGCCAATAACCCATGGGCTCCTAGTATAGGGGAGCGAAATCAAAATGAGGACACCTATCTAATGCGCCATTCACACTAAGTAAACATGTTTAACTAAGCCAGGTTTTGAAAATTGAAAAATATTCACGGAAAACTGGAACAGAGGTTTCAACACAGGATTCAAGTTCAACAAGTTTTGTAATTTGCACCGGGACTTAATTCGCAATCAGTTCAAGTCAGTAAGCAGCTTTTATGAAGGAAACAATTTTAAACTATGTTTAACTAAACAGCTTTTAAACATGTTTAAGCTTTGGTGTGAATGGGGCTTAAGAACCAACTAAAAACTAAATAGCATAGAAATAATTACAATGAAAGGAAGAATACGTATATAAAAACCCTATGTTATAGCAGGAGCCGAGCTACTGGTTATAGCCGAATCAAATAAAATACACCCAACAATATACCCTATTATACCCAATTATTTTCCCTACTTAGGCAGCTATTTTCGGTTACAAATTCCTTTGTTCTTTAAAAAAAATAATCTTCGCATAAGCCTCTCTTTACCTTCTTGAGGAATACCGTATGTACAAGTAAAAAAAACTTTAGCTGATATTTGGAAATGTCCGAGGAACAGGAAAATGTGTTGAAGAAAGACTGTGTGCAGGTGGGAATGTTAAAAGGTTGTGAATATTTGAAACGAATTTTTAAAATTTTAATGAGATAAATATCACAGAACATTAAACATGATAAACATGTGTTAGAGCAGTGTTCATCACTCTTTATCATCATCATCGCTCATCATCATCATCGGTCATCAACATCATCATCATCAGGTATTATCATTATCATCTTTATCATCGCTCACCATCATTCCTTATCATCATCATCATCATCATCATCATCCCAGTGCAACGGTCTTAGAACCTTCTCCCTTTAGGCTACTCTATCTTTAACCCAAAACTAACTGCACACTGAGCAAATACAGCACATACTGTGGGTTTCTCGCACTTTTGTAACAAAATGTTTTTTTTCTTTCACTGTAACACATTTAAAATTTTTATCATTGCGAATTGTTAAGAGCAAATAACTCTAAACCTTACAAGATTGACTATTGAGATGATCTGAAAACTTAAAAATCATCTTCGTGATTAAGCCGGGTGCTGTTTTACTGACGTCAAACATCACATAGCATGTTGTGAAAGAAAATAATTAAGGTTATAGATCAGTGCATTTTCAGTAAATTGGAAAATAGCCAACATTGTCAGCAAAGATAAGGTCAAATGGAGGGAGTTTATAGAAATAAAATCAGAGATTCGTGAAACATCACCGCAATCGTACCTTCGTAGAATGCAATAACAACCCCGGTCGTTAACATTTTAGTAATATTTTTGCTCAATCTTCGTTTCATGGAGAAATCAAAGACGCGCCCAGTCTCCAACTACGTGAAGCTTTCATCCACGATATTTTCAATCTCTCTCTCATTTTGTTTCGCGGCATTGATTCACGTCGAGATTGAACTTCATTCTCATTGTGAAACACTTAAAGTGTTAAACCAAGAAAGAGAGAACAACATCGAGCTACGAAAAGTCGTCGGTCGTCATGAAAATGTTATGGATTCTGTGTTGAAGATGTTGCAGAGTGGATCATCTAATTCTAAAGGTACTTGTGTACCCAGAAATAAAAGTTCCTTCGTCTTTGTTTTGTAATTTTTCGATCTAAGCGCAAATAAATAAAAAAAATGATGGAAAGATAAATTTGCAGTCGCTTGAAAATTCACAGAATTACAGCGAAAGTGTGAGAAACCAGCTGTCATTTTAAGAAGTCTAAAAAAGCTAAGTCATTCCAGTTTGGCTGCTGTTGTTTGGTAACATCACAGAAGCGACAACCTATCATTGCATAGCGCAGTTTACGGGGAGTAAACGTTGTTTATAAATATTGAGATAGTAGTCGTAAATTTTTTTTATTTGTTCGATTTAATTTTTTGAAAGAGTAGTTTACAGTCCCCTCTTTTCCCCCGCCTGGTGGAGAAATGGAGATTGCTGTTTGAAAGACTGGCTGCAGAAATGAAGAATTCACTTCCTGTGTATATATGAGCGTAATCCATAACATGCTAGGAATAACTTAAACAAACATAGCACTTAAGACGAGAAGGAGCGATCTCAGTCGATCCTGCACAAAATAGAATACTATGGGCGCGATCCATTCAACCAAAATTTCCGGAAATTTCGGTCCAAAACTCAATGGATCGGTTCGGTCCAACCGGAAAAGTTTCTAAAAAACAGGTCCACCTTTTGAGGTGGTCCTCTTTTGCCGGTCGGACCGGTCTGAATTTTGGTTGAATGGATCGCGCCCTATAGTTCTATGGCCATTCTTTTGGACTCTACTAAAGGAGATAAGGTGTGAATAAGGCCGCCTCTTAATACTCCCCAGACGTAACAAGGGATCGAGACTGAAGAAGAAGAGAGTAGGATGGGGAGGGGGGTTGGATTACAAGCATTGTTTTACAGTGTAACCACGGACGGCCGGACCTTTAAACGCGACGTCTCCAAGTGGCGTAGGTGGCTCGCAAGCCGCGCCCAGATTTTTAGTGAACGTGTTAAACCATGGGCTCATGGTTAAACTCGTGTTTGCTGATTAGTATAAAGATTCTCGTAATCAAGACACTGACACGCTGGCTTTGCTATATTTCAGATGTAAAAATTCGTCAAAAACGCCGTGTACAAAACAAGGTTTCAAACGTCAGTGAAACCTTAAGCCGTGATGTCGTCAGGAAAGAAATTCAACTGGCCTTACGGTAGCCTGGCCTGTACAATTCGTTGTCCGAAAGGAATCAGGGGAAAACGAGGCAGGCCTGGTCCCTTAGGGAAGCATGGTCCGCCCGGGCCACAGGGACCACAAGGGCCTCAAGGCACTCAAGGAATTCAGGGACCTCCCGGTCCCAAAGGCGACTAAGGTCCTGAAGGACCCAAAGGGGATCCTGGTGATTCCATCTCAGCTCCCTCTGTTGTCTCACCACCGCTTTCTATGGTGGTTAACGAAACTGATGTAGCTTCACTGCAGGGTGATGCTAAAGGAAATCCAGTTCCTCAAATAACATGACTAAAAGAAAATACCAGTGTTGCAGCGGACAAACGAATTGTACAGTCTGGTGGTGGAATAATGATTAAGGATGTAAAGCCACATGATGGCGGAATGTACACGTGCGTAGCAAGCAACATTCTTGGATTAGTGAAAACATCGGCCACGTTAACTGTCCAAGGTAACATGCTCCTCCTTTGTTACAGTTGTTACTTATTAAAACGCACATTCATGGATTTAGAAGCTATTAATGAGAAACCAAACCTTTTGGGGGTTGAAATTCCATTACATGATATACTTTCACCTTAAAATTGGGCGTATATAGTCAACAATGTCTCAGTGTGAATTCCCCATGAACAATTATTAATCCCACTGTCCACAGGCTACTAATGATGATGATGATCATGATGTTGATGATGATGAGTCTCGTCAAAAATGCCCCTGTTTTTAGCGAATAGAGCGATAATTGGGCTATAAATACAACTGTGTGCTATATACCTAATTATATGAAGAGGATTCTACACAAGACGATTTGCAAAGATGATTTTTAAGGCAACAATGTTCGAGCAAGGACACCGAAACAGTTATCGGTAGATTCTAGGTTCTAGTCTAATCAATGGAACGCGGACACGTTTTGCCAGAAGCAAACCCTCTGTTTTTACTTTTATTTTTTTATTTTCTTGGCTTATCAATTAAAATTTCTTCATTACTTTACAGTTGCTGCCTTAATCAATCAAAAACCCTCGTCTATTGTTGCTGAAGTAGGGGAAAACGTAAGGTTGCAGTGCAAAGCTACAGGTCTTCCAATACCAACGATAACGTGGCATAGATCGTTTGGTTCGTTGCCAAAAGGGAAGACTGCAGTGGCCGATGGGAACTTGACAATTGGTAACATAGCTAAAGCTGATAGCGGGGATTACGCATGTTAAGCAAAGAATTTTCTCGGACAGGACTTCGCTGTTGCTCAAGTGACGGTCTTTGAAAGGCTCGCATTTATACTAACTCCTCCCCTGAAAGTCACTGTATTACAGTCAAGCAACTTGCAGTTAAACTGTTCAGCCCAAGGAAACACAGAGATCACATGGAAGAGAACTGGTAACGTTTTAGCTCGTAATCACGTTGTTTGGCCCAATGGAAATTTGCTCCTCAGGAACGTGGTTACAAACGATGCGGGAACATATACTTGCGTGGCCAAGAACGCACTGCGTTCTGTTGAGGCAACTTCTGTTGTTGAAGTGATAATTGAAGTCCTGTAGCAGTATAAAATCAGGAAGCTCTTCAGGTAGTTATATTATTGACCCTGATGGCAAAGTAGGCGTGGCTCCGTTCAGTGTGTATTGTGACATGAGTGACAAGGGAGGAGTTGGCGTGACAATCATAAGTCACGACAGCGAGAAGAGAACCCACGTGAACAGCGCCAGTCCTGGATGTGGTGGTGCAGGATGTTACAGTAAAGATGTGACTTACACTGGAGATAGCACTGCTCAGTTGGCAGCACTTACTCGAGTTTCACAGAACTGTGAACAGTTTATCAAGTTCGAATGTAACAACGACGTAGCTTTTATTGAGAATCACCATGCCTGGTGGGTGTCCCATGACGGAACACGTATGAACTACCGGGGTGGAGCTACAGGCCATACCAACATGTGCGGATGCGGAGTAGCAAACTCTTGCAGGGGAGGTAAGAAGTGTAACTGTGATTATCAAACCACAACAATTGGCTGGAGAGAGGACAGCGGTCTACTGACAGACAAGACTTCTCTACCTGTGACACAAATCAGACTGGGAGATTTGGACCAGTCACATGAGGAAGGTTATCACACATTAGGCAAACTCAAATGTTACGAACTGACATAGTCACCTTTTTTTAGCTATAAGAAGTGCCCGTTTGTCAGAAGGAATTTGGCTTTGGATCAGAACTTCGTCGGAACTTATTTCTGTAAATATACGACTTGCACGCTACGTGAAAAACTAGTGTAATGATCATTCGTTTAAAACACCTTGAAACCTTAAAGGGGTTTCAACAGTAATTTTATCGAGCAATTTTCTTCTATAAACACCAATTTATTATTTAGAGACAAGGTTATGAAACTTGATCAAATAATCAACAAAGAAAAAAATGCTTTGATCTTTTACAAACTAACCGTTTAGAAAATGTTCGGAGACAAGTCTGGAAAATTTGTATGTGTATATTGCGGCTTAAAGGGTTAAAGAAAGAATAATTTTTTTACAAGTCAAGATTTAAAGAAGAACATTATTAAACATCGATTAGAACAAATAAGAATACTTAACAATTATTGGACGAGGTTTAGCAAAATGTCGTTATTTGTCAGTGGCGAGTAGATCAATTATTTGCCAAAGCCGAAGGCTGAGGCAAATAATTGATTTGCGAGACACTGACAAATCACGATATTTTGCGATAACCGAGTCACTGGATCTCCGAGTTTGGTTTTTAAATGAAGCGAAGCGACCTGCCATTTTCACGGAAGTGCGATCGCAAGAAGGAGAAAAGCGTGGATTCATTTACGCATGAGCAGTATTATTGGCACAAAGTTGGAGGACATTGCGCATGAGCAGACCATTATTTGTAGGCAGTTATTTGCAGGTCACGTGGTGGGCTCTCGGCCAATGAAAAGCAAAAAAAATTCGCAACAAATGATTATTATTATTTAAAATTATTGCAATTCTAGCGTCTAGAGTCTTCATTTCCTTAAATATTTTAGGTCTTTGTTCCAAAGTTCTTTCCACCGAGCACTGTAGTGGTCGTGGTCGTGACTATAGTATCGATCTCAGTCACTTCTTGTTTAATATGTTTTGATTTAAACTTTGTATTTTTATTGTTTGATCTTCAGAATGTGGTAAATAAGCTCACAATTATCTCACGTTCAGTCTTTTCCCTCTTTCTCAAACGATGCGCTTCTAGGTCCCGCTTCAGTTCACGCTTAAAGTACGGATGAGGGGGACTAATTGAGGTTTTTGACTAGGCTAGTTCCCTAGGTAATTGGTTTCGTTATTTCAGGGGATGAAATTACAGAACGATTTCCTCCGCGGGTTTGAACACGCTGTTTTTGTAATACACGCTGTCATATAGATCATAGTTGCTGTAAGTACCATTTGGATTGGAAACGCCAAGTGGATAAACATAAACACCTCAAAACTTGTCCTACACATGACCCAAGCTGCATACTCATTGCACTGCTGCACTCGCTGAAATAGCAAAGCAATCAAAATTGTTCGATAGCTTTCAGTTTCCGTAGATTTATAGTAATCACGTCCAAAATGTTCAAAAATGCACCGCTCAAGAAACGTGAAATTGAGTGAATTTGTCTGGTGATGATTCCCCGGTTTCCAGCAGTTCTAAGTGGTCAAAGTGTGTTCATTACTGAAATTCAAGCAGTTTCTTTCGAGATTTCCTGGTTTCCTTCTGCTGGTATTTTTTACTCGCCTTTTGTTAGAATAGTACATTTTGACTTGGCGTAACTAGTTTTGGGTTTTTAACAAACCACCACCATCCTCGCATAAACCAGTTGCAGAATCAAATCCCTTTATCATGTACCGATGCATCAGTTAAGAAGGATCCACTGCTTATGATTATTTTACTTGACATTAATGTGAACTACATTTACCAGCAATTGTGCTAGTGCTTTTGTTATTAAACACAGCGCTGTTGATCGTGCGACGTTTTTTGATTTGACCACCACCGCGATTCCGCCTTCGTGAACCACCACGTGTGCGATTCATTGCAGGATCATACTTTATCCCCGTTGGTTTTCTTTGACGTGGTTTTCTTTGACGTCTTTTGCTATTGGATCCCAGGTGTCCATAGTAGTTAACGAAACTGGTGTAGCTTCATTGCGGTGTAAGCTTTAAGGAATATGGCTTAAAAAGTACTAGACTTCCAGCAGACAAACGAATTGTACAGTCCTGCGATGGTTTAATGATTTAACCGCGGCAGGATTAGATCAGTCAGTAGAGCGCTTGATTGCTGAGCGGGAGGTCGCGGGTTCATTTCCTGGCGCCGGACCAATACTCAGAGTCTTAAAATACTGAGAATTTGCGGTGTAACCGGCTAGACCACCTTCACGTGGCTCGGAAGACCACGTAAAATGGCGGTCCCGCCTTCGGTTGGAGGCGTAAGATGATAGTTTCGTGTTAAATACCTTGACACTCAAATAAAGTGCATTTTAGGTTTTTTTTAAGGATGTGACGTCACAAGATGGCAGAATGTGCACGCGCGTAGCAAGCAACATTTCTGGATTAATAAAAAAATCGGCCACGTTAACTGTTAAGGTGACTAACATGCGCTTCCTTTGTTACTTACTGGGAAATTCATGAAGTGAGAGCCCATTAATAGATTTCTGTGGGCAGGTTTAAAGTATATTGTGGTGTTGGAATTCTATTACATTGGGTACTGTATCCATAAGAATTAGGCATTTTACTAGTCGTGTAGGTCTGATCTCTTAAATTTCCTATGATGAATTATTAATCTTAGTGTTCACTGCAGTATCGGATTATGTAATAATCCGCGGGCGACTGATGGTGATGTTTAGTATTATCATCAATGCACGAGTTTTTAGTAAATAGAGGGGTAGTTGGACTATAGTACAGCTTCGTTATTACGTTGTTTACATGTGAGGATTTAAATAACATTCTACTTCTCCCCGAATCTCCGTACCAGAAAGTTAAGGTGTCTTCCGTGGCAAACCACTACTCCAATGTGATTTGCTGTAAATCTTTTGAAATAAAACGCAAAAATTTTGCGATTTGCTAGTTTAGCCGTTATACTAAGGAATGATTAGCATAATTATGTAAAGCCCTTGAATCTCCACATTTTCATTAATTTCCTAATTATGCAAGGTAATTTAACCGAACTTAATAGCATGGGGCAAAGCAACATTAGTCTCACTGGTGATTAATTTACCCCGTACTTATTTTTACGAAATTGGAAGTTCTTGTTTTATTCATATAATATTGACAGAACGACTTAAGCTACAGTTTACTAAGCTCGATTTTTAAAACACCCGGTTATCTGAGACTTAAAGCCTAGTAGATTACGCTCAGAGATATTTCCATCTGCATCTCGGTGGTCGATGGAAAATTTGGAAAGGCAGTTCATTGGTTTGAGCTACGTTTGCACAATTAAACCTGTTGAAAATTTGCCAGACTTCTCAATGTCAGCCCACGCTATAGTCTTGACAGGAAGATTGTTTTGTCTGCAATGGACATATTTTGATATTCTGTAAAGGAATGACAATTCAACTAACACTTAAAAACGTCATTGCAAACTGTTTTTCAGTGGTATGAACACCAAACAGAAGAATCTTAAGTAGTTCATGAATTCTTTGAATTGAATTGGGCAAATGATGCAATTGTTTCGTTGAATTAGGAGCAAAGCTTGAAAGACCTTTTTGTACTTTTAGTTTTATCACCAGAAAAGGTCTCCATGGAAATACTGCTCTCTCTCTGCATCAAAATTCATTAAATCCCCTTAGGCATTTTTAAAACAAGCCATTTGTTCTAGAATAAGGTTTTCAGACGAGTTTTGATATTATTTATTGATTGCAGTTGTTTAACTTCTTTTGTGTCCGTATCAGGTTACAGACAAACGATACAGTTAGAAGATGTGGGTGCTTGTTCTAATGCATTTAATTCAAAGACTGAATTAGACAAATGCTCAAACTTCACTTCTTGGTGTATCACGAGAAGATGGAAAAACCAGTAATTCTGAGAAACTACTTCTTCCTTCTATATATCTTTGTCACCTTTGCAACTAATTCTGAAGGTACATGGACTCTATCTTTTATTTCCTTTATTGTAGTTTTTCAGTATATAATGACATGAAAAAAGAATCTCATACTTTCCCTCTCTTCTTTTAAAAAGCTTTCAGTCAAGGATCGATTGGGAACTTTTTCTATGTCAACTTCATGATAAGTGAATTTTCCTACCTAAATATCTCCAGTATTGGGCGGAATCTTATTCAAGACGAAAACGATTGTGGCTACGCCTGTCTAGAAATTCCTTCATGTTTTTCCTACAATGTGGCCGCCTTCCCTGATGTCAACGGCAAACTTCTTTGCGAACTCCTGCCCTCGGACAAGTTTAACAACTCGGACAAGTTCAACGCTAGCAAAGAGTTTCATCACTTTTATATTCCGGTAAGTCAAACTTCTAATTTATCAAAAATCTTCCTTCTGAATGGAAAATAAAAAGCTTCTTCTTGTTTGTCTTTGTTTGTTTGTTTTGCTTTGTTTTTTCTTTTGACTCTCCCTAGTTTCGAAAGTTAGCATTTGTAAATAAAAATGTATCTCTCGCTTGGAAAACCTTGAATGCAGTGGATTACGTTGTGCTTTAAATGCAAAGGAATTGACTAACGAGTTTGGCAAGCCTAAAAAGGGTTACAACTGAGTTAAACCTTTCAACTCTTAATTAAATCATCTGCCGATGCCCAAACACGCTGCGTGATGAAATCGATATATTTATCTTCGAATGTCGTTTATGAGGGAGGCCTTATGAGACAGAGCTCTCAACTGAAATATTTGGCTACAAAAAGCGTTTCGTTCGCAAAACACACATTGTCATACCATAAATTTTCCTTAATATTTGTTTGCATATTTGGCTTTTGTTAAAAGTTACAGAAACGTTTTAATACTCCTATTATAGCCTGATCTGCTGCCAGTTAGAGTATATCACCTCAACTTCTTGAAATTTGGTAATGAGTGAAATTAACCGAGTAAATTGCCTTGTTGAAACAATTTTTTTTCTATCTAGTTCTTCGTTCTTTTTCACGTAAGCTGTTATGGCCTCCTATAATGTTTGCCTGTTTCAATGAGATATTGCCATAGCAACGCACATTTAAAAATAGAACTGCCACCTGTAACCATTAAACCGTTCGTGTTTCGTTCGACGTCCCTACTCTGAGATCCTGGTTGGTACGTATACGCGTAAGTTCAACATGGATGATTAAAAACAAGCCTAAAATTTCGAATTTATTAGGTTTACACAAAATCTAGTCATTCGTAGGTTTCTTGATGAGTTAGTACACAACTTACAACTTCTCCTCGTACTTTTTTTTCCTTTAAAAAGTTTATTGGCTGCAAATCTTCTCCTCATTGATAAGGATGTTAACATTCACATAAAAGGGATAACGTCGTGCTAGAGAAACTGTGATCAGCCGCCTTAAAAGCTAACTGAAAGTCAGGAGGAAAGAATTGTACGTTTTAAAATTCTTTATAGAATGCAAGGAGATGCAATTTAATTGGACAAGGAAATCCACAAAGTGTAAGGAATATGAGATGAAATTTCATTAGAATTCATAGCAGAACGCAAAAAATGCATTTAAAAGATACCCTGACCAGCTAGGAAAGAAGGCAAACGTTGGTTCTTCAAGCCATCGCGAGGCCACTCATATCTGCAGCCTGTTCATCCGACAAAGGCTGCGACCACAAGCAACTAGCTTAGAGGACAGTGCGTGAACTCACTCACTGCGGCAAAACCAGCCGCGTTCCAGACAATTTGATGACCGAGCGAGTTAAATTTATTAAATTACATGAGCTTATTGCATGCCAACTGCAGGGAATTTTAGTTTGTAACGGCGCTAAATGTGAAATTCGTATCTTAGAGCATCTGCGATTGTTTTACATGTCGAGCAAAGTAGAATCCTGATGAATTTTTGAAAGTGTTAACCGCTAAGTTCATGTTTTATTTATTCATTTATTTTTCATTCAGTCAGTCTGTTCGCTTAGACACAGATATGACTAATGACAGTTCTGCTGGACTGAAAAGTGGAATTTGCCGTAAATTCAGCATCTTTGGAATATGGATAAATGTTATATGTAACGTTACTGGATATTTTAACTTTGACATAAAATGGTCTTTACTTACAGCCGTATCCTTTCCTTTGTGTAGTCTCCCTGTGATAGTTCGCCCTGTAAGAACACTGGAAAATGCATTTCGTTGTACCAGGAAAATGGATATAAGTGTATCTGCGTGAAAGGATTCACCGGAAAAGACTGCGAAACGAGTAAGAAATACTGAGTTGAAACAATGTTAACTCTAACTAAGATACAATCACAGGTGACACCATTAACGCACTTTGCAAGTGGGAATGGTAATCAGCATAGAGCTTTTGTACGGATTTTAGGTATTATATTATTGACTTTTACTTCTTTGAGCTCACTACAATGAAAAATCTAACTGAGAATATTTAAACTACCTTGAAAGAAAAGTCGACCAATACTGTAAGTATCACTCTGAACTTGACGTTACCCGGTAATAAATTTCAATTTCCGCGCTTGTTCGATACAGTGACTTATTTATAGAAAGGTTTCTAAATGGACCTCTAGAACAACGTTTACTTTTACTAGTTGTGTTTTGGCTCTTGCTGAAGTCTAATTTACCTTGGCTGAAAGGTACATATCATTTTTTTAAAAATATCTTTAATTCTTTCTCCCGCAGATATAAATGACTGTGTCAATATTCCTTGTTTGAACAACGGAACTTGCATCGACCTAATCAATGGCTTCAACTGCAGTTGCCCTCCAGGATTTGCCGGCAACCGATGCGAAATTGGTGAGATACTTGTTGCTGCTAGTTGCATTGCATTTCCGCCAAAACCTTCAACTTGCTATGTATCCATTTAAACACCTAAAAAAAAGTGTTGGACGCTGTTGAATGCTGATGGCCGATAAATATGGATCAATTTTAAATCCTCATTACATTATATATATATATATATGGGTCCTACATCATCCAACAATTGAAACAATGTTAATGATGTTATACCAAGATATGTTTTTATTGGGCGGCTCTAGGGTCCACTGGATTGTTTTGCAATTTTACTGACCTCGAATTCGTCTCGGTCCATGAAAATACCGAAAACAAAGAACTTGGCAAATATCTTGGCCGAACAAGTTTGGTCATTAACGCATACGTATTTATTTGTCATTAATTTTTTATTATATTTCACGCCTTCAGATAGAAACGAGTGTGAGAACATTCTCTGTTTGAATGCACTGATCGAAGCAACGGATTCAATTGCAGTTGTCCACCAGGATTTAGGGCAATCGATGTGAAATTAGTTTCCTGTGTCTAGCTGTTATTTTATTGTTCGGTTTGAAATCTATACACTAACTGTCGGTGTTAGGTCTTGCATGTTTATTTATTGTAAGTTGTTTTTGTGAAGAAGAGGTTTATTTGCATTTATAACTTTCTTTCACAACTTTCAATACTATTGAAGAACCCTCCGCAAAAGTGGAATTTCGTTTCTTTTGTTTGCAATTTATCTGTGATTATTGTTTGTTTCAGATATAAACGAGTGTGAGAGCAGTCCCTGTTTGAACAACGGAACTTGCACTGACAGAATCAATGCATTCAACTGCAGTTGCCCGCCTGGCTTTTCTGGCAATCGATGTGAAATTGGTTAGTATGGTGTTAAGCTAATTACCCTATAATGATCTCGTAAGGAAGTTAAGACGTATGGCGTACGTTCACCGCCAAAATTCTTGGTTTGTATTTTAAATTGCTCATTTAACTTTTCAACTTTAAAACTTCAATTTTATTTGACCTTGCTCGCTCGACATTTTCCACTCGCTTTGTCAAATTACACAGTCAAACCATGCAATTTTCAACTTGACATACAGATTTTTATACACTGGTACTTTTTATTAGTTTTGATGCCTGAACCAGCACTCTACATTTGACTGAGAAGCCAATTTTGCATTCGATACTCACTCGCCGCGTTTCGCCACCACGTACCTGTTTCGGTCACTGAAATGAACTTTGGCGCCCTCTAACTGAAGATACTGAACTTCAAAACGCAGGTTTTTCGCGTCCGCCATTACAAATTTATGTTCCAGCGAGCCCACGGCTTGGAGTTGCGGTCTTATAATACAAAGCTATTGTTCTCTGACTTGTGACGTCATTTTCTGAACACGCCGAGCAAAACAAACCTGAACCGTGAGAAATCAGCGAGCGATTCTCCAAGTTTCGCTCATCTTCGCCCGATTCTGGAAATTTAAAGGAGAAAACCATCGGTTACGATGACTCTGTAGAACCAGCACCGACTGAATAAGAGAAAGTCAAATACTAAGGGTAGCTAGGCTCAGAGAAGGAAGAAATGCACACTTCACCGAGTCCTATTTTACGCACTTTGTGCCGAGGGAGATTCGGACTACTGGTAGGTGTACTACGTACTGGCTATAAAAATAAAACACAGGCAAGACAATCGAGAGTCCGCACTAATGTCACCTACCTTCTAGCCACTCTCGAGTGCTCATTTAATTTATCCAAGTTCAGATAAAGTTTTACTTTTAATATAGCACTTCAGGCACAGCGAATCAGAGTAGGTTCGAGAGTGGGTACAGTTTTCAGCTCACCTAAGTTTCAGTTCCAAAGCAGCTCGTTGTCCTTTATTGTTGAAAATTTGATTGTTATTTTAGTGTTATGTATCTCAGCCGATGATTTAGATCTAATGTTAAGTTCTCTATACAGTGTGCCATAAATTCACTAGCCTTTAGGAAGAAGTGTTACCCAGTGGAAATTATGTTCATCATGGGCGAGGCCCATCCTTGATTGTGCTCTGTTGCTAATGGTTTTTTCCATTGTAAAATATAATTAGAAACACGTATTTTAAGAGTTCAAACCCCTTACATTCCCCGCAGAGTAGTTTTTAAAGTGTGGGGGGCCGGTGACCACTTACTTTGAGGTGGGGGAGGGGGGGAGAGAGCAAATTTGGCTGTTCTCTCTTTGTGGCTGTTTAGAACTGTCAGATTATTGGACCTTTCCGTCTTGAGTCACTGTTGAGCGGAGTCATGTTTATGAACTTCAAGCCGCTGAAAAGTACCTTTCTCTTGCTGATCGTGATTGCACATGCTGGATCCATCACTAGAAGTTTGCAGATCATGATATTACACTGTAGGTTCCTGTAACCCCGTTATTTTGTCTAGTATGTCATTTAAATGCATCAGAGACCACATCATCAGCCGATATAATTCGTTTCAAGAGACCGTAGTTTTTGGAGTAGTCTTCAGATTTAATCGAGAACCTTCATCAAAAGAGACTATTCCGCATCATTGCAAATGCTACATAGCCTGGCTAGTTTGAAAATGCGGAAGTCTAGGACTAATTGCAGTTTTGTAAATATAGGCGTACTGAACCGGCTCGCTACACATCAGACTGATGGGATCAAAATGGACCAATAATGAATTTAGATGCTGGAAGATTCTTATTCCAACAAAGATACTACTTATATGAAAATTTATTAGGGTGGAACCTCTATAACGAAGTCCTCGGTCTAACGAACTATTTTTTTTTGACTCCAGTTATAGTAAAACCAAGGCAATATGAAAAAGAACCTTGATATAAGTTGACCAATCTCGTTATAATGAACATATTTTGCCAGTTCCTTGGCCCTTTTTTGTATCGAGGTTCCACTGCACTTAATTTTATTTATTAATTGTTCAAAAACTGGGGGGACCCTGCCCCCCCCGCCCCTCCCCCTCGCCCTGCGCGGACCCTGCCCTAGCTTGGCTCAGGCTATATAATACCCCCAAAATAGACTATGCTACATCGGGCAACAAAAAACAATAAAATTTTAGCCCTTGGTTTGTTCAATGTAATCACTGGACAGTATGACTAGCAAATAACGGATTTCTATATTGCACACCCTAAGTAACACCAAAAGTTGTCCTCCAGGTTCTAAGAGGGGGGGGGGGGCTCACATTTATCTTGTGATCGACAATTGTGCAGATCAATTGTCAGGCTAGGGTGGACAGTATCTCATTTATAGGAATAACATTAGTCTATCCCAGCCTGGGCCAACCGGGCGCTGGAAAAGCACAACCTTGAGTAGTGAAACATAAAGCAGCGGTGATGAGCAGGGGCCATGAAACTATCTCATACATTTACATAAGCTTTACTTGCAATAAATATTTCAGGGACCAAGCCTTGGTGATTATTCATTTTTAACTTGCAATCTGTCAGTCACATTACTTCAGTGATTCAGTGCATGAGTAACCCTGTGTTGGAGTTTACATCTCAAATTATGATATACTCATATAATTATTATAAGCATTCGATGCAAGAATGCAAAACTTTTCTTTATTCACTCAAAAGAATAACAATACACAACATTCAAGATAGGATCACATTTAAATTTTAAAGACCACATCAGTAAAATTAATACTAATAATTCTTGCTGTATTTTCCAAAATTACATAAAAAGTTTTACAATAAACTTGTGTGGGCTCTCTTGATTTAACTTGTGGTTTGAACTGACAGTATGTGTCTGTGCAGTTAAATCAGGTTATGAGTTTTGGGAAGACTAAAATTGAAAAAAGCATACCTTGTGTTTAGTGAGGGTTATTGCGACCAGAATGTTGGAAATACTAAGGTATATTAGAATATCATACCATTCAGATTGCACAATGATCCTGATAGATTTAAATATTTTATAAAAACAAATTTGCAAATAGAACTTTAAAGCTTTTTATAAAAGCTCAAAGGAATGTTAATAGTGGTAACAGAACAAATAGTACACTACAAGAACAAGGTGTGAGCAATAATTGCCAACGAGGCAACCGAGCTAAGAAGCGAGGTTGACTCGGCGGCAGAATTATAACGCCGTGCAATGTAGGCAAAAACTCTCAAATTCTGGGTAACCCTCTAAAATTTGCATTTTTGACCATATTTGGGTGTAAGTAAGACCCCATATTTGGGTAGTGACGTCATGTCTTGTATTTACGTACAACTCGTAGTTCAAGATTGGGTGATTCAGTGTGCAGCTGTTCGTTGTATGTTTAAGAGGACCTAACTGGTGAGCAAGCTTTAATACGATTTCTAGTTTGAAAGGGCAATTAGTGCTCTGGTTTGCTTTATCAATTGTGTTTAAAACAGCACCTGATCAAGGAGTAGGGTTTTACGCTCAAATTTCTGTCAGAACTAGCTTGTTCTTTGCAGCTCGATTTATATTGAGGTAACGTGTTCGCTTCTCGACTCAGAACCAGGGTTTTCAGCGTTCTATTTTCCTTTGTGAACTGAATTTTAAGCGGTAGTTGATCAAGGCATAGGGTTATATTCTCAAAACTTATAACAGAACCAGCGTGTTCTTCGCAGGTCGATTTACATTGAGCCAGTCCTCACCTCCCGTGAGGAATGCAACGTATTTGCGGACATTTTTTTAAAATTTATTTATGTTTTTCGAGAGATTTTGTCAACCAGCATGTTTTTTTGCTGCTCAATTTACATTGAAGACAGCCCAAAACTCCCGTCAGGAATGCAACGAATTTGCGGACCTCTTGTTTTTCAGACTAACATTATGCCTTTAAGAGATTCTTTGTCCTGTAACACTCGCTCATTAGATCTTTGTATTTTATTCAATTTTATATTTTTATACCTCTAACACATTCCGCCCCATTCTTGCTCGCTTTTCACACATTTTAGTTTACACCAATCTTTTTCTTATGTATATTACCACGCAAAATATTTTTCTTATCCATGATGACGCTGTTGCTAGGAATTTAATTATTATTTTTAATTTCAGCAGTCAAAGGCCTCATTTGAACTATATTTTTCTTTCTTTACATTTACATTTGATACAATGGAATTTTCCATGAAACATAAGTGCTAACTTGCTCATATTGACCAACAAAGCTTCAAGCCATGTTGTTATTGTTTAATAAAAGTGAAAGCCTAGAAAGTGCCAAAGTTGTTGTTTTGAAGTTGGGTGCCATCCTTTTCTACAGCGGAATCCATTTTAAACCTCTAGATCTGACTAGGCACATTCCACAAAAGACAAACGAATTCGCCTCGTTGGCACTTGCCGGAAGGTACGCCTAGTAGTGTTTACAAAACTAGAGGGCTCTGTGTGATCTGTTGCCTTAGGGAAAAACCTTTCGAAAACTAAAAAAATCAAAGGTGAATCTTCCCTTCTACACCAGTTATTTCTCTGATATATAAGTAAATCCTGATAACTTGCAGGTACGCCAAGCTAATTTCTTGTTAAAGAGACAGGGGCACCCAACGAGAATATAGTCCAAAACCACTTAAAAATAACATTGTTAAACGTATTTTAGTATTTAAACGGTAGATATAGGCATATTTTTATCCCGTAAAAGTTTTTCATCTGTTCGGATTTCCTAGCTGAAAGTCTAGTGATTCGAAAATTATAGGGATCAAAAATTACCCTTTCGAAAATTTCAGCCAGAAAAAAGGCTCCCGAAAATTCTAGGTGACCTTTTTAGGGTAAAAATCCGTTAAAAATGGGCAATTATACCATTTGTTAGATGTTCGAAAATCCTAGGAGAGGCTGGCAAGCAAGAAATTTTACAACAAGTGTTCCGAAAATTCTACAATCTGTAGATCTTAAATCGTCTTGCGGACAGATATTTTCCTAAAATTGACGTTTGGTGCCCCTGAAGAGAGGTGCACAGCACTCAAAGGAAACATACATATATACATGTATCACATACGCGTTATACCGAGTGGAAGCTGAAGGTTTCCTAAAAGTTTCATAGTCGTCGCGTTCCAGTCGAAAAAAGGTCTACGAAAAACTTTATCTTCAATGACTTCGCCAGTAGTAAAAGCAAAAATCACCACCGGCGATATAAATAACTTAACAATGAGCATTGGGGACATTCACTGCAAATTTTGCAAACTGTAGGCTTACCTCCTTGCGCTCCCTCTTCATGCGAAGATTTCTTTCAGATTCAAGATTTGTTGATTGATCTTTCTTCCATATGCCAGCAAACGATCCAAGTTTAATTTTCCGCCGCTGGTTTGCGTTGAGAGTCCCGGGAAATGCTATTGCAGCACTCTTCGAAGTTATTAAACCGAGAAAACAGCGAAGCTGTCAGCTGTAAACAAACCTATTCCTCGAATCTCTAATTCTGTTGGTCAGACTCGCGTGAAGCTCAATTTTTCGCGATAGCAGGGGTTGCTGCACAAATACGGAGCCTAATGTAGTAACATCGAAAGAGTTTTCCTCAAAAAGAACGCATCGAAGTGGGAGAAAAAGCGAACATTGTTTGACCAGGGTTCGTTCAAGAAATTAGTCACGCAGCGTGTAATGAGTTAAGAAAATGACGTCACAAAGCAATTGTCTTGTATTCTTGATAACCAGGCCTCAGGATCATATCGATGTAATGGCGGAGGAAAGTAAATAGTCTTTGAGCGCAAAAAAAATACCACTTTCCTTAATCGTATGACTTGAAGTACATGGTGTGCAAATTATAGCTTACTAAACTGCCAAACTAGCAAAAGAAAATGGTATTCATGGATTTAATCATACTGGGTATCACTATAAGCAATGATAGAGTCCAGCTTGTTTCTCTAGGCTTTTTCTAAGATTATGAGATGTTATGCGGCCAAAATGATAGAACTTTTATGACAAATTTCCGAGGAGAATATTTTTCGGGAGAATTGACCGATATATGGGAACATTTGTATTGCGCTTTACTTCGTAACCTGGTCTGTATCATGACGACAAACAGCACTGTGGACTACGTTATAAAACATGGACACTCTGAAGGTGTAAAACGAGGGCTACGGACAGTGTGAATGCGCTTAAAACACTGGGCTTATTATTTCTTGATAAGCTAAAAATAAGATCAAAATGTCACTAAATAGCACAATACATTGAATTACGGCGGTTTGTGCAATGAGGTTCCCTGTATTGACCTCGCATGGGTCTTTGTTGTTTTATATCTCCAGGCTTTCAAATGGAGAAGACCGGAGAACTGGTAATGTGAGATAAGCGGCCAAAATCAAATTTGCTATCAAAGTCAAAAATTAAAACCCTCTCCCCAAAGCATAATCTACCCGCTGGTCAAGTAGACTGCTACACAGCCGTTTTTAGTAGTGTTGTCGAGGAGTCCCAGACGACACTAAAAACGGCCGTGTAGCAGACTGCTGGTCAAGCTTGTCCAGCTAATTGTATTGCATACAGTTTAGTACCTGAACAAATTAATTCCTACAGCAATTGAAATAAAACTGAAATTTTAAGGGAAACAAGTCTCTCCAACTAAAGAGCATCAGAATTCTGTTGTTGTTCTGTCGGAAAACCTGATAACACTATGGTGTGCAACAGCGGAAATATTATTTCCAAGGGGTGCCTAACCAAGTTCGAAAATTACAGAAATTCCGGGGGGGGTGGCGCTCAGGGGGTCTAAAGCAAAAGTGCCCTCCGTCTTGGGAAGGAGGTATGGATATTTTCTTAAACTACACAATGCATATTGTCCACAGTTGATGTGGCTTCATTTTAAGCTGCAATTCATTCTATATATAAAATTTGGATCTATAAATCACTATCCATGAGAATTTAATATTCTGCAAAGAACACTAACGATCTGGGAGTGACGAAACATTGCAGGAAATCATCGCATTCACGGACAAAAGAAAATCTTTGAATTAAAAAGCTTTACGTTTTAACAGAGCAAGCAGTATTTTGGCTTGAGGTGGTGTGTTGCCTAGCGAAAGAGTTGGGGGAGGAGGTCGATAGGTCGCCATCTCCCACCCCCACAAAGACTTCTTTTGCCTCGACCAGTGATCACTGAAGCGTAAACAAAAATTCAAAAGTTGAGTTGAAAATATACGTCGTTGAGTTTGAAATTTCACACGGTGACTGGCAACATGCGGCGAGTGAGTATCGAACGCAAAATTGGCATCTCAGTCAAATGTAGAGTACTGGTTCAGGCATCAAAACTAATAAAAAGTAGCAGTGTATAAAAATTTGTTTGTCGAGTTGAAAATGTACAGCGAACAAGGTCAAATAAGTTCAAAATTAAGCTTAAAGAGAAGTGTAAAAACGCTTTCCAATGAGTGAATTCTAAAGGAAGAGTGTAAAATATAATTTTGAATTTAGCTTTAAAATTCAAGTGTTGAAGTTGAAAATTTAATTAAGCAATTTAAAATTCAAACCATGAATTTTGGTGGGGATCGTACGCCATAGTTTTAAGCAAATAGAAACGAAGTTGGACTGTTGTACAGCTTCGAGGCAACCTAAGTAACGATAAATCATGTCAAGGGTGGATAAAGGTTCGAATGAAAATTCGGACACCTTTTCCCAGAATTTTCTGTTTTCGCTTTAATCTTTTTTCGTTGGCTAATTGCATGTATGTTTGTTCTGATAAATCTACAGTTGCTGCCTTAATCACTCAAAAACCCTCATCTATTGTCGCTGAAGTAGGGGAAAACGTGATCTTTCCGTGCCAAGCTACTGGCCTGCCACTACCAACCATCACGTGGCGAAGAGCGTTTGGTTCCTTACCAAAAGGGAAGACTGCAGTAGTCGATGGAAACTTGACGATTCGCAATATAACCAAAACTGACAAGGGTGATTACGTGTGTTCAGCAAAGAATTTTCTTGGACAGGACTCCGTTGTTGCTCAATTGATAGTGATTGACAGGCTCACATTTACCCTTACTCCTCCCCTGAAAGTTACTGTATCACAGTCAAGTAACTTGCTGTTAAATTGTGCCGCCAAAGGTAACACTGAGATCACGTGGAAAAGAACTGGAAAAGGCTTACCTCACAGCCACTTGATTTATTCAAATGGAACTTTGCTCCTCAGGAGCGTAGTTACAAGCGATGCCGGAACATATTCTTGCGTGGCCAAGAACGCACTTCGTTCTGTTGAGACGACTTCTGTTGTTGAAGTGTACAACAAACCTTTCTCCTGTAGCAGTATAAAATCAGGCCGCAGTGGAAGCTCTTCAGGTAGTTATATTATTGACCCCGATGGCAAAGGAGGCGTGACTCCGTTCAGTGTGTATTGTGACATGAGTGACAAGGGAGGAGTTGGCGTGACAGTCATAAGTCACGACAGTGAGAGTAGAACACATGTTGGTAACATTCCTGGATGTGGTGGTGCCGGTTGTTACAGTAAAGATGTGACTTACACTGGAGTTAGCACAGCTCAGTTGGCAGCACTCACTCGAGTCTCACAGAAGTGTGAACAGTTTATCAAGTTTGAATGCAATAATGACGTACGTTTCATTGCGCATAAATTCGCGTGGTGGGTGTCAAGTAACGGAACACGCGTGAACTACTGGGGTGGAGCTACAGGCTACAACAACATGTGCGCATGCGGATTAACAAACTCCTGCTTGAATGGTGAAAAGTGTAACTGTGATTATCAATCCTCGTCAGCCGGCTGGAGAGAGGACAGCGGTCTACTGACAGATAAGTCTGCTCTTCCTGTGACTCAGATCAGACTGGGAGACTTAAATGCTTCAAATGAGGAAGGTTATCACACAATAGGCAAACTCAAATGTTATGGACAGGCATGATGAACTTGTTTTGTTACAAAAAACGGCCTGGGTGTCGGGTATAGCTTATGGTTACCTTCCTTCAGTAAAAATTATGTTATGTTAAAAATCAATCGTTCAAAGGTTCTCAAGAAATAAGAGACTGGTTTATAGTATTTTGAATGCACTTTTATCAATAAAGGTAGTTTTAACAAAAAAATATAGGTTATAGGATCAGATTTGCAACGCCGAACACGTACAGTTAGCATTGCTGGTAGTAGATGAAAATTTAGATTTCAGTCGTGACTTGATGTGTCCTGATACTCTAACACGCTGCTTTTGGTACTTTTTGTTCTGTACATGTTTAACTTCTATTTCATCGCAAGTGACCTGACCGATTTCATTCTCGACTCCAAACTCTTGTCTATTCTCATTTTATTTGTCCATTATAAATTACATTTTTACAGCTGTTCTTATTACTTGTACGTTATCTGTTATAATATTACCCTGCAATATACTGGCAGGAGATCTCAGCAAGCCCTATTGAGGTTTTCTAGGAAGATCCCCTTGGTACAAATTAAGTCCAGTGAAAATAGCAGATGAATATCAAATGTAAATATATTGTAAATAACAGCACGGGATTTGCACGAAAATATTACTTATATATTAATTAATTAATCTATCTTAATGAATTTAATTACTTTGATTTTGCACTCCTTTCTTAAATGAATAATATGTTTTTAATGTTTTCAGATCATCTGGTATATTATTCCAAATTTGAGCCCCCTGTATTTTAATGAAAATTTCCCGTAATTTGTCCTCCTATAATCAATAAATATATTTGATGCATGACTATACGCGTCCCCATACGCCCCAGCCCTCTCTACCGGGAATGACGAATATCGACTGATTTTGTCAACATAAAAGGTTTCTCTTCGTTATCATCGTTAGCGATCCATTTTTATTTTATCCCAAAGTTCCATGCATCTTCGGTAACCTTTAGGTTTGCCTTTGTATTGTTTGTCAATGACATTTGTTTCTATATACTTTTTAGTTTTAGCTCCATATCAGTACCCTTTAGACTGATACCGACCACAAATATTGCAATATTTCACTTAAACGGTTGGTTTCCGGGTCCTGCTACGTATAATGTGCACCCGCATTAAGCACTTTTGGTGGCCTAGTGGGCGCTAGGTTATTTTCTTTCGTCATTGTTTTCGTCATTCCAAGGCTTAAAATACTCCAGAAGGATTTACTCCCCTAGCTTTAAACACGCTGTCTTTGTAATGCACACTGTCGTACGGATCGTAACTGCTGTCTGTACCATTCGGAAAGGACGCGCTAAGTGGATAAACATCTAACACCTCAAACCGGCTCTACACATGGCCTAAGCTGCGTGCGCATTGTATATCTGCACTCGCTGAAAAAAAAGTCGACACAGCCTCAGTGCAACCTAAATGTTCAAAATGATTTAACGTTTGGATTTATCTTTCTTTGGTTTTCCATAAAATGTCGGTTGCCTAAAAAGCTTAAACGTAATTTCATTGTTTTTTTCTCTCAAAATCAGCAGTCCGATAAAGAGAGCACTTGCTTCTCTATTTTCCAATTTTCTTAACTGAGCTTATCTCCAAAATTACATACTTTACTTTTGAAAAAAAAAACTGATGATGTTACATTTCGATAAAATATTTTTTTGTAAGTTTAAGCTCTAAACTGGGGTTAATGAGCCCTGAGCAAGTACTAGTTCTTTCCTCACTTGTCGCCAGTGTACTCTACTCTCCTTACCTTTGCAGTCAAGACTTGTGCAATAATCAGTAGCTCATTGTTTGGTTTAAAGTACTTTTACTTTTACATTGTTAAAGTGGTTGCCACAGCTCCCAGTATGATTCCACAGCATCACGTGATTCTCACCTGTCTTGCCCTAGTTACATCCCTCATAGCACTTGCTAGCCACATTTCAGCTTTACTCTTCAAACAAGTGTGTAGACTTGTACTTGCATATTGTATTTTTTCCCGCTCTCCCACCCAGCTTGTTTTGCCTGTGCTTTGTCCTGCCTGTTTCTATTTCATTTGTATCTTATGCTGTTTCATTTTATTCTATTTTAGTTGGTTATTTTTGTCTCCTCGATTGTTTTATTTTATTATTCATGAAAGTTGCCACCATTTTTATTTTTACATGTCTACAAAAAAAAGAGCTTGATATTTTCATCAATTAAATCCTTGGTGTTTCTACATCCTACTTTGTTACTTACTTATTGGTGACAGGGAAGTGCACGCTGGGCTGCACTTTACCCCACAGCGTGTGGGACAGCCCTCCTTGGCAGTAGGTCCGGATTGCTTACTCTAAGACGGTACAACTCACCATCTGACCTATTCTCCTTCCAGAAGGGGACCCCTCTTATGGTCCACCCAATGTTACACTCTAATGTAGGGTCACCTCTAGAGACACCGCTACTCTAGGGGGTCCTCTTAAGGACACCTCTACCCTAGGGGGCATAGGCTCTGCCTTCCCTGCGACGGGTAGTACTTGGTGTAAGACTGCCCAACCCAAATTTTGCCAAATTATAGTAATTAATATAATATGATATAAATAAATAAATAAATAAAGTAAAACCTGTGTTTTTTCCTTCCTTAGTTTCATAAGCTTGCAGAGTTAGGGGGAGGAGAAATCATTGTTACTCTCAGTTGTGCACCCCCCTTTCCTTGCATGATATCTTCTTAACTGCACCCCCTGTTATGTCAGTGACCCTTAGGACTCATTAAACGCGGTTTGTATTCTCCAGTAAACGATTCAAAGGCAACCTAATCCGGTAAAAAAGATATTTTACCTGAACAATTCGCCAGATCGATGCGTAGAGGTTTTTTATTCTCATCAATCAAAATATGGAAGTTCCGTCTCCTTTTCTCATTTGTATACTCTCTTTCTGATTGGGTAAGTTAAAGGCCAGTGTCTATCCTTTGTTCTGAATGAAAGTGTTGATTAAAACAGAAGCTAACAATACCTGGGAAGTCTCAGTCTTTCCCGGTGTATGGCGGCGTTTGTCGTCGAGATTATTTTCCCCTTAAATATATTACTTAGTCCCTTTTCACCTTGTTCGTTTTTCTTTATTTATTGGAACAAATCTACGATCCCATCGATCACTTCTCGGTAAGTTGAAAAGTTTGTCGATGTTATAAAATGTGGGCCATGATTGAAAAGAATAACGCACCTGTTTTTGTCGTTCATGTGAGGCGACTAAATGACATTTGCGATAGCTACTAAAACTCGGGTTTTATTGATAGGAAGAAAGTTCCTTTGCCGGTTCATTTCTACGGTAGCATTTTTAATTGGATAAATCCAGTTTTTTGAAAAGGTACAGCCTCTAAAAACTGATTTGTAGAAAGAGGCGGCGATCAACGCGCGACAAATTTATTTGTCGGGTAATGTTTACGCTCAATATATTTAGCGAATTATAGTCTTCACTTGCAATCACATAATCAGTGAATACTTTTGATCGCACAGCGAGGCAGAAACTCGAGTTGCTAACGTTATCAAGTTGTGACGTAAGGTTGCATTTTAGGGTTGCCAGGCAACGCTACTTCAGGTGCGAATGCAAATGCTGTGATCAAATACTATTTCACTTGTGGAGTATAGCACGAGGAGAAGGCTACGGGGTAGAAGGTGAGGAGGGGACATTTCTCTCACCAGGTTACTCCTGGAGCTTATTCATAGGCTACTCAGAGAGAACGCGAGGCGAGGCGCTTCGCTCGGAATAAATAAGCCATTTGTCTGCTAAGCGCACCGTAATTTTTAAGGAGTTATTATAACTCCAAAAATGGAGTAAAAATTTGAGGTACAGGATAACCCCCTTTTTGGGGGTTACTTTAACTCCTAATTTAACTCCAAATTTGGGGTCATTTTTACTCCTGAAAAAGAGTTCTTTTTACCCCCAGTCTGGAGTTAAAATAACTCCGAAAATGGGGTTATTTTTACTCCTTACATGGAGAGCTCTATATACCCCCCTTGACCCAACCCATAAGGAATGCACCTAACCTTTACCATTTCACGAGGCTGGGTGTGCTGTGCTGATTTGAAGCTGAGTAGTCAAGGATGGTTGTCTGTTGAGCTGATCTACTCCAGTGGGCTGATTTTGGTGGTCTGGTCACACGATGGTCAGGTTTGGGAGTTCGGTGGATTTGGTCTGGGGTCGGATCTGATGGACTGCAGTGGTGGTCTGATTTCTTGGTCTAATCCTGATGTCTTTCTGAGGTAGATGGTCTGGTCGAAGAGCTGAAAATTAAAAATATGAGAAGCTGAGGAAATAGTCATGAAAAGGCTCTATAAACGCGTCAGAGAGCTACGTTAAGGGAATTTAAATGGAGTAAAAAAATCGGAAATATATAAAAAAATTCAGTTGTAAATTTGCGAATCTTTCTAGGCCTAAAAGGTTTGCAAAGAGCTCACTAAACTGATTCAGCGCTGTGCTGACGATATTTTTTAATTATTCCACTTGTGGTATTAAAGAATCTTAGGTGCATCACCATGTTAAAAACCAGGCTCGGCCGCAATCTTTTCGCGCGAGTTCGCGCGTGATAAATTTAGATCATATGGGAGGTTCGAAAATCAACATTTGATTGCAAATGGTCGGTTGGTTTTTATCAGGGTAATTTAGCCGAAGTCTGGCCAAATAGAAAAAAACCATCTGAAAAATGCGAAAACTGAATGCTATTTTACAACAGTTGTATATCGCAATTATATTATTTCTGTATTTAACAGCACTCTAAAAGTCAAATCGTTGATAGTCTAATTATCAATCCTAACTGTTTATAATCCCTTTTATTATATAGACACGAGTGTTTTACTGGAAAATATACCACTCGTAAAAATCATAAAAACTACATCCGGGACCCGAGTGGTTTATTTTGCATAATCTCACAAGTGAGTTTATCGATGACGTAATTTCGGCAATTTTTCTCCAAAATTTGTAGGCGCCTTGCGTCCTTTGAATTCTAATTACACATTTTTCAAAGCTTTGCTTATATTTTGTCATTGTAGAGTTCTATTTCAGCTCGATGTTATTTCTCAAGATTATTGTAAGCAATGTCTTATATTGCTGTACTGTAAATTTGAGCGGCCACAATTACTTTTTGGCGAATAAAAATCTATTATTTATCGATGTCTTTTTGTCTATATAATAAAAAGAACATTACACGGCGGCTTGAAGATATGAATTTTATTTCCTCGTGGCAAAAACAATATTTTACTTACTCGCTGCCCTCGTTCGTAAAATATTGTTTTTTGCCACTCGGAAATAAAATTCATATCTTCGTGCCACCGTCTAATATCCTCTATTTAATGATTTAACGCAAGGTTGCACGCGTCTTATTTCGTCAGAATTTGCACCAGTGGAAGCGAAAACCAAGCAGTGGCCTGTTTCCAGAAAGATGTTTTAAAAGACTTTGGTAACAGAAGTATCAAGTCACATTTTCCCATCTTCGCTGAATTAAGTTTAAGTTCTTGGTACTTTTCTTTATTCGCTTTTGAGGATACAGTTTCTGTATTATCTACGATGGCCTTATTTTTCATTTTGCCGCCGAGGTTATTAACTTTGTCAAATGTTGCTGTCATGTTGTGCAGCAGGGAAAGTAAGTGAATCACATTTCTCGTTTTTGTGAATTCCTTGCTGAGTCACCAAAATAAATTTGGATGAAGAGTAAGATATGATTTGCTGTGTGGACTTAATCTGAGCATTGATGTCTCGTTTCACCGAGCTTTGCCTTTATTTTGGTGACAGCCACGTACATGACCATGTACAATCTAATTACGAACAAAATAAAAATTTTTGCTTGAGCATTTGGCTTCGCTTGTACTCGCTATTTCTCATCTGATAACAATTTATTTTAAAGCAAAAACATTCGACAACGATTTAACTTAATTTTAAGTTGGACTCAGGGTCAGAATACAAATTTCAAGAGAACTACCGTTAACTTTGACAAATAATTTCAAAATAAATTTACCTCAGGCGCTGGTTTTAACATTCCAAACTGCTTTTATAGTTAGTTTTCTTGTTGTGAAGTTGAGAAAGGCAGATAGCCAGTTTATGCGAGAGCGTCTTTTTTCTCCTACGTGAGCAACCTTCCTCAGCTTAACCGAAGTTACCCATTTGAATGTGGCGGGGAGCAGTGTTTTGATTTGAATAACAATTTCTGATTGAACTTTCTGTCGCACGTGCTTATGTAGCAAGAACAAAGGTTGTTTGAGCAAGCCATTTGGGACATGTGAGGTTATATTAAATTCTATAAAAATGTCTTGGGCGCGTTGGGCGCGTAACCATTTGTAAGGTGGAAAAACTGGTTGTTATATTTAGTGGAAAAGGAAAAAATTGCAACGGATTCGCGTTTTAAGTTCACTAGAGATTTACTCATGGACGAGCTACGTCCATAATTTTCATACGCAAATGAGTTCTAGCCAATCAGAGGAGCGGACCAACAAAAACGGATACGGCCAAGTTGGTTTCTTGTCAAAGTGATTTTGTTAATAAACACAGCGCGGTTGATCGTGCGAGGTTTGTTAAGGTGGCCCCCTAGAGTAAATTGGCCGTGCGCAGCCTGAGCACTAGTATGGCGCGAGTTTTAAAATCCGCGCGACGTCCACGCAAAAATTGAAACAAACATGGCCTCTCAGTTTCCAAATATTCCACCCAAAAAACTTTATTAACTTTCTGTTGAAGCTCATTGTGCAAAAAGTTTGATTTATATAGTGTAGGTCAAACATTTATGAGACCAGACAATGTTACACCAGTTACAAGTCACTATCGATCTCCATAAGAGTAAATTATATGTAAAGACAAAGCAGAAATTTTCCAAAGACATCAATTCTTTCGCTTCAAAAGTAGACAAACGTTACATAGTCGAATTGAATGGTGAGTGGAAACTTTACTAAGAAAACAAAGAAGTAAGTACACTAACCCAGAAGGAAGCAATGTTGCTGTTTCTGGCCTTTGGTTCACGGTCAGTGGAAAGATCTGAAAGATCGAGCCAAATCCCAAACAAACACTGAAGATTGCCTTCACTGGCGGAGCTCCTCCGTCACTCTATTTCTCTTACATTTGATTTGATTAAAGTAATTCTAGAAGTGGCTTTAAGACGAGATTACAGGGAGTGTAATTTTTTTTTGTTTTGCCGACTCTATCACATTTTTTAAAAAACTTATCAGAAGAAAGGTTTCCCACTTCTAAACTTGCATCCTAATCGAAGGAACCTTTCCATCGACGAACCAACATCCTTGTATTTTTTCTTGTTTCAAACGTCCTTCAACGCACATGCAAGATGCACTAGAAAATGTTTTGCACAACGAGAAATAATTTTTCTCACAGATTGACCCTTTACGAAAGTAATAGTTGTCCGTCGAGACCTACGGTCTTGTACGTGTAGCTGAGGACATGATGTACGATTCATAGATCGGCGCCATCTTTCACAGCAGACTTGTAAACAAAAACTTCGCCGTCGAAATTATCCATAAAGTATCCGGACGATCGCCATCCTCACGAGTGACCACCACGGTTCGAATTTTAGCTACAATAGTCAAGTACTGCGAAGAAAACATCCCGGGCTAGGTATAAAATTAAATCCGCTATCTCTCCTTTTTCTACTGGCGAGATTTCACCGTAATAATACTAATAAACGGCTTCAAAACAATCGCTTTCGTACTTTTCAAAGAAACCACATGTTTTCAGTAGCTTTGTGCATTATGCGCATGCGGGCGTGATGGCTCGCGCGCGTGTTTTGCTCATACGACCACGAACCACGCGTGTTTTTCGGATTTTTGTGACGTCAGCGCAGTTAATTAACCGTGAATTTCTCGCGTTTCCTTCGGTAAATTTTTTTAAAAATCACCTCATGTCTTAACAGTCGTAGTACCTTTGTGCTGTCATTTTTTTGTCAAAATCTGTAAGAGCTAAACTCCTCTACTAAGAAAAATTACAAATTTCAAAATATTGGCAAAACCGTCTTAACGACCCCATGTTTTCTCCACTTTAAAATGTTAAGCAATATCGTTAACATAAAGTGACCAAATTTAAAGACATTTCACCGCGGGAAATTAGAAATATTAAGGAAAAATGGGCAAAAATGACGAAATTACTGCCCGTTTAAGAATGCGATGTTTCCATGGCAACGGCCTTAATCCAGAAAATGAAACTTGATAAGGGAGCCTTCTTATATGGGTAACATTAGCGGTGAATCTCGTGAACAAAATCGCAAAGACAAAGTAACTAGATTTCGTTCTGTAACGTATGCTGGATAGCTAGGGTTATTAGTAAATAATCTAGGGAGCCACCTTAAGGTGGCTGAACACAGTTTTGGCAGTTTGTGAGTGTATGTCATTTGCCAAATCATGGCAGGAGAAAGGTTACAGCTCACAAGCTGAAACTTGGCAGGTGAAAAATATACTGATGAGAGATTTTGATTGACAGGTAAAATTTGACGTTTTCATAGTTTCCATGGCAACATGAACGATTGAATACAACCTTAAAATTTCACTTTTGTTCAGTTTACATAAAATTCGCTCATTAGATTTTCCTGTAAACTTGCATACACATTAATATAACAAATCATTGCCATTTGAAATTTATTTGATCAAATTTTAACAGACGGACTTTTAGATAATCAATAATATAATTGTATTGTAATTATTAAATGTGTCACGAAATTCGTCTGTTCAACGTCCATTTTAAAGTTTTTATTAGCTAAAATACAATAAAAGTAAAAATTCTGCCAAATATCACCAAATTTTAATGAGTAGATTTTGAGAAATCGTCTTCTGTGTACCATTGCTTTTTCGCCGCCATGTTTGTTTGTCTAATTAAAAACACGCGCGGTCACGCGAGTTACCGCTGACCACCCGCAAAACTGTGTTCAGCCACCTTAAATCGACCGCCACTGCGCGGATTCCGCGTTCGACAACCGCCGCGTGCGCGATTCATTCCGGGATCATACTATATACCCGTTGGTTTTCATTGACGTAGGCTTCCCTCGTCTATTACCTTAACCGTCGTCCAAACCATTTTAATACTAACAACTTTTTTGTTTTGATGAAAAGAAGACTGTTAGAAATTGACCAGGCGTTAACAGTTGCTTCTCTCATTCATGTAAACCTCTTCGAACCTCCGTCGAAGGCTTTAAAAGGGGAGGGGTGGGGAAAGGAAAAGGGAGAGGGGATTGGGGAGAGAAAGAAGGGACTTCCTCTCCCTTTTCCCTTTCGCGCTTTTCTCCCCCACCCCTCCCCAAACCCCCGCGTTTTTTGCACCTGCCACGCAGTTTAATCTCTTCTAAACAAAATAGAAATGCCTGGAACCTTGCAGTAGTTGCGAGGAATTTTGAAATTTTATTTTATATATTTCTGATGCAAATTATCCGCGCAAACATGTCGAGGTCTTCCCTAATATCAGCACATTTATGATAACTAGCAATCAATCCACAATTGTCTTGCTTCCCTAGTTTTATGATAAATAATAATAATTATCATCACCATTAGCCCGCAAGTTCTTTAGCCGAGCTTTTATATCTCAGCGAAACTAATTACTAAAAAAGCAGATTTTGAAATAATAGAATGAAATGAAATAATAGCCATAAATACTGATTAGCAGAAAGAGAGACCTTTTTTATAAATCATCCTTAAAACTGTACGAGATGATGAATGGCTTTGGACCTGATCAAGTTTAGTTCCCACTCTGCAATGACATCCGCCACTGTGTTATTGACCCCAGACATCTGAAATCGAGTTTAAGATTACGTGAAAATAGATGATCTGACAGATAAGTGAATTTTTAGTTGCTTGGAAAATAGCCAATGTTGTCAGTGGAGACCATGTCGTATCCACTAAATGCGACAACAACCCCAGCTGCAAATGAACTAAAATTCATTAACGTTATAGCACCCGTTTTCTTTATTTTCATCTGTTATGGAGAAATCGAAAACACCTCCAGTCTCTAACCCCTCGAAGTTTTCATCCGCGATATTTTCAGTATCCTCGCTGTTTGTTTTGTGGCGTTGATTCACGTCGAGATCGAAATTCGTGCTCATCGTCAAATGCTTCAAATTTTAAATCAAGAGAGAGCAGACACCCACGAGCTACAAAATATAGTCGTTCATCAAAAAGAAACCATCGATTCTGTGTTGAAGATATTGCTGAGTGGATCACCTAAAGGTATTTGTATACTTATTTAACTAGCCCTCGTCTACAATTTCTCAATTTTTTCTGACTTCCACGTCACATGTAAATAAAAAAAGGATCGAAAGACTCATTGATTTTTAGGCACTTTAAAAGTCAATCATCTACGCTTAGTAAAAAACGACACAACCTTTTGAAAAAGGTAGTTGCAATTGTTGGCTCACTCAGAGAAAGGACACTGTCATTCTTTAAGCCTCTTTTACGGGAGGTCAACTCCGCATGTTCATACGTGCTGATCAAACCCAGTAAGCCATTTTTAAACTATTCGGCACTATTTCTGTAAAGCTGAAGCGGTTGCTTTTAGGAAGGATTTGATTACTTCTTCCTGTTTATCTGAAAATGTCAGAAATACTTTTAAGGCCCACATAGCACGATACAACTGCCTCGTCCCCAGTCGCTCGCGATCACTTTTTGGGGGATGTTTGAGTTAATGGGGAACTTAAGCAACAACGGTGGCGACGGCGACGGCCACGAAAACGTCACTTAATGTGAATTAGAGCTACTTTAAACTTTATCGCGCTTATTCCAACTCGACCAATTCGTCAAATGTTGGCAAATTTTTCTGGGGTTGAATTCTAAAAGACTGTATCAAAGTTCAGGAAAAGAAAAAGAAAGTTGCCTTGTGTTCATGTCCTCAACAAAACGTGAAATTAGGACTTTCATGTTGTAGTTGTGCAGCGACGGCAAAGAAACGTACAAAATGTGACATGCAAAGTTGTTGTTTTGCCAATCTAACCCTATTGCTTTGTTGCCGTTCTTGTTGGCGTCACCGTCGTCGTTGCTTAAGCTCCCTGATTATTAAGGAAGGCGGAGCCGAGGGGAGTCTCCGCTCGCGCTCTGCACTCGCTCCCATCATCCCTCTCAAGCGCTTCTCGCTTGTCTCCAGCTCTCCCATGTTCCCCACTGAGCCCTGGGAAAGCCTATGGAGGAGGCAGACGAAACAAAACAAGGAGTGCTATCGGCCGACCTTTGCCCCAAAATAGAATATTACATCTTAAGGAACATTCTTTGAGACTATGCAACGTAGAGGTGGTGGTGGGTCGGGGGTCGGGGTTGGGAGCCTGGCCCCAGTAGCTCAAAAGGTGGATAACGCTATCCACTGGAAAGAAAATTTCTGTCCATTCTATCTATTGGTTTCACTGGATAATACCGATTTATCAGGTGCGGATAACGCTATCCAACATTTGAACAACCCGGACCTACCTTACGAACAGAACTTGAAAGAATGACCATAATTCTTTATGTCAGCTGCAGCCCAAGTCCCCTCAATTATAAGTGGAGAAACAGTTAAAATTGTGTTTGCTATTGAAGATAAGGCTTCTTGCTATCAAAGAACTGATTTACCGATTACTTTACATTTCAGATGCACACATCCGTCAAAAACGCCATGTGCAAAACAAGGATTCAAACTCAAGTGGGATCTTCACTAGGAAAGAAATACAACTGGCCTTAGGTAGCCTGGCCTGTACAATTCATTGTCCGAAAGGAATCAGGGGAAGACGAGGAAGGCCATGCTCCGCCAGGACCTCAGGGACCTCAGGGGCCTACAGGTACTCAAGGAGACCAAGGACCACCTGGACCTAAAGGCGATCAGGGCCCTCAAGGACCCAAGGGAGATCCTGGTGAATCCATCTCAGTTCCTTCTATTGTGTCACCTCTAGTATCTATGGTGGTGAATGAAACTGGTATAGCCTCATTTCAGTGCGATGTTGAGGGAAATCCAACACCTCAAGTCACATGGCTGAAGCAGAATTCAAGTCTTTCCGATGACAAACGAGTTGTTCAATCACGTGATGCATTAATGATTAAAGATGTTACGTCACAGGATGGTGGAGTGTACACGTGTAAAGCGGAAAATATTCTTGGAATGGTGACTTCATCGGCTACGTTAGCTGTCCAAGGTGAGGAATAGACATTTATTCTGATGCCCTGGGAAATTGTTTTTGGGGAAAGAGGCACAGTCAGTTAGCAAAAATATTGACCACTATTATGAATAGGAAGGATTAATCGTCGAAAAAAATTGAAATTAAACCACTAAAGGAGACCAACTTACTGTAGGCATGGATCCTACTCGATTTGACCCTTAAAAGGATCCTACATCTAAAAGCTACATTTCATGACCTATGCTTTTAAAAATCGGTTAAATCAGAGATATCAAAACGTACTCAACGAAAGTACAAAATAAAGTCATCCGCACGCTAACCTATCGTCTTCTTTGCTGCAATGAGGCCTTCATGGTTTTTGAAAACGTGTTCTTAAAAATGAACTAGAACGGTTATCTTCAGGGGTTACCACCCAACACGTTACTGATGTCCCAAACAGATTGAAACAAAACCAAGCCCAACAGTCTTGTATCCACGATTCCTAAGAGGGATATTATCGGATTTATTGTCCTGTTACCTTTTACATTTGCCACATCAAATCTTTCTCCTTATCTTACATGTTAACGTGACGATACTTTGTTCAAACACATCGGGTTAAATTTGACAAATTATTTAAAAGAACACTTTATAATTTTAATACACTTAATAATTCGACACCAATTTTAAATTGGGTCTATTTTCTTATCGAGCATAGAAATACAAAGTTGTGACCATGTTTTGGTCATTTCTATGGTCGATGAGAATCTAGACTAAGGAAAACTGTTGTTCAGGAAAGTGCAACTCGGCAATAGAGGTGGGGTTAACACCCATATGCGTATTATGTAGCAGGCTTTTTGATAACATTGTAAGTGATCCAAACCATAAATTGAAGGCGCTCCTTCCACCAGACTATGACAACTCACGCTATAACCTAAGACGACAGCGCCATTTTAATATGCCAAAGCTTTATACGAACAGAACAAGTAGTACTTTTATATATGCGATGTCGAAACAGTCCGGGCTGCAGTTTTATCCCACTTATATTCATGCTTTATATTTTAACATATTTTAATACGAATGTATTGTATAGAATTTTTAATATTATCTTAAAAATCAGTTTTTGACTTATTATCTAGGATTCATTTGTAATTTTCAAGTATTGTAAAGTTTTTGTAAATGATTGCGTAATTCAGCCTTTGGCTGCGATGCAGTTTTAATAAACTATCTATCTATCTATCTATCTGTTCGTCTGTTTCATCCAATAACTTTTTCTCGACAACAATCTTTTTGGTCTATTCTCTTATCGACCATAGGAATGCAAAGTTGTGACAATTGTGTGGTTATGGTTATGGTTGTGGTTATGAGAATATAGAATAGGGGAAACTGTCGTTCTTTTGTTTCATACAAGAACTTGCACAGCCGGAAAATCGCGCGAGAGAGAAAGAGTAAAAAATTGCACCACCACTAGGTAATTTCCATGGTTAATCATCTCATTGACAATAGATCTCAATCAATCAGCGCTCGAAAAATCGCCAAGACATTTTAAAAAGGTGTAGTTTCAACATATAAGGCTTACAAAGTCATTATGAGATTACACCATTGATCAGTTTTCATAATGAGTTTTAACTCATTATGAAAAATGATTAAAATCACCCTTGTCACTGTTAATGTCTCTGATGTCAAAGCTGATTCTGTTTTACAGTCCGCGCCTTAATCACTCATAAACCATCATCGATCACAGTGGAAGAAGGACAAAATGTGAGCCTGCAGTGTAAAGCTGCTGGTTTGTCTGCACCAAGAGTGACATGGCGGAAAGCGTTCAGCAAGTTGCCGGTAAAGAGAAGCTCAATAGTAAATGGAAACCTGAGTATCCGCAGTATAACAAAAGCAGATAGTGGGACTTACGCATGCTCAGCAAAGAATCTCCTTGGAGATGAATCCGCTGTTGCCGTGGTGATGGTGATTGAAAGGCTGCAATTCATCCTAACCCCTCTCAACAAAGTAACTGTCTTAGAATCTTGCAAAGAGACCTTACATTGAACAGCTCATGATCAGGGGTCAATAGAGATCGTCTGGAAAAGAGTGGGTAAACATATGCCTCAAAATCACGTTGATTATCCAAACGGAACCTTGCTTCTGACAAACGTTTCTCCAAATGATGCCGGTTCGTATACATGCATAGCGAAAAACTCGCTGCGGTCCATTGAAGCATCATCTGTTGTCGAATTGCCCAAACGTAAACCCACATCCTGTAGCGATTTAAAATCAAGCTGCAGAGCGTGGTTCCGTTCAGTGTGTATTGTGATATGAGTGACAAGAGAGGAGTTGGCGTCACGGTCATAAGTCACGACAGCGAGAGTAGAACTCATGTGAATAGCGTCAGTCCTGGATGTGGTAGTCCAGGTTGTTACAGGAAAGATGTGACTTACACTGGAGTTAGCACCGCTCAGTTGGAAGCACTCACTCGAGTCTCACAAAACTGTGAACAGTTTATCAAGTTCGAATGCAATAATGATGTTCACTTTATACAGCAGAATGGTGCCTGGTGGGTGTCACGTGACGGAACACGTATGAACTACTGGGGTGGAGCTACAGGATATAACAACAGGAGCGCATGCGGAGTAACAAGCTCCTGCTCTAATAGTAAAAAGTGTAATTGTTACAACGGTGGCAGAGGTTGGAGAGAGGACAACGGTCTATTGACAGATAAGTCTACTCTTCCTGTGACTCAGATCAGACTGGGAGACTTGAATCAATCCCGAGGAAGGTTATCACACATTAGGCAAACTCAAATGTTATGGACAGGCATGATGAACGTTTTTTGCTACAAACAGTGCCCGTTGTCAGTCGGACCAGCACAAATTATTTCTCTAAAGAAAAGACATGGACGCTACATGAGAAAGCTAGTCTAATGATCATTCGTTCATAATTAACACACCTAGAAACCTTAAAGGCATTTCAATTGAAATTTTATCGACTTTTCGTTCTTAAACAGAGATGAATTTTTTTAAAAAATTCAAGGTTTAAAGGAGAACATAGAGTTTAGTGCATAGAGATTCCATTACTTAAATATTTACGTTTTGTTCCAAAGCCGTTTCTATGCACCCGATGCACTGTAGTGGTCGTGGTCGTGATTAAGAAGTCTAAGAACCTATAAATATAGCATTGATCTCAGTCACTTCTTGTTTAATTAGTTAAATTTGATTTAAACTTCGTATTTGTATTGTTTGATCTTTATAATGTGGTATATAAGCCCACAATTATCTCACAAGTAGTCTTTTCCGTCTTACTCAAACGATGTGCTTCCAATGCAAGTTCCCTTCAGTTTACGCTCACCGTATCGATGAGAAGGGGTAATTGAGTTTTTTTCTTAAATATTGTAGGACGGAACACGTATGAACTACTGGGATGGAGCTACAGGCTACAAAAACATGTGCGCATGCGGAGTAACAAACTCCTGCTCTAATGGTAACAAGTGTAACTGTTACAATAGTGCCGGTGGCTGGAGAGAGGACAGCGGTCTTCTGACTGACAAGTCCGCTTTACCAGTGACTCAGATCAGACTGGGAGATTTAGATCATTCAAGTGAGGAAGGTTATCACACATTAGGCAAACTCAAATGTTATGGACCAGCATGATGAACTTGCTTTGCTACAAACACGGCCCGTTTGTCGAAAGGAATAAGCTTCGGACCAGTACTTACTTTTGCGCAAATTATTTCTGTAAAGATAAGACATGCATGCTACATGAGAAGGTTGTCCGATGATCGATTAAAACACACAGAAACCTTGATGGCATTTTGAATAAAATTTCATCGAACTTTCTTAAACAGAAATTTTTTTTAAAGACAGTAACTAAAACGGGGGACTTTTGTGAACATCGGCTAGAGAGAATAAGAATACTTTTAATTACTTTCAATAACTACAATAAACTAGCACATCGAGTCTTAAGTCAAGTCTGAAATATTTAAGGTTTTGTTCCAAAGTTCTTTGCATCATGCACTGTGGGGTCGCAAACCTGAAAATTATAATATGGATATCAGTAACTTCTTGTTTAATCATAGTAATCTTGATTTTAACTTCGTATTTGTATTGTTTGATCTTACAGAATAAGGTTAAATAAGCCCACAATTATCTAAAATGAAGTCTTTTCCCTCTTACTCAAGCGATGCGCTTTCAGGTGTTACAGGACTAAATGCGTCCGTTTTTTGGTATAGACATAAACGTTTTAGGTTCTAAAAACTGTCAAATTACTCAAATATACGAACTGATACGATAAACATCCTTTAATTAACTAGTTTGTATTTTTTTGGGAGATGGACTGCTGACATTTTTATATAGCAACAGTTTATCTTTCTGAAACCAGCTAAATCAGCAGTTTATGGAGCGGACATGGCAGTCTTCCCCATCCCCCTCCCCTTGACATTAGTTTTCTTTTAATATCTACTGGCCTTTATTGTAATAGCATGTTAATGAAAAACACCTATCTAATCAGATAAGTTAAAGTGATGGAGTCTAAAAGTAAAGGAAATCTGTAATTAAACAGACAGAAGAAAGATGCAAGAGAAAAGACGGAAAAAGTAGAGAAAGAAAAAAGACGCGGGAAGAGAGAAAATAAAGACAGAAAGCTAGTAAGAACTGTGGAGGAAACGGAAAAAGGATTTACAGTTAAAACGCATGCAGTTAATGAAAAATTGTCGAAATTGTAAATGTCTTTTTTGAATAAATGGTCTTGCCCTTCTGAAAATTGTCTCAATCACTTCACACTGTCGGAGGACGCACACTTGCCACACTTCTTTCACACTGCTATAGAAAATCCCTCATTACACGTACAGGTCCCACCACAGTTGACGGTCACAGTAAATGGACGAGGGGGCCTATTGAATCTTAATTAGGCTAGATCCTTTGGTAACTGTTTTCGTTATTTCAGGAACTAAATATTCCACAAGGATTTATCTACCGTTAGGAAATGATTCGTTAACTGGATAAACATCTAAATAAAACCTGCTCTACACATTGTCCAGCTACCAGTATGCATTGTATAACTGCACTCGCTGAAAAACTTTTTCAGTCTTTTTTTAATTATTCCTTTTTTCAGTGAAACGATCAGAATAATTATATAGCCTTCAGTTTCCCTGGATTTCTATATAATCAGTCCAAAATGTCCAAAAATTATGTACCCTCAGGAAAGTGAAAATTATAATTTGTCTAACTTAGCGATGATGACACGGTTTCCAGCATTCTGCACAGTAATTTTCAAGGAGTTCTAATAACCCCTCTGGTAGGGTTAATTTAACTCCTTACAGTGGAGTTATTGTTTTGGGAGTTATTTTAACTCCAAAAAGAAGTTTAGGGAACTCTTTTTCAGGAGCAAAAATCACCCAAGATTTGGAGTGAAAATTGGGAAGTTTAAGTAGCCCCTAAAAAGGGGTTTTCCTGTTGCTAAAATTTTACTGTGTGAGTGGTAAATCAACGTGTTTTCATGCCCGAAATTTACTCTCCCCTCCCCTCCCGTTTCAGTTTTGTGCCTGGCAAGCAGTTTAGTCTCTTCAGTCCTCTCGCCAAATCAAAATAGAAATGCCTGGAACTCTTACCCTCAATTACAGTACATTAATGATAAATAGCAATGTTCCTTTCCTATCGTCTTGTTTTCGTAATTTTTATAGAGCAGGGGTATGATAAAAATCATCACAATCATCATCATCAATCCGCAAGTTCTTTCTCCAACTGACAAAACAAATACGACATTAGCTTTTGGTTGAAATAAGAGCCATTACTAATAAAGAGAAAAATTAGTAAAATTACAGCTAATCAAGTTTAGTCCTCACTCTGAGATGACGTCCGCCAGTGTGTTATTGACCCCAGACATCTGACATTGAGGTTAGGATTACATGAAAATAGCTAAACTGACAGCTAAGCGAATTTTTCGTTTTTCGGAAAATAGCCAATGTTGTCAGTGGAGACCAGGTCAAACAGAAGAAATTAAATCCAACACCCGGCATAAAACATTTCCGCTGTCGTATACACTAGCTACAACAACCCAAGCTGCAATTGAACTAAAATTCATCAACGTTTTTTAGCACTCGTTTTCTATCTGATCAACTGTTCATGGAGAAATCAAAGACACCTCAAGTCTCTCACCCCTCGCAATTTTCATCCGCGATATTTTCAGTCACTCTCGCAATTTGTTTCGTGGCGCTGATTCACGTCGAGATCGAAATTCATGTTCATCGTCAAATGCTTCAAGTGTAAAATCAAGAGAGAGAAGACAGCATCGAGTTCCCATCGAGTTGCGAAAAGTAGTCGATCGTCATGAAAAAACCATCGATTCTGCGTTGGAGATGATGCAGAGCGGATCACCTACAGGTAATTGTATTCTTATTAAACTATCCATCGTCTTCAATTTTTCTCAATTTTTAACATCCATATGCAATTTAAAAAAGAATCAAAAGATTAATTAATTTAAAGTAAAATTGAATCATTTAAGCTCAGAGAAAAAACAACCTTTTTTTAAGAAAAAGGTGATTGCAATTTTTGGCTGACTTAGTTCATACGTGCTGATCAAAGCGGCAGTATTCCTAAATAATTTTTTTGCTCTCTTTGCACGCTCTTTTGAAAGAGAAGGGAAAAGGAAGTTACTGCCATTCAGCACTATTCCTGTAAAGCTGAGGCGGTTGCATTTAGGAAGGATTTGATTAACACTTCCTGTTTATCTGAAACTCTGTCAGACTGATTAAAATCTTCTAAGGCCCACATTGCACGAAACAAGAAAAGGAACACCAGCAGTTGACCTTTCCACAAAAATAGAATGTTACATCCTAAGGAACCATTCTTTAAGACTACGTAACGTAGGAGAATGAAAGAGGGTTGAATGTATGCGTGTGTTATGGGGGGGGGGGAAGGCCGCTGTGGGCATGGCTTACCAGCAGAACTTGAGAGAGTAATCATAAATCTTTTTGTTAGCCGTGGCCCCAGTCACCTCAATCATAGGTGAAGTATTAAAGAGTTGAATTTGTGTTTGCTAATGAAGATTAAGGATCTGGAGGTCCGGGATTCAAGTCGCGTTGTTTCCTTAGACAAGGTACTTTGCTCCACTTTCTCTCTCCTCGTCCAGGAGTACAAATGGGTACCAGCAACGCAGTTGCTCGGGGGGCGTACTCCCTATAATGGCCTATACAGGGAGGTTCCGCCCGAAAGGGGTACCTTTGTCAGGCCTCAGGTATACGAAAGGGTAGGGATTTTACTCGTTGAAGTATACGAAAGGGTCTGTGAAAGGGCCTAAAAGAGCTAACAGATGAATTTTGTGGCTTTATAAAGTCGAGAAAACGTTCTACTTTTGTGATTGATTCCTATTTAAAAGACCGTGCATTTACAACAGCTAAAAGAGGTGCAAAGTTCTAAAAAAGGTATGTGAAAGGGGTATCCTTTCTCAATAGAAGGTACACAAAAGGAATACCTTTTTCTGTCAAAAATGGTATATAAAAGGGTAAGGGGTTGGACCTCGGGGCGGAGCCTCCCCGACTAAAAATTTGTTGAGTACCCCCACCCCCCGGGCACAGTTGTCCCTTTCGTAAACGGTCGCTGCCATTTTTAAGACTCTTAGGGCTGATTTCCAGGATCGCGTAATTTTTACATGCGTACGTGTGTAAAATTTACTTTCGCAAATAAAATAGAGGCAATGCACCAAAGGTCGCTCGTAAGCGTAAAAGTTGAACCTCGCTCAGCTTGTCGTTTAAGCTCAGCACTTTTTTCTCTTGCCTCTATTTTATTTAAGCGATTAAAATTTACGTGCGTTAACGTGTGTAGCCAAAAACGCGTCAGTGGAAATCAACCTTTAGAGATTTGTGACCTGTTATTGAAAGCTTTTCTGTCAATAAGAAAGAAAATCGCAAACCAGGGTCCTACCTGGACACCGAACCCACACCTTTCGTATCCTAATCTCTCTCCCTTACCACTACATTGCCACACCCAGCCCGCCAAAATTCCGAAAAAAATTAAGTACATACACTAGCAAACGGTTTTTCTTAACTGTTACTTCAATAACGGGTGACCCTATCCCTTTCCATAATTTTTAACGTAAATTCAACTTGGGATTCAACTTCGTTCTTTCTAAGGCTATTCAAAAACGTATTATTTGTCTTATTGCAACTTACGGGGTGTATATTACATCCATCATGACTAAAGGCTTGGTTACCAATGGTGGCATCGACCGTTTACGAAAGGGAAATAGGCACTGGCGACATGCTGCTCACATGGGGGTAACGCTGCGATGGACTAGCAATACTCCTAGGCATGCTTCATGCTAAAAAAAAAAAAAACCGGGATAACTCCGGCCGTTTGGGCCTTTGGCTCGTGTGAGCCTTTACTTTTACCTTCTTTGAAGATTAAGGCCCTTGCTCCCAAAGAACTGATTTGCTGATTTCATTGCATTTCAGATGCACACATCCGTCAAAAACGCCATGTGCAAAACAAGGATTCAAACGCAAGTGAAACCTTCACAAGAAAAGAAATTCAAATGGCCTGTACAATTCATTGTCCGAAAGGAATCAGGGGACGCCGAGGCAGGCCTGGTCCTCCAGGCAAGCTTGGTCAGCCAGGGCCTCAGGGAAATCGTGGCAGACCTGGTCCCGCAGGCAAGCATGGTCCGCCTGGGCCCTAGGAATCACAGGGCCCTAAAGGTTCTCAGGGAGATCAGGGGGCCCCTGGACCTAGGGGCGACCAGGGCCCTCAAGGACCCAAGGGCGATCCTGGTGAATCCATCTCAGCTCCTTCTATTGTGACATCCCCTGTTTCCACGGTGGTAAACGAAACTGATGTAGCTTCACTGCAGTGTGAGGTTAAAGGAAATCCTGTTCCTCAAATTACATGGCTTAAAGAAAATACCAGTCTTCCAGCCGACAAACGAATTGTACAATCTCGTGGGGGTTTAATGGTTAAGGATGTGACGTCACAAGATGGTGGAGTGTACACGTGCGTAGCAAGCAACATTCTTGGATTAATAACAAAATCGACCACGTTAACTGTCCAAGGTAACATGCTCCTCCTTCGTTTCTTATTGGAAAATTCATGGATTAGAAGCTATTAATGAGAAATCAAATTCCATTACATGATATATTTTCACTTTAAAATTAGGCGTATTAATAGTCAACGACGTCTGTTAAATTCCTCATAAACAATTATTCACAGTCTACTAATAATAATGAGTCGCGTCAAAAATGCCTGTTTTTAGCGAATAGAGCGGTAATTGGGCTATAAATACAACTTCGACTATAATTTCCTGTTATACAAAGGGGATTCTACTGAAGACGATTTGGAACGATGATTTTTAAGACAACAATGTTGGCACAATTCGAAGAATTTTCTCGCAATGTTGCAACGCTGTATTGCCTTGAAAATTATCGTTGTGAATCGTCCCGTGTAACATCGCTCAGGAGAAAATAATGCGACCAAAACCGTTATCGGTAGATTCTAGGTTCGGCTCTAATCAAGGGAACTCGGAGGCGTTTTCCCAGAATCCTCTGTTTTGATTTACTTGTAACTTGTTTTTATTTTCTTGGCTTATTATATTTCTTCATTACTTTACAGTTGCTGCCTTAATCAATCAAAAACCCTCGTCTATTGTTGCTGAAGTAGGGGAAAACGTGAGGTTGCAGTGTAAAGCTACAGGTCTTCCAATACCAACGATCACGTGGCGGAGGGCGTTTGGTTCCTTACCAAGAGGGAAGACTGCAGTGGATGATGGGAAATTGACAATTCGTAACATAGCTAAAGCTGATAGTGGGGATTACGCATGCTCAGCAAAGAATTTTCTCGGACAGGACTTTGTTGTCGCTCAATTAATAGTGATTGACAGGCTTACATTTACCCTTACTCCTCCCCGGAAAGTTACTGTATCACAGTCACGAAACTTGTTGTTAAACTGTGCAGCTCAAGGAAACACAGAGATCACGTGGAAAAGAACTGGAAAAGTCTTACCTCATAGTCACGTGATTTATTCTAATGCAACTTTGCTGCTCAGCAGCGTGGTTACAAACGATGCCGGAACATATTCTTGCGTGGCCAAGAACGCACTTCGTTCTGTCGAGACTACTACTGTTGTTGAAGTGTACAACAAACCTTTGTCCTGTAGCAGTATAAAATCAGGCCGCAGTGGAAGCTCTTCAGGTAATTATATTATTGACCCTGATGGCAAAGGAGGCGTGGCTCCGTTCAGTGTGTTTTGTGATATGAGTGACAAGGCAGGAGTTGGCGTGACAGTCATAAGTCACGACAGTGAGAGTAGAACTCATGTGAATAGCGTCAGTCCTGGATGTGTTAATGCAGGTTGTTACAGGAAAGATGTGACCTACACTGGAGTTAGCACAGCTCAGTTGGCAGCACTCACTCGAGTCTCACAGAACTGTGAACAGTTTATCAAGTTTGAATGCAATAATGACGTACTTTTTGTTGAGGATCGTTATGCCTGGTGGGTGTCACGTGACGGAACACGCATGAACTACTGGGGTGGAGCTACAGGATATAACTTCATGTGCGCATGCGGAGTAACAAACTCTTGCTCCAATGGTAACAATTGTAATTGTTACAACGACAGAATTGATAGCGGTTGGAGAGCGGACAGCGGTCTACTGACAGACAAGTCTTCTCTTCCTGTGACTCAGATCAGACTGGGAGACTTGAATCAATCCCGAGGAAGGTTATCACACATTAGGCAAACTCAAATGTTATGGACAGGCATGATGAACTTATTTTGCTACAAACAGTGCCCGTTGTCAGTTGGAGCAGCACAAATTATTTCTCTAAAGAAAAGACATGCACGCTACATGAGAAAGCTAGTCTAATGATCATTCGTTTAACACACATAGAAACCTTAAAGGCATTTCCAAATTGAAATTTTATCGACCTTTCGTTCTTAAACAGAGATGAATTTTTTTTAAATTTAAGACTTAAAGGAGACCATAGAGTCTAGCGCATAGAGACTCTATTACTTAAATATTAACGTTTTGTTCCAAAGTTCTTTGCACCCGATGCACTGTGGTGGTCGTGGTCGTGATGAAGAACCTATAATTATAGCATCGATCTCTGTCACCTCTTGTTTAATTAGTTTAATTTGATTTTAACTTCGTATTTGTATTGTTTAATCATTAGAATGTGGTATATAGGCCCACAATTATCTCACCTGCAGTCCTTTCCATCTTACTCAAATGATGCACTTCCATTTATAACTTAATTTCCAAGTTCCTTTCAGTTCACGCTCACGGTATCGATGAGGAGGGGTAATTGAGTTTTTTTCTTAAAACTTTGAGGTTTTTGTTCCAAAGTTCTTTGCACCATGCACTGTGGTGGTCGTGGTCGTGATTTGAAGAATATTTAATTATAGCATCGATCTCAGTAACTTCTTGTTTAATTAGTTTTGATTTAAACTTCGTGTTTGTATTCTTTGATCTAGCTAACATGCAGTCTTAAGTTTTCCCTCTTGACTCAAACGATGCACTTCCAAGCTCCGCTTCAGTTCATGCTCACAGTATCGATGAGGAGGGGTAATTGAGTTTTTTGACTAGGTTATTTCCCTTGATAATTAGTTTTCTTATTTCAGAGCCTTAAATATTCCAGAAAGGGTTTCCTCCGCGGGTTTGAACGCGCTATCTTTGTCATGTAATACACTCCGCTGTCATATGGATCAAAGCTGCTGTAAGTATACAATTTGGAAAGGAAGCGCTAAGTGGATAAACATAAACACATAAACACCTCAAAACTTGCTCTACGCATGGCCTAAGCTGCATGCTCATTGTACAGCTTCACTCGCTGGAAAAGCAAAGCAATTAAAATTGTTAGATAGCTTTCAGTTTCCCCAGATTTAGGGTAACAATATCCAAAATGTCCAAAAATGCACCCCTCAGGAAACTGGAAATTAATTTAGCGATAACTCCACAGCTTCCTGCATTTAAAGTGTTTTTATTACTGAAATTCAATCAATTTCTTTCGAAATTTCTTGGTTCCCTGCTGTTAGTATTTTTTTTCACTTGGTTTTTGTTATATCTGTACATTACGACCTAGCACAAGTAGTTTTGGTTTTTGTTACCAAACCACCACCATCCTCGCATAAACCAGTTGAAGAACTTAGAAATCCCTTTAGTTCCCTGAATTATCTGATAAAGCTGAAGTAGTGATTATTATCAACATCGAAGTCGGCATTGATGGGAAATTATAGAACCAACTGCCAAAATTCAATTTTTTTTCCTTTTGTTTGTACAGTGAAGTGCACCAAAACACATTTATTATGCAATGAAGAACTGCAATGGGGATGCGAATCAACTGAAAAGTTATATGCTTAACATCATCAACCATTACAAGGTAATCTTCATTGAAGCCAAGAGTTGGTTTGTTGTAAAAAAATGTTTGCTTGAAACATTTCGCATAGTCATAGAAGAAAAAAGCAAGTAAACAGTTTGCATATTGTTTTTTTGTATTCAAATAGGGTGATCACTCTAATTGTAATAAAGACTCCCGGTGTCAGGAAGAAGGTTATGAATGCAGCAAGAAGCCCCTAACAAACGAAAGGGCAATTACTGCATACAGGAAAGCAGTGGAGGGGACCACGGTCTACAAAAATGCTGAAGATTATGCTCTGGTATTATCACAATATTGGTATTTATGTCCATGGTAATTAGAAATTAGATTTGAACCTTTGTAAAGAGTCTAATATGCTACTTCTATCTATCCTGCCAGTGTCGTGATACATTTTGGATTGAAACATTGCACTTGGTGATGCTCATTTATGCACAAAAGAGAATCCACTTTAGGCGAGCAGACTCATAGAAAGTGAGAATCCAGCTGGCTATTATTGACTGGGTAAAGTTTAAAAATACAATATTTATAGTAAATAATTTTACTGTTTTTTATTAGTATGTGTGTATGCTTCTGTGTGCCCCGGAAGTTATTGCAGAGAATGAAATACAATAATATGGAGCACTTCTTGTTTATTCATATAGAATGAGAATGTGCTGAGAGAAACATCTTCTCTTCAATATTACCAAACAAGTCGCCAACCAGACCGAATTGCACCACACAGGGTGCTGGTGGAAAAGACCTTCCACTTCAAAGATGATATCTGGACATACTTCTATAAGAATTTGTAATAATAAGCCTCACCATGGTTCTTGTTGGCGAAGCTATAACCGTAATTTCTTTCCTACTGTTAATTAGAAATACGTGACAGATGTAGCATATTGCAGTTGAATTAGATAGTAGGTTAATTTTTATATCATTTACAGGAATTAATAGGCAATTCTCATGTCTTTTTAGTCTCTATGGACTTTCTCCATTAGAGTAGGGCAGGGTTAACTTAATTTAGGGCATCTAATGATTGATTCAAATTAATAGTTATAACAAAAATATATATATAATATTCTAGTTAATAGTCCAAAAACTAAGCAGCAAAAGAGAGAAAGAAATGGCTATACAAGAAATTATTCATGAACAATATGGAAATAATTAGGACAGATAACCTTGTTGAGCTAAAAATGTATGTATGTTCTTTTTAAAGACATTTTTTGAAGATTCGTCTTTGAGTTCAGCAGGGTATTCTAAAACTTTGGGCCCTGCTATGCTATGGTAAATCTCCTGAAATTGGTTCTAGAAAATTGAGATCTGTAATTCATGGCATTTCTTGTATTATAAGAATGAAGTTGAGAACTAGACAGGAACATATCATGGAAGCCTACTGGAAGTAACTTATTTTTGAAGGAGAACATGAACAAGCCGATCTGTAGCATATCACTTTTAATTATACTAAGAAAATTAAACTCATAGAATAATGGAGCACTGGGGGCATCGAAACAGGACTTAGTGATTAATACTCTTATGATACGTTTCTGCAAGAGAACAACTCTATTCAAGGTAGTTTGATACGTAGACCCCCAAACAATGGTTTCCTATTGGAACTGTTCCCTTTAGAGGGTCTTTAGGGCGAAAAGCATATGACAGTCAAACCACTTGATTATAACAACTATTCCAGTGGTTGTCCACTGAAGTAATGCACCCTGGGACTAATTTGAAGGAAATCTTGCCTTGTTCCTAGAAGGCCAGGGCTCAGGTCAATAAGAACTATAAGCATTGACCTAGAGTTGGTTTACCCAATAATAACACCACTTTACCTTTCATAAACTGTTTTGGCCTGTAATTTTGAGACTTACACAAGTGGCTTAGAAGTTGTAAAATTATCATTTTTTTCCCAAAGAAAGCATGCATAGCGAGCGCAAGGGCGCGTCCCATGCCAAAACTTTACTTGTCACCTTCTAAAAATCTACAATAGCTTATACACCGAAGATCATGTGTCCTTCTTTTTCCCAACCAATTTTCAAGAAAGAAATTTGTTCGCTTTTTTGCGGACACAGAATATATTGGGCCTCATGCTCTTCGGTGTCTCTGGTATGGGACATGAGGGGGATTAGGCCACCTTTCTCGAACATCTTTGATGACACAGTGTGACATAACCTCCCTCACGTCGTCGATGTGGCAGCCAAGTTGTTCTTTTCTGGCCTGGTACACAGGGTCCTCCCATAGACCACAATCTTTGAGTGTCCTCCAATACCACTTGTAGTCTTTTCTCCGCTTTATGTGATTATTAATCCGTGCATTACCTCTTGCCTGTGGTTTGAAAGGGGAAGAGGTAATGCACCGAGTCTGGAGGCAATATTCACAGCCTGTGCTGTCTGTAGTGTTTTGGAGATCAGTCTTCGAGCTGATCTTCTCCAGGTGATGCAGGGCCAGGGACAGGAATATGGCTTTGTGCCCGATAGCGTTCAAAAAGGCTTACATTTTCACAGGGCTGATCTTCATCAGTCGCAGGAACAGAAAATCGTGGACGTTTCGTTGCTACAAGGAAAAGGTAAAATTTAGTTGATGTCAATTAGATAGAGTCTACTAAGAAAAGATGAGATTGTTGTTTTCTGCAAATGAAAAATAATATGTGACTGTTTTCCTCTGCACTTGGTAAGCTGCATTTGGATTTGACTACTGGGATGAAACAGACTAGTTCCTTTACGATTATTATATTGCGTGTGGGAAGGTCTTGACCTAAATCTTCACGTAACCCAGACAGGAATCGATTTTCTTCTACACTCCGCGGGTAAAAGATAAGGGAATTGCGCGCGCGATTCGAAATCTTCTCTAAATCATGTCTTGTTTTGAATCTGAAATCTTCGTTTTTTAAAGAATGTTCTCTATAAAATTATATTTAAATGGAAGGAAAAAGTTCAACACCAGAAACTAATTGCACTAGAACGACATTGTAGTGATTATAGAAAATTAAATTTTAGAAGCGATCTTTTACCGCACTAACCGTTTGAAGACGGGCCGTTCACCTTCCTAGTGGAAATCACTTCGCAATCCGGCGTAGCCTTGTGAAGAAGTTCCAGAAAACTTTCCCTATCCTCTTCTTTTATCTCGACAGTAATCTGTAGAAAGGATAAATTAAAACAGAAGCTACGTGGATTCTGTGCGCTTGCTTGCCGGGCGATGGGGGGAAAAGACACAAATATAGACACCAACGCAACTAAAATGTATGAAAAATCAACTCACCCGAAGTCGTTTGGGCGAAGACAACTGACTAGAGCCGATCATCTTTGTTATTTACAGACTTTAATGAGAGAAATTAGATGATTTAGTTAATCTTTATTTCCCGCCTGAGCAGAGCTACGGCCAACAGTGTATCTTGCTACTTGAAAAGCTGTGGTCTAGCGTTATTTGATGTTGACAGTTCGGTGTCTCGATTCAAATGAGTGGCGGCTCGCCCAGTGCAAAGGTCCTTTTATACGCAGGGTCCGTGTTTAATAACCGAGAAGGATTCAATGCTTGTGATTATTTTACTTGGCATTACTTTGAAGTATAGTAATTCATGTACATTTAGTTGGTTCCTTGTAAAGCTGGTATTGTTAATAAAAACAGCGCAGTTGACTGTGCGAGGTTTGTTGAGTCGACCTCCACCGCGATTCAGCCTTCGAGAACCGCCACGTGCCACGATTCATTCCGGGATCACACGATGTCCTCGTTGACGAGGGCTTCCCTGGTCCTCACCTTTGTCTATTAGAAACTGACCAGGCATTAACAATTGCTGTTCTCATGCCAAGCAACCACTTCTAACCTGCGCCGCAGGATTAGAAAGGGGAGGGGAAGGACGGAAAAGGGAGAGGGGATTAGGGAGAGAGGGAAAGGGACTTGCACTCCCTTTCCCTTTCGCGCTTTTCTCCCCCTCCCCTCCCCTCCTCTCTCTTCGCCTGTTTTGCGCCTGCCGCGCAGTTTTTAAAACCTCTTCTAAAAAAATGAAATACCTGGAACTTTACAGAAAAAAAAACAAAAGTTATGAGAATTTTTAAATTCCATCTTGTATATTTGTGAGGCAAATTATCAGACGGCGAAAACACCTTGCGGTCTTTCCCTGAATTACAGCACATTTATAATAACGAGCAATGTTCCACAATGGTCTCACTTCCGTATTTTTTATAGTATTTTTTATAGAGCAGGGTGGGGTATGATAAATATCATCATCATCACCAGCAGTCCAACCTTCAATATCTTTCCAGGGAATGACGACATTAGGTCTTGAATGAAATAATAGCCATTATTAATAAAGAGACACTTTTTCACTATAAATGAAAACCATCCTCAAAATTTTGCGATATGGTGAATGGCTTTGGACAAATAACCCTGAAAATGATCAAGTCTACGTCCGTGACTGTTTAATTGACCCTAGACATCTGAAATTTAGGTTAGGATTACTTGAAAATAGTTAAGCTGACAGATAAGTGAATTTTTAGTTGTTTGGAAAATAGCCAATGTTGTCAGTGGAGACCAGGTCAAATAGAAGAAATTAAATCCGACACCCATAAAACATTTCCGCTGTCGTATCCACTGAGTGCGACAGTAACCCCAGCTGCAAATGAACTAAAAATCATTGACGTTTTAATAAGCACTCGTTTTCTTAATGTTCATCTGTTCATGGAGAAATCAAAGACACCTCAAGTCTTTCACCACTCGCAATTTTCATCCGCGATATTTTCAGTCACTCTCGCAATTTGTTTCGTGGCGCTGATTCACGTCGAGATCGAACTTCATGTTCATCGTCAAATGCTTCAAGTTTTAAATCAAGCGAAAGAAGACAGTACCGAGCTGCGAAAAGTAGTCGATCGTCATGAAAAAACCATCGATTCTGTGTTGAAGATGTTGGAGAGTGGATCACCTATACTAGGTAATTGCATACTTATTAAACTATCCCTAGTCTTCAATTTTTCTCACTTGTTAATTAACATCCAAATGCGATTAAGAAAGAATCAAAAAACTAATAAATTTAAAATTACTTAAAAATTGAATCATTTAAGCTCAGGGGAAAAAAAACCTTTTTTTTTAGGAAAAAGGGGTTTGCAATTTTTGGCTCACTAAGGGAAACGACAAACTGAAGCGCCTTTTACCTGAGGTCAACTCTGACTTAGTTCATACTTCGTACTCATCAAAGCCAGTATTCCTAAAGAATTTTGTTTGCTCGCTTTTCCTCTTTTTAAAGAGCGGGGAAAAGGAAGTTACTGCTATTCAGCAGTATTCCTGTAAAGCTGAGGCGGTTGCATTTAGGAAGGATTTGATTAACACTTCCTGTTTATCTGAAACTCTGTCAGTAAATTCTTCTAAGGCCTACATAGCACGAAACAAAACAAGGAACACCAGTAAACTGACCTTTCCACAAAAATAGAATGTTACATCCTAAGGAACCATTCTGTAAGACTAAGTAACGCAGGAGAATAAAAGAGGCTTGAATGTGGGGGGCAGGGAGGGGAGGTGGGGGGGAGGCGGCGCTGGGGCCTGCCTTACGAGCATAAACCTTCATGTTAGCCGTGGCCCGAGTCACCTCAATTATCGCAAAGAGTTGAATTTGTGTTTGCTAATGAAGGTTAAGGATCTGGAGGTCCGGGATTCAAGTCGCGTTGTTTCCTCATACGCAGCACTTTGGTCCACTTTCTGTCTCTTCACCCAGGTGTACAAATGGGTACCGGCGACGCAGTTCCCCGGGGGACGTACTCCCTATAATGGCCTATACGGGGAGGCTCCGCCCGAAAGGGGTACCTTTACTTGTCAGGCCTCAGGTATACGAATTTGAAATATACGAAAGGGTAGGGAAATCTGTCATTTGGGTCTGTGAAAGGGCCTAAAAGGGCTAACAGATGAATTTCGTGGCTTTATAAAGTCGAGAAAACGTTCTATTTGTGTGATTGATTCCTATTTAAAAGACCGTGCATCTACAACAGCTAAAAGAGGTGCAAAGTTCTAAAAAAGGTATGTGAAAGGGGTATCCTTTCTCAATAGAAGGCATACAAAAGGAATACCTTTTTCTGTCAAAAATGGTATATAAACGGGTAAGGGGTTGGACCTTGGGGCGGAGCCTCCCCGATTAAAAATTTGTTGAGTACCCCCCGGGCACAGTTGTCCCTTTCGTAAGCGGTCGCTGCCATTTTTAAGACTCTTAAGGTTGATTCGAAAGGGTCGCGTAATTTTGACATGCGTACGTGCGTAAAATTTACGTTCGCCAATAAAATAGAGGCAATGCATGAAAGGTCGCTCGTAAGCGTAAAAATTGAACCTCGCTCAACTTCTCGTTTAAGCTCAGCACTTTTTTCTCTTGCCTCTATTTTATTTAAGCGATTAAAATTTACGTGCGTTAACGTGCGTAACCAAAAACGCGTCAGTGGAAATCAACCTAAGGCTTGGTTACCAATGGTGGCATTGACCGTTAAAATGGCAAGGACCGTTTACGAAAGGGAAATAGGCCGCGGGCTGGCGACATGCTTCTCGCATGGGGGTAACCCAACGATGGACTAGCAATACTCCGCACTCATGATCATTCCACGTTAAGTGGGTAAATTACCATTTTTTGGTGTGCATGGCAAGTTTTGAGGACTCATACTGTTTTCCCATACTCATTTCGCTGAAAAATACTTAAAATATGCCCAAATAAATAGCGACAGTACCCCTTTGTGCTCCTGTAGACAGTAATTAACTTTGAGGGAATCAAGGCCAAAAGTGTCCAAAAAATGCAATTTGGCTATGTCCGCAGAGATGGTGGGTATAGAGGGTTACGGTATATTTGTGCTTGTCACCTTATACTATGGAAACTAATCAATCCAATGTCTCGGGAGGGACCTAAACTAAAGTCCTACATGATCATTTCTCACTGCAGGTCAGTTTTGTTGCTTTTAACTACAGTGAACTGGTGTCCGCTATTTTTATGAAACCTCCGTTACCGATCTGAGGCTAGGGCAGATCACAAATGGCCTAGAAATAAATACTGCGAATGATTTACATCGGGTAAATGTTACTTAAGCTTGCTCTTTTTGATACGCAATACATAAAATGAAGAGCAAAAGCCTGTGGAAAGAAATTCCCTCTCACAATAGCAGGATTTAGGGTGAACAGTTAAGGTTGTAACTTCCGTTACTAAGATTACAGTAGGAAAAAATGAAAAGTGGGTCGTGCTGATTTTCGTGGTGACGGAGGAGCTAGTGAGGATTATTATGGAGTATGTTTGGTTTTTCTGAGTTATTAATTTCACTTAAAGATGTAACAGAAAAGGTAGAATTTTAACTTCCGTTACCAAGAATTTGCCCGGTCTCTAAGACATGGGATAAACGTAAGGTGAATTTCGGCAAATGCTGTCACACGATTGCCCCATCAAATAACTCAAGCCTTGATGACATCTGGTAAAGATCTCGTCATAAGTACACCCTCATACGTGTTCCATTGGTGAGATACCTCTCTGTCAATTGTGATAAGGGAATTTTAGCTGAGTTTATGGTTCGCGGAGTTTTTTTGCATAGTTTAAAGAAGTTTATTTTCCTTTGAAGTATTTTTAGGTAATTTAGGAATATAAGATGAAAATGGGACAGGCATTTTGATCATTTTAATTTTTTTCTTTAAGTAACGGAGGCATACTTCATGCTATAGAAACCAGGATAAGCTCCGGTCGTTTGGGGCTTTGACTCGTGTGAACCTTTACTTTTACCTTTTTTGAAGATTAAGGCCTTTGCTCCCAAAGAACTGATTTACTGATTACATCGCATTTCAGATGCACACATCCGTCAAAAACGCCATGTGCCAAACGAGGATTCAAACGCCAGTGAAAACTTCACCAGAAAAGAAATTCAAATGGCCTGTACAATTCATTGTCCGAAAGGAATCAGGGGACGCCGAGGCAGGCCTGGTACTCCAGGCAAGCATGGTCCGCCAGGTCCCATTGGACCACAGGGGCCTAAAGGTTCTCAGGGAGATCAGGGGCCCCCTGGACCTAGGGGCGATCAGGGCCCTCAAGGACCCAAGGGCCATCCTGGTGAATCCATCTCAGCACCTTCTATTGTGACATCCCCAGTTTCCACGGTGGTAAACGAAACTGATGTAGCTTCACTGCAGTGTGAGGTTAGAGGAAATCCTGTTCCTCAAATTACATGGCTTAAAGAAAATACCAGCCTTCCAGCCGACAAACGAATTGTACAGTCTCGTGGAGGTTTAATTGTTAAGGATGTGACGTCACAAGATGGTGGAGTGTACACGTGCGTGGCAAGCAACATTCTTGGATTAATAAAAAAAATGGCCACGTTAACTGTCCAAGGTAACATGCTCCTCGTTTGTTACTTATTGGAAAATTCATGGATTAGAAGCTATTAATAAGAAATCAAATTCCATTACATGATATACTTTCACCTTAAAAGTAGGCTTATTAACAGTAAACGATGTCTGTTAAATTCCCCATGAACAATCATAAATATCCCACTGTCCATAAGCTAGTAATGATGATGATGATTTTGATGATTAGTCTCGTCAAAAATGCCTGTTTTTAGCGAATAGGGCGGTAATTGGGTTATTAATACAACTTCGACCATAGTGTCCTATATACCTAATTGTATAAGGGGAATTCTACGCAAGGCGATTTGCAACGATGATTTTTAAGGCAACAATGTTGGAACAATTCGAAGAAATTTCCTCGCAATGTTGCAAAGCTGTATTGCAATGAAAATTGTCGTTGTGAATCGTCCCCTGTAACATTGCTCAGGAGAAAATAATGCGACCGAAACTGTTATCGGTAGATTTTAGGTTTGACTCCAGTCTAATCAAAGGAACTCGGAGACGTTTTACCAGAATCCTCTCTTTTTACTTGCAACTTTTTAAATTTTCTTGGCTTATCATATTTTTTTATTACTTTACAGTTGCTGCCTTAATCACTCAAAAACCCTCGTCTATTGTTGCTGAAGTAGGGGAAAACGTGAGGTTGCAGTGTAAAGCTACAGGTCTTCCAATACCAACGATTACGTGGCGGAGAGCGTTTGGTTCGTTGCCAAAAGGGAAGACTGCAGTGACCGATGGGAACATGACAATTCGTAACATAGCTAAAACTGACAAGGGTGATTACGTATGTTCAGCAAAGAATTTACTCGGACAGGACTTCGTTGTTGCTCAGTTAATAGTGATTGACAGGCTCACATTTACCCTTATTCCTCCCTGGAAAGTTACTGTAAAGCAGTCACGCAACTTATTGTTAAACTGTGCCGCTCAAGGTAACACTGAGATCACGTGGAAGAGAACTGGAAAAGGCTTACCTCAGAGTCACGTGATTTATTCAAATGGAACTTTGCTCCTCAGGAGCGTGGTTACAAACGATGCCGGAACATATTCTTGCGTGGCCAAGAACGCACTTCGTTCGGTTGAGACGACTTCTGTTGTTGAAGTGTACAACAAACCTTTCTCCTGTAGCAGTATAAAATCAGGCCACAGTGGAAGCTCTTCAGGTAATTATATTATTGACCCTGATGGCAAAGGAGGCGTGGCTCCGTTCAGTGTGTATTGTGATATGAGTGACAAGGCAGGAGTTGGCGTGACAGTCATCAGCCACAACAGTGAGAGTAGAACTCATGTGAATAGCGTCAGTCCTGGATGTTATACTCCAGGTTGTTACACTAAATATGTGACTTACACTGGAGTTAGCACCGCTCAGTTGGCAGCACTCACTCGAGTCTCACAAAACTGTGAACAGTTTATCAAGTTTGAATGCAATGGTGACGTCCTTTTCATTGAGGATTCATATGCCTGGTGGGTGTCACGTAACGGAACACGTATAAACTACTGGGGCGGAGCTACCGGATATAACAACACGTGCGCATGCGGAGTAACAAACTCTTGCTCCAATGGTCAAAAGTGTAATTGTTACAACAGTGGCGGCGGCTGGAGAGAGGACAGCGGTCTACTGACTGACAAGTCTACTCTTCCTGTGACTCAGATCAAACTGGGAGACTTGAATAATTCACATGAGGAAGGTTATCACACATTAGGCAAACTCAAATGTTATGGACAAGCATGATGAACGTTTTTTGCTACAAACAGTGCCCGTTGTCAGTTGGACCAGCACAAATTATTTCTCTAAAGAAAAGACATGCACGCTACATGAGAAAGCTAGTCTAATGATCATTCGTTTAACACACATAGAAACCTTAAAGGCATTTCCAAATTGAAATTTTACCGACCTTTCGTTCTTAAACAGAGATGAATTTTTTCAAAATTTAAGATTTCAAGGAGAGCTTAGAGTCTAGCGCATAGAGACTCCATTACTTAAATATTTACGTTTTGTTCCAAAATTCTTTGCACCTTGCACTGTAGTGGTCGTGGTCGTGATTAAGAACCTATAATTATAGCATTGATCTCAGTCACTTCTTGTTTAATTAGTTTAATTTGATTTTAACTTCGTATTTGTATTGTTTGATCTTTAGAATGTGGTATATAAGCCCATATCTCACATGCAGTCCTTTCCATCTTACTCAAATGATGCACTTCCATTTATAACTTAATTTCCCAGTTCAGCTTCAGTTCACGTTCACAGTATCGATGAGGAGGGGTAATTGAGTTTTTTTCTTAAAAATTTTAGGTTTTTGTTCCAAAGTTCTTTGCACCATGCACTGTGGTGGTCGTGGTCGTGATTCAAAGAACCTTTAATTATAGCATCGATCTCAGTCACTTCTTGTTTAATTAGTTTTGATTTAAGCTTTGTGTTTGTTTTGTTTGATCTAGCTCACATGCAGTCTTAAGTTTTCCCTCTTGACTCAAACGATTCACTTCCGAGTTCCGCTTCAGTTAACGATCACAGTATCGATGAGTAGGGGTTAGTTTTTTGACTAGGCTATTTCCCCTGGTATTTAGTGTTCTTATTTCAGAGCCTGAAATATTCCAGAAAGTGTTTCCTCCGCGATTTATGGCCGTTTTATGGGTTTTTATGTAAACGGTTTTCTCTCTATATAAAGAGAAAACCGTTTACATAAAAACCCGATAAAACGGTCATAAATCGGCCCGTGGACCACACAGGAGAGACGTAACGCACATTTTAAGTAAGGTAAGCTGTTTTTTATTAAAATCCTTTCATTTTCGTAGGTTACAGAAACGGTAGGTTTTTTTGCCATACAAATCCTTATATTTGGAATGTTACGCAACAATGCCGATGCTCGCCGATGCTCATATTTCGAGCTTGGGCTACCTGTGGTTTTTATTACTGAAATTCAATCAATTTCTTTCGAAATTTTTTGGTTCCCTGCTGTTAGTATTTTTTCACTTGGTTTTTGTTATATCTGTACATTTTGACCTAGCCCAAGTAGTTTCGGTTTTTTTTACCAAACCACCACCATCCTCGCAAAGACCGGTTGAAGAACTTAAAAATCCCTTAATCACGTAAAGATGTATTAGTTAATAACCGAGAAGGATTCAATGCTTGTGATTATTTTACTTGGCATTACTTTGAAGTATAGTAATTTATGTACATTTAGTTGGTTCCTTGTAAAGCTATTATTGTTAATAAAAACAGCACAGTTGACTGTGCGAGGTTTGTTGAGTCGACCTCGCTCGCGATTCAGACTTCGAGAACCGCCACGTGCACGATTCCGCGATGTACCCGTTGACATGGTTGACGTGGACTTCCCTGGTCTATTACCTCACCTTTGTCAATTAGGAATTGACCAGGCATTAACAATTGCTGCTCTCATACCAAGCAACCTCTTCTAACCTGCGCGACAGGCATCGAAAAGGGAGGGGAAGGACGGAAAAGGGAGAGGGGATTAGGGAGGGAGGGAAAAGGACTGCTCTCCCTTTCCCTTTCGCGCTTTTCTCCCCCTTAATAATAATAAAGAGACGCCTTTTCACTATAAATGAATTCAAAACCATCATCAAAATTTTGTGACATGGTGAATGGCTTCGGACAAATAACCCTGAAACTGATCAAGTTTAGGTCGGTGACTGTTTAATTCACCCTAGGTATCTGAAATTAAAATAGTTAAGCTGACAGATAAGTGAATTAAATAGCCAATGTTGTCAGTGGAGACCAGGTCAAACAGAAGAAATTAAATCCGAGACCCATAAAACATTTCCGCTGTCGTATCCACTGAGTGCGACTATAACCTCAGCTGCAAATGAACTAAAATTCATCAACGTCTTAGCACTCTTTTTCTTGATGTTCATCTGTTCATGGAGAAATCAAAGACACCTAAAGTCTCTCACCCCTCTCAATTTTCATCGGCGATATTTTCAGCCACTCTCGCAATTTGTTTCGTGGCGCTGATTCACGTCGAGATCGAACTTCATGTTCATCTTCAAATGCTTCTAGGTTTAAATCAAGAGAGAGAAGACAGTACCGAGCTACGAAAAGTAAAAGATCGTCATGAAAAAACCATCGATTCTGTGTTGAAGATGTTGGAGAGTGGATTACCTACAGGTAATTGCATACTTATTAAACTATACCTCGTCTTCAATTTATCTCAATTTTTAACATCCAAATGCGATCAAAGGGTGGTACGGCTAGGAAGAACAATTGCCTTCTATCAAGTATTTTTTCAGCAGGGTAGGGTGGCTTTGTGCAAATGATGTATGGGTCCCCAGAAAGGTCACCTCAGGACTCCCGGGATGGATTTTTTTTGAACAGTGCCCAGACCTCATTTTCCTGGCCGCGCGTTGATCTGGCCCGGCTGCTTCGGCGAGCATATTCTCGGCCTGTTTGGATTATATCCTTCGAGTTTGTCAAAGTCTGTGGGATTCATTTCTCTATCTGGGAAAGCTTCATTGGTTTCCATATCTGCTGCTATCCTATTTGTACGATCCTGGCATGTTATTTTCCGTTGGAGTTCGAATTTCGTAGAAAAAGTTGTGTTGAATGAGAGCATGTCGGCGAAAATGGCATCTCGTGTTTCCTACCTTGTATATTATTATTGTATATAGAGTGAATTTGAACAAATTACTGCAAATTATCACGAACCTTCGTTGGAGCAATAAGGATAACAACAATTAACTGCAGAGTAAGTTTCATTGATCTTTATTTAGTATTTCCTAGAAATTTTGGGATGGTATTTTTACCCCATACAATCACTGTAATTTTACTGGAACCGTACTGTGGTACTATCACAGAGCCTGGGTGACCTGTGGTAGTATCATGGGTAGTGGATACCTGCAATCTACAGTTAACTTGCAAAAATGCTCTAATGCTGTAGTATCCTGGATAGTGTATACCTGCCATCTACAGTTAACATGCAAAAATGCTCTAATCAATGTTGTAGTATCATGGGTAGTGGATACCTGAAAGCTACAGTTAACTTGCAAAAATGCTGTAATCAATCCTGTAGTATCATGGGTAATGGATACCTACAAGCCACAGTTAACTTGCAAAAATGCTGTAATGAAAGCTGTGGTATCATGGAAAGTGGATACCTGAAAGCGACACTTAACTTGCAAAAATGCTGTAATCAATGCTGCAGTATATCATGGTTAGTGGATACCTGCAATCTACAGGTAACTTGCAAATATTCCTCTAATCAATCCTGTAGTATCATGGGTAGTGGATCCCTGCAATCTACAGTTGAAATGCAAAAATGTTCTAATCAAAGCCAGAGCCGTAGGTAGAGGGGGAGGGGGGGTGGGGGGGGTTAGGGGGGGGCAGCTGTCCCCACTGGACCTGTTGAGCCAGACAAATCAAGTTTGTGGAAGGATTTGTTTGATTGTAGTGACTTGCAATTGTTTGCCATTTTCATAGTCGAGAAATTGGTTGGTTCACGGTGTGTGCAAGTAGTAAGTAAACGGAAGCAAAAGCCCATATTACGATTTTCCTCACCACACCAGTTGGTAGTGTTTCTTGTGAAAGATCCTCCCTCTCTACTCTCCGTCGTCTGAAGCTATGGACACGTTCTTCAATGACAAAAGAAGGTCTTAGTGGCGTCGCATTTCATCGTGGAACCAACTACATGCCAAAGCCAAAGGTGTTGAGGCCAATCCTCAGCAAGAGAACAATTTTGTTTTCCTAAGTCCGTTCCATTTCATTTTTGTAATTTATACTCCCAGCATGCTTAGTGAGCGCGTCTCAGTTTCGTCGTGTAGCGAGAAAGAAACCATGTGCTTTGTAACGCGCTAGTCGCCGGGAGTTTCTCATCGTATGGTGAGTCTTAGGAGCTCGTGTATTTCCAAATCCCGTTCCAACAGTGATTAAGTGTTTGTTTTGTAGGTTTTTACTTGCGAGGTGAAGCTTGTTAGCCAAAGATGAGACTCCAATACCGATCCTGTTGTGTTGTTAAGAAAATATGGTGAGTGTGCAACTCTCGATTATTAAACTTGTGTTCAAGAACCCTTGTGTTGTGAAGGCGCGTTTTTGTCCTCTGGACAAAAGGATATTTATGAAAGAAAATCAAACTTGACACATCTTTTATAGGTTAGTTAGCCAAACATCATGCAGTATTTTGAAATGTTTAGTGTACAAGTGCTTGGATGTACGGTGTGTTTTAAATTAATTAACAGGACCTCGGATATAATCACTTGTAAGCACTGAAAACACCTACCTTTTCACACTTATTCGACGTCGATGTTTCGGAGTCATATCTCGTGAAAAGTGCTGAAAATAGCGTTGCGGCGCCGCACTCGCAATAATGCCCCCGCCCCCCGTTACAAAAAACCTAGCTACGGCCCTGAATGCTGTAGTATCCTGGGTAGTGGATACCTGAAAACTACAGTTAACTTCATGCTACATTTAACATTTACCCCTATGACTTATGAAACCGTTAACCGCTGAACTTGCAAGTGGTTAAATTTTTCAAATTGAGGTAAAAGTTCTTTACTACTTTACTGAGCGGATGTCTGTAAATATCGACCAGAGGTGGAAAATAGAATATTTTTTAAACATCCCCCAAAAATTCTGTAGACTACCCTAGGCATTCTAGTAATGAAAATATAAATTTTAGTTTCATTGAATAAATATTTTGGCGATACGACGAATATCAAGTTCGGGCCATTAACAGCCTCCGCCATACCCCTTTTTCGGGCCTCTAGACCGGGCGACGAAAAGACCACGATTTCAATCGAATTCAAATGTTATTCAACCCAAAAAGCTTGTTATCATATAAATGGGTTTTAATGCAAATTAACTGAGGGAACATTAATGTACCCTCAGCTAGTTTGCATAATAACAGGTTTTGAGCGGCTGAAAGCTCGTCATGTTCATTCTTAATAGGCCTTTTGCAATGGTTAGTCACGTGATCAAGTTTTTGTGAATTAAACACAAAAACACTGCAGTTCGTTCTTGTATTTGATAGCAATTTTCACAACGGAAGCAGGAGGTTCACAAAGACAAGATCATAGAAAGACCACATAAGCCGAGCAAGGTTAAGTGTCTCAAGTATTTTTGCAACTTTTTGTAGCTAAGTCGCCGAGCCCTGGGCCACATTTAGCGGTTCTTGATTGCATTAAGGATAGTTTCTTTGACTAAATCAGCACATTTCTGTGCGGTGGCATCACTTACAAGGTTGCTATAATACACAATCGTCCAAAACAGTTTTCCGTTGAACGTGGCCAGGTTGTTGCCAAAGATGGCGGGTCCGTGTTGGTGTTCTGCAGAACAGCCGTACATTGCTCTAAGGATGACGTCCTCATCTGGAGTTCCATCAAGAAATTTGCAGTAGCCAAGGTTTGAGAAGACCAACAGAGATGTGCGATCCCGACCACCTCGATCACTTTCGCCCTCTCTTGACATCTGAGTAAACACTGGTCGCATGATAAAAGACATTTTCATACCTTCCAGGTGTTTGCTTCTCATGTTCTTGAGTTTGGTGTACCGCAGGGATCCGTTCTTGGCCCATTGTTATATTCAATGTACACATCCCCTCTTGGCGAGATTACTCGACGTCATCAAATGTTCTATCACTTTTATGCTGATGACACTCAGCTATATATTACGTTCAGGACGTCGTCTGTTTCTGATATGAATCTGAGTAACGCCAAATTGGTAAACTGTGTTCGGCACATGGACGCATGGATGCTTTCCAACAAGCTGAAATTAAATAAAGGCAAGTCCGAAGTTCTCGTAATATCCTCTTCCTATCGACGTCGGCCACCACTATCTTCTGTTGATATATGAAATGAGACTGTATCCTGCTCCGCCAGTGCACGCAATATTGGAGTTATCTTTGATCAGTCCCTTTGTATGGTACCTCATGTCAATTCAGTCTGTCAATCGTCCTTTTTCCATCTTCGTAACATTGGTTTCACACGCAAATATCTTACTTATGATGCTGCAAAGATCATTATTCATGCCTTCGTAGTTTCTAAACTTGATTATTCTAATTCTTTATTGTACGGCCTACCATCCTATCTTATTCGGAAGCTTCAACATGTTCAAAATTCTGCTGCTCGCCTTGTCAACCAGTGTCCAAGATTTTGCCACATTACTCCAGTCCTGATGGATCTTCACTGGCTCCCTGTCTCCTTTCGCATTGAATTTAAAATTATGTTAATTACATACAAAGTACTACATGATCGAGCTCCAATCTATATACAGGAACTCCTTCAATTGTATACACCCAGCCGCAATCTTAGATCCTCTAACAGAAATTTATTAGTTAAACCCTATGTTAATCTCAATTCGTATGGTAAACGAGCTTTTTCTGTTGCTGCTCCGGAACTTTGGAATAACTTACCTGAGGATATTAAATCTGCAAACTCAATTGATGATTTTAAACGCAAACTTAAAACATTTCTTTTTATGCGAGCTTATGAATCGTGACGTTTTTATTTGTTATCTGATTTTTTTTTATCTATTGTGTACATTTATCTATTTTGTAGTTAGCGTCTAGTTTTAATGTCAATTTCTTGCGATTATTTTTACTTTTTACTTCTATCTAATTTTTTGTAAACAGCGCCTTTGAATCTTGTAGAAAAGGCGCTATATAAATGGATTATTATTATTGTTATTATTATTGTTGTTCAACTTGAGCCTATCTTCCAGAACTGTTCAGGATTTGGGGAAGAAAGAATTTTGTTTCTACAAGAGAGACGACAAAAGTATAGTCCAACGTACTCATTCGGAACTTTGGTTCTGAAGAATGGTCTGCTATTAACTGTAACTGTGGCCTCCACTTCAAACTCGCGTTCCTCCATCATATCTACCATTGCTACACTTGCTGCCGTTTGAACGGCTCCTTGCACCGTGGTCTGCCACTCTTTGCAACGCCTCAGAAAAGTTGTCGTTTCTTCCTTTGTAAACTCGATGGGAATAATCTTGGTTCTTGGTTGAATCTGAGGATTTCTTTGGTACTCCATGCCATGTTTTCTACTAAAAGCGTTTTCTTTTTCACCCATTGCAGTTTTAATAAATTTGGGGAGGCCCGGTATGAAGCACAATAGTTTCACAGCTAATTTCATTGCGATATGGTACCATTTTATCTGAATTACTTCATCCACATATACATCACAAGGTGGCAACATGGGCGTTGCTGTTACTTTAGGCTCCTCGTTCTTGTTCAGTTTATTCAGATGGTGAACAAATTCCGCAAAAAGTCTTGAATAAGATGTGCCATCTATTATGCTGTGGTGAAAGCAAAAAATGCAAATGCACTCATGAGGAAAAGATGTATCATTAACGTCACTTCCTGTTTCTGTCTCATATCTTGCATTGGGAAGGAATGTTAACCTCCATAGAGGACCATTTTCCACATCAAATTTCTCCAACAAACTCTCCTCCATAACGTTGCGCCAGTTTGAGGTGTCAAGTTGACGCAGATCCACGAGAACATTGTGCCTTTTCTGAAAACAATAATCAACATCATTGTTCTTTCTAATGCATATGCGCAGCATAGGATGTCTCTCTGCCAGAAGCTCCAAGGCTTTCTTCACTACAGATTCTTGCAGTGGTTTCATGTTTCGCAAAACCAGAGCATTAGCAAGAATCAAAAAACCATTCTCATCATGAAAGCGTCGCAAAGCATCTTCCAAAAGACCTAAGGGGCGTCCGTTATCATGGAGATACTCCTTTGGAAACCTCGTTTTCTTCTCAGGCAATATGCTGCATAATATGGCTACAAATGCAAGAACACCTGCTACTGCATAAACTATCATGGTACCTAAAAATTTGAAAGCAAGTTAAACTCGGTAACAAATGGGTATCCTGTCGCTTTGTATTTGTTGAGCATTATAATCTGTACTAGTAACCAGGCTCCGGTTCCTGGAAAGCCGATTATCGCTAATCCAGGATTAAATATCGCTAATCGCGGAAAAAATTTTATCCCATGATTAGATTCTGTTCCTTTGAGGTAAGACTTTTCTTCATATTTACGGGTAGCAAACGTACCAGAATGTTTGTACTGTAGGTAAAAAGAAAAGTGTTCTTCATTCAGTTTTAAAAAATGAGTCAGTTCATAAAAATAGATAGTGACTGAGTTGGGATCCCGAAAATTATATATTTGCCCAGAAGTGACTAAGATGGGGTCTATAATTGGCCACAGAATAGACTATAATGGGGTAGGGGCTCTGAGAGGCCAGCGGCACATACCCAGCAAAAATTTACCCAAGTACCGCCGTCCCCCCCCCCCCCAGGGTAAATTGCACGTGCACTATAGCACGTAAGGTTGATTCAGAGGCCACAGGCAAAGTTAAAGCTTCTTCAGATACGGTCCTGGGACTATTGTACAGTCATTTCTGGCAAAGATTAATCACACAAATGTCGTAACGAAATTTCCATATTAAAGTTAAAGTTTTAAAAATACCAGCGTTTGAATATATGGAAATTTGTTTTCACAGTAAAAGTGAAACAGAGCGTTTTTCCGGTAATATGATTTTTGAAAGGCCACTCGGGCCTCACGAATGCAAATACCTTACATCGTTAAAATAACAGAGCATAATATCCTATTTCACCTTTTAAAAAAGCCCTAAGAACAATCAAACCGAGAACAATCTTACCATCATTCATTCTTATGCCGACGATAGCATAAGGCTAAAATGGTAGCATAAATATTACTAAAATTGACCACCCCTACACCATGGCCTACACCATAACCTACCCAATATTTTGTCCTTACCCGCTTGAAGGTTCATATAGGAGGCCGGTTAAAATCGAGTCTAGTTTGTTATGCTTCTCCCAGCCTGGCACCAGGCTCCGCAGTGGGGGAAAAAAGCAAAAAACAGGGTTAAATAGGAGAAATTATCAGCGAGAGAAGCGAGCCGAACACTTTCGTGTGTTTGCCAATTCAGGGGTACTCAACGACTGTTTTCAATAAAATATCTTTTCGGAGAAGCAAATATTGCCTATAATTTTTTATTCCTTGAGGAAGACTAAAAATTTCTAGATGACCGTTTCATGTACAATTTTCGAAGCTTCACTTATAAATTCCCTACGATTTTCTGAAGTTTAATTTTCGCATTTTACTTCCCAACTAAGGCTATTTTTCGTAGAAAAAGGAAGCCCCAAATTTTCGGATTCAAATGTGATGTAGGGAGGAATTAGGAAATGTCTCACTTTCGTAATAAGTCATGAGAAATTTCTGCAATTTGATTGGCTTAGAGCAGTGCAGTGGTATTTCAGCTTAATTTGAAATACCTAAATGCGAAAATTACAAAACCTTTGCGGGTAGTAGTATAAACAAAAAATAGCATGATTTGGACGTAACATTTGGCATAAATACCGCTCGTGATATTTCGAAATTGTCCCAAATTTCACTGGTCTAACGTATTACGTATAACAATTCCGAAATATCGCTCGTGGTATTTATGCCAAATATTGCTACAAATCATGCTATTATATGACCTTATATGCTACGCCAAAAGTGACAAAATATCAAAGATGCAACTTTATAATTCAAATCCACCAATTTACTATCAAGATCAATTTGCTTTATGAATGTGCCAAGATTGTAGAATTTAATTTCAATTCCCACGTGTTTCATGTCATGTCCAAGAATATAGTCTCTGTTTCTGATATTTCAGCCGTGAATTTGATTGTAGAATGGAAGTTGTTTGCCTTTAGAAGGAATTCTTCTATTTCGTTTCTGCTTGTGTCCCATACTGATATGACGTCATCGATAAACCTTTTCCAAAAGATGGGCTTAATGCTGCTCTGTCTGAGTATTTCTTTTTCTTTTTTGGCCACGAAGATGTTAGCAAAGGCTACGGCCATTTTCGTGCCCATGGCTGTTCCATGAGTTTGCCATCTTTCTCGTTAAATTGGAACGAGTTTTCTAGTTTAGTATCAGACTAAGCATTTCGCTTAAAAACCTTGCAGGGACTGAAGGGTTTCCTTGGTGAAATTCTTCGTATGTATGGCATACAGTGGTAATACCCTCTCGTTGTGGTATGTTTGTGTATAGGCTTGTGACGTCTATTGAAACAAGTATGGCAGTTTAATCCTCTCGATGAAGCCAAGTCTGTCGTATCTTTAAGATACGAAGCTTCTAGTTGTGCTTTTGGCTGAATAAGGTAGTCAACAAATGCTGAGATCCGTTCTGTAGGTCCGGAACACCCTGAGATAATAGGTCTTCCGACAGGTGTCGGTTTGTGGATTTTAGTAAGTGTGTAAAACACTGGGATTTGCGGAGGATCAGGCGTATTAGGCCCGGGGTATTAGGGAGAGCCATTTAGCCGCCGTTTTATCAATGTGGCCCTCTGAGAGCAGTGTTTTAATAAGCTGTTGAGCTTTTTTGGTTGTAGTTCCAACCATTGTTTTGTCTAGAGGTCGGCAGTTATTTGAATCATTAAGCAGAACCTGAGCTTCGTTTAGTTTGTCTTGTCTGCTCATCAAGACGGTGGTGTTACCTTTATCAGATTTCTTAAGAATAACGCTTTTGTTGCGCGATAACTCTTTGAGAGCTTGGCGCTCTCCCGTAGATATATTATCTCTTGGCTTGTCAAATTCAATACTTGCGAGCTCTAATTTTACCTCCTCTAGGAAGGTCTCCAGAGCTACAGATGGCTGGACTGCAGTCCGTCTTCACGTGGAAAGGATGAGGTTCGTTTTTTTCCCCGTGAAATAATGTTGTAGTCGCATTCGTCTCGCAAATTGATTGAAATCCGCGAGAAGCTGACGCCTGATAAGATTTTCTTTTGTCACGGGTTTAGGGATAAACTTTAGACCACGCGATAGTAGAGTAATTTGCTCATCTGTCAGTTGTTCATTTGAAGGGTTTTCGACGTATTGTTTGCGTGACTCAATGGCGTTACAAAAGCGCTTTTTGTCTTTGATTTTTCTCCGCTCTTTTCTCTCGCGGTTTTGGCCGCTTTGTTATCTTTGCGGCTTGCTTTCCCTTTTCCCCTTACTTCTAAGGAGTCTGATAAGACACAAGAGTAAGATTCACTTTGTTTATTCGCACACACTTGTGATCTCATTTGTTCTAACAATACCTCGACTTCGCCAATCTTGGTCTTCAATTCTTCGGCTAGCTCGTTTACATTGTCACCTTTGTTGACAGTTTTCTTTCTAGCCGGTGATTGCGTTTTCTGGTGAGACGTCTGCTTAGTAACAGTATTCCACAAGCTTGTTTCTTAATCGTTCTGCGCGCCTGTGGTGATATTTCACAAGCGCTCCTACGAGAGCCTGTTCTGCTTTCTTTCTGATCGAGCCTATCTCGTTCTTAAATCGCCGCCTCAGTTCTTCGTCAGGTGTTGACACGTTTGAGGCCACATTAGCTCGAGATGTGTTGACTCCTTCTTGTGCTGATCGAATGATTCTTCTGACAAGTTCTTCGATTCCCTCCTGCATTGCTAGAGACCTAAACTAACGTACTCTGGCACATTTTTCGGTTTCAGTCCCTCTCGGAAACAAAACTGATCAAAGTTGTCGTCTCCCTTCTTGATTTAAGAAACATGCATCTTGATTTAGAAAACGTCTCTCTTGATACGTGACATGAAACACGTGGGAATTAAAATTAAATTCTACAATCTTGACACATTCAAAAAGCAAACTGATGTTAATTTTATCGATCTTGATAGTGAATTGGTGGATTTGAATTATAAAGTTGCATCTTTGATATTTTGTCACTTTTGGCGTACCTTTGAAAGTTCACAGTTCACGTACGGAGTAGTTCGCGCTAGTTTCGTGCTATACATAACTTTTTATGGAGATGTAAACTAATGACATCGCGAAATGTGAACTTAAAAAAGCCTGTAATCGATTTGTCTCGAAACATAATACACATGACTTACACGACCCGTATTTTGAATATGAACGAACACTGTAGATGTGAGGAGCAAAAGCAGGGAACAGAACAATACCTTTCGAGTCTGTATTCTTGATAAAGCTTTTACAGTAACTGATCAATTCTTCCTCTAAAGGGCGGTTTTCACCAGGGACGGAGTCGAAGTCGTAATCACACTGTAAATCTGAAGCGTAGAACTTTTAAACGATCAAACGAGTGAGGAAAGCAAATGAGAGTCGGTGTCGCGTTACAGGGATCAATAGGGGACTTAAGAACCACGGCGAAGTTCAAGACGACGACGTCTGTTGACTGGGAAAGGACTGGAACGAAAACGTCAGTTTCGGCGGGAAAAAGGAAACTTAAGATAAAGTCGATCGGTAGGTCGACGACGATGACACTGAATGTAAACAAACATGTAGAAGTAGTACAACTGTGATGTTCGTTCGCAACAAAGTTTTTTCGCAAAGGCGTCTTTTAAGATGATGCAAGATCTTATTTTATAAGCCGTACGTCTACTTTCATTGACGATGAAGAATTTTTAGTGTTGTCTGACCTTTTCGAATGGAAAAATCTCTGCTTTCCGTACGAAGGTTATTCAACTTTCAACCTGAATAACATGACCGAGTCCGAGTGTCTGTCAGAGTTTAGAATTGGAAAAAGAGACATTCCGATGCGATAGCTGTTTTCCATATAAAGTTCATTTCCTCTATTTTAAAGATACATGATTTGCCTGACCTAAATACGTCAGGGCTCGAAATAACGGCCGGTCAACGGACAATGTCCGGACTGATTGGGGAGTTGACCAGTCAACTTTTCGTCTTGCCGGTCATGTTGACTGGTCACAATCGATCGTATTGAAAATGAAATCAGTTGTTTCAATTGTTATCAGTATGTAGCGAGTGGCTGTGCATTGCGAAACGTTGATCTGAAATC